ACAGGGCCGCAGTCCAGGAGTAAGCTGGCAGGTTCCTTCTGGAAGCTTCAAGAAGGAGTCCGCATAGTGCCTTTCCCTTCTCTGGGGACTAGATTCCTTGTCTGTGGTCCTTCCGTGGTGGCACCACTCAGAACTCTTCCTGGCTTTCCTGCCACCTCTCCCTGGGATTTCTTGTCTCTCTCTCACCACCTGGGCACTTTGGGATCCCCAAGAGTTCAAGGCCAAACTGAACTACATAGAAAAACCCTGTCTCAAAAAAATTAAATTAAATTAAAAAGAGTGACAAAAGAAGAGAAGGAAGGAAGGAAGAAAGAGAGAGAAAGGAGATTATTCCCAGAAGTCTGAAACCAAGTGTCACGCGGTCTGTGGCTGCTCCTTCATGTCCCATCCGGGGCCAGGGTCTGTGTCCATATCTCCTCTGTCTTTTCTAAAACTTGCTGGATTGAGGACCCACTCCCACCCAGCTGATCAAAGATGGTCTCAGCTCCACCTCATTAGCCTAATTACATTTGCAAAAACTTTTTTATTCGTTTATTTTTGGAGACAGGGTATCACCATGTACTTTAAGCTGGCCTTGAACTCACTATGTAGCCCAGACTGGCCTTGAACTTGCTGTGATCCTGCTGTCTCAGCCTCCCGAGAGTGCTGGAATAACAGGCGTGCACCAACATGTCCAGCAAAGGTTGCAAGTGTAGAATGTGGAAATACCTTTCCGGGTGTGTGATCTTCCCTCATCCACTCTGTGTTAAGATCTTTGTGGGTGACAACTTCAATGACTCCCTTTGAATCCGAAACAATTACTGTGACTGATTACTTGGAGACTCATTTCCTTATACTGATATGTAAAAAGCTGGCTAGGGTATTTCCTTCTCTCTTCAACTGACTCTGAGCATTGCAAACAAGGTTAACGGAGGTGCTAATATGTAATCTCTAGCCATCAGACAGCGCTGTTTCCTGGCATAGTGTTCTCCATGTACAGGATTGAGCACTCAAGATGTTAGAGCAAACAGCTCCGGGAATGTCAACTGGGTACAACCTCAAGATAAGAGGCTATGACTTGGGGCTGGGGATTTAGCTCAGTGGCATAAGTGCCTGCCTTGCAAGCACATGGTCGTGAGTTCAATCCTTGGCACTGATTTTAAAAAAGGCTATGACTCCCCAGGGCACAAGAGTTTGCATATCACAAACCAAAGCAATTGCCCCCCAAAACAATTCCACTGCTATCTTAATTGGATTATGTATTGATTTTTCTGCATATCCTTATCTCTGCATTTTGCAGAGATGCCTTTCTCCCACCTGGCCAGCCAGCTCACGTTACTCACAGAATTCCCTCCATCCTCACTGTCACTCACCCCTGAGCCACCCCCTTTCTTCACAGGATAATAAATTCTGGGAGAGGCCTAGGATCAGGCCTTTGCCTGAATGTTCTCACAGGGATTGGGCTCCCCTTAACTTGTTACTCTCACTCACCTCACTGTGGGTTGCACTGGTGGCGATAGATTGGAATTGACATGCTGGGATTCCAATAACATCTCAGTGGGATTACAGATATAACTTTTTGGATTGTAAGGAAAACCAGAAAGAGGATTACAATACTTGGATAACAACTCGATATTTAGGTTTACAATAGATCTTCCTCCGTCCCCCACGATACCTGCCGTGCATGTAAAGTCACACATGGCCACCAGGCTGCCCGGCACAGAGCAGACCATTCAGAGCCATGTCGGAATGAGCAAGCTGAGGCCGGGCTCCTGGCCTTAAAGGTTACCTGAGTTTCCTGTCTGTTCAGTGGGAAGAACACCCACCCGTCCGGGCGAGTGGGCTGGTGAAGCTTTGACAGGAATAACTGGCCTCAGCAGAGGCCCTGGCCCTCTGTGCATGAGAGTGTGGGTGCCTGTGTAACCGTCCCTGCACCTCAGGGTGGACTCAGCACTGACCCAAGCTAAGTGACTTCTCTAAAACAAAGGATCTGGCTTCTCCCCACATGGAAATCCCCTCTCAGGCTACCAGACCTTGGGACTGGGGCGTGTCCTCCCACCCCTCACTGCCAGGAGACACAAACAGGAACTCCAGGGGAGGCAGAAGGCCTTTAATGGGGTCTCTGTGCCCCAGGACCTCAGAATTCAGCACTCACCCCAAGCTCCAAGACATCTCGCTCTATGGCTGTCCCACCACTTCGGGTCACTGCTAAAGGAAGCTGTCATCCATTCAGTGCTTTTCTGAGAGCCCTCCCCCAGCCCCTGCTGGACAATGTCACTGTCCTCGCCATCCTAAGCCCAGAACCAGAGGACGTCTCTCCCAGATGCCCACGTGAAATCTACCAAATCCCTCAATGCTGGTGACATAAAAAGAGATCCTCAGAGTGAGTGCTAAATGGAACACACCTGCTCTCCAGGTGTCTGCAGAACCTCACGTAAGCCCAACTTCTGTTTTGTGGGAGGGAAACTGAGGCCCAGAGGAGGAGGACACTGACTTAGTCTACAGATCCCGACTCCATGATTCACTGTGACCCATGAATCAAAGTCACAACCTGTAACAGGCCACTGTGTGCCTCCTGATACAATGTCCTGGAAGGGTCACAGCCTCCCTTCTCTGATATTCCCACTCCCTGCCTGGATCAAAGCACAAGGAAGCACAAGCAGGCCCAAGCCAAGGGGAGCACCCTAAAAAGAAGTGGCCTGGAATCCCCAAAATGTCACCATTTTGGGAAACAAACAAACCTAGAGATGGTATTAGACCAAAAGAGACCAAAGAGGCAGGAGAACGGAGCACAACACACCATCCCCAAGTGGGTCCAGAGCCAGGCATGGTGGTGCACGACTATAATCCCAGCACTCTGGAAGGCTGAAGCAGGAGGATTCCAAAGTTTGAACTCAGCCTGAAGAATTTATCAATTTAGCAAAACTCTGTCTGAAAATAAAAAATAAAAAAGGGATGGGATGTACCTCAGTGTGAAGGCCCTGGATTCAATACCCTGTGCTGAGAAAGAAGAAGGAGAGGAACGAGGAGGAGGAGGGAGGAGGAGGAAGAAGAAGATCCTCTGGGGGGCGAAAAGTTTTGCACAAAGCAGCTTGGAGGCAATTGGCACTTGGAGTACAGTCTGAGGTTACTAGCGTTGTACCCTCTGCTGTTAAATTGCATCAGGGCTGTGGGAATAAAATGGCCTTACACCTGCAAACACAGCTAAATATCTGGAAGCAAAGTGATGTAATGAGAAACCTCTTCTCACATGGCTGGCGGCAGAGCTGGGGAGATGGCCTGGCAACGGTACAGCAGATTGGCAAATTGAACAACTGCAAATCTGGGTGAAGGGTGTAGAAGGCTCTGTCCGCTCCTTGCAACCTCTCTGTAAGTTCCAGAGACTTCCAAACACTATTCCATAATAGAAGTCGTAGTTTAAAAGCCAACTGGATTTTTTCGTTGTTGCTTTGTTTGTGTGGAGCTGGGAACAAAGTCTAGGGCTTTTAAGGATCTGCGCTGCTCAGAGCTTCCGGTTTCCAGGTCTGCGGGCCTCTGCGGTCAGCGTCTGGGGAGTTGCAAGTTGTCAATGTGCTGCTTCAGACGTGATCATGACCTTGGCGTGTGATTGAAACCTGGGGCGGGGCCAGACTCCTGGGGGCGGAACCAGAGCTTAGGGGTGGGGCCACGGAAGCCGGAGCCGCTCCGGACCCCAGAGAGGAGGCCAGCCTGTGTTCCGCGCGCCCTCTAGTGGCCACTCTGTAGACCTAGCTGCTGCGTTTTATTTAACAGAACCTGTGTATATTACCATGCAATTTACCCAGCATACACAATTCCATACCTTCAGAGCACTCACGGAATTCTACAATCATCAGAATTATTTTATTTTATTATTTTATTTACTGAGTGGTTTGTTTGTGGCAGGGTCTCACAATGTAGCCCAGGTTGGCCTCGAACTCAGCAATCTTCCTGCCTCAGCCTCCCAAATACTGGAATTACAGGCATGTGCCACCATGCCTGGCCTCATTGGCTTTCTTCGAGATAGGGTTTTATATGTCATTCAGGCGGGCCTTGAACTCACATCAATCCTGCCTTAGCCTCCGGAGTGCTGGGGCTACAGGCCTAAACCACCACGTGAAGTAGAATTTATTGTAAAAGATTCTCTCACCCCTAAAAGAAATTTACATGGCCAGGGATAAAGTTCAGCAACACATTGCCCACCTGGCAAGCACAAGGTCCTGAGTTCGATTTCCGGTACCAAAAAAACCCCCATAAGTAGTCAATTCCTGTTTTCCCACATACTCCCCTCCCCCTCTCCCCTATTTTCACTGTATTTTGTGTCTCTATGAATTGACTTATTCTGATTGTTTCATAAAAATAGAATCACACTATATATGGTATTCTGTGGCTGGCTTCTTTCACTTAGCATGGTGATTTTTTTATGTGTAAAAGTTTTCTTTAAAGATAAAAGGAGAAGAAAACAAAATGCTAAAAGCATTTTGATGAAGAAGGCTGGAGATTAGCTCAGCAGCACAGGGCTGCCAGGCAAGCGTGAGGGTGTGAGTCCAATCCCAGGTACCAGAAAACAAAAAACAAAAAAGGAAGAGAAAATGGGTCCTCGGCCTAGCGCCCTGATTTCTAGGGCCAGCCACGCTGCAGAATGTGTCAGAATTTTATTCTTTCTAACTGTCAAAAAAAAGACAGAATTGTATGAAGACACCACTTTATCTTATTTTGTGAGATTTCATATTGAACTCTGGCCTATGCACTGAGCTGCAACCTCAGCCCCAGATAGATACATTTTTTTGAGACAAAGTCTTGCAATATAGTCTTTGCTGACCTTGAACTCAGTATTCAGCCCAGGCTGGCCTCAAACTCCCCACAGTCCTCCTGCTTCAGCCTCCCAAGTGCTGAGATTACAGTCATGTGCCACCATGTCCAACTCTTTCTAAATCACTAAATTGCCCAGGCCAGCTTTAAACTTTTAATCCTCCTGCCTCAACCTCCCAAAGGGCTTGACAGTCTTGTACCACCACACCCAGTGAGCTCATCTATTTATTTATTTAAGTACATAATTCATTAATTTTGCAGCGCCAAGGTGGCATTCTTTATGTGTCCATTCATCAGCCAAGGACCATCCGGCCGTGGCTCCGTGACATTCTTGAACTGCGGCCAAACTATTTTTTGCAGCAGCTGCAGCATGCAACATTCTCGCCCACAGCGTGTGACTCCCGTGTGGCCATGTCGCTGCCAACACTTGCTCGTGTCTGTCTTGGGTACAGTGGCCATCTTGGGGAGTGTGAAGGGAGTTCTGTTTGACCTCATTTGCAGTGCTGGGAATGGTGCCCAGATTTCAGACTTGGGCAGCTGATGCCACAGCCCCTCCTGAGGTGGGATTTCCTAGCGGTTTGGATTTTCATTTTCCTGACTGACAGTGGTTTTGAGCATCTTCTCATGCCATCCAGTTCTTTTGTGCCTGAAACACAACCATATGAACTGTTTACCCAGCCAGGCGTGGTGGTGGATACCTGTAATCCCAGCACGTTGGAGGCTGAGACAGGAGGATTGCTGCGAATTCAAAGCCATCCTGGGCTAGATAGTGAACGCAAAGTCAATACAGACTACATGGTGAGACCCTGTCTCAAAAAAAAGTTTGCCCACCTGTGATCCTGGTTATTTAAAACAAAGCAGCAGCAGTGTCTCTGAAGCCCCGTAGGCACTCACATCCAACCCTTTCCTCCCTGTACCCTGGGCTCACTGGTCAGTGTCTCCAGGCATGCTATGACACTGCACATGCCCTTACACACTAAGGCACTGCAGGTTTTTCACATCTGCCATAAACAACAGAGTCCTGCACTAATCACCCGCACTTGAGGATTTTTTTAATTCATGAAATTGGTTTTCTAGTCTGCTGTGATAAAATGCCACCAGCAAGGTGGCCCCCAATGACAGAAATTCATTCACTCACAGTTCTGCAGGCTAAAGCCCAACAGCAAGCTGTCACGGGGCTGTGCTTTCTGGATGCCGTCTGTGTGTGTGTGTGTGTGTGTGTGTGTGTGTGTGTGTGTGCACGCACGTGCGCACATTTCTGTATCTGTGCCTTAGATCCCTTCTTTTAAGGAGAACACTTGTCACATTAGATTTCAGGCCCACCCTAATGCGACATGACTTCATTGGAATAACCTGACTACGTCTGCAAAGACTTTGTTTCCAGACAGTGCACGCCTGTAGTCTCAGCTACGGCAGAGTGAGAGGCCAGCCTGGCCAACTTAGTGAGACCCTGCCTCAAAATTAAAAATAAAAAGGGGACTGGGTGTGTACCTCGCTGGGAGGGGGCTTGCCCAGCATGTGTGAGTCCCTGGGTTCACATCCAGTTCTGCAAAATGAACAAACAAAAGCAAGCCCAAACCAGACAGGGTGGTGCCCACCTGAAGTTCCAGCACATAGGAGGCTGAGGCAGGAGGATCCAAGTGAGTTTGAGGACAGCCTGGGCTCGTGTTGCCGGTGTTTGTCTCCAATTCATTCATCTCCAGCGCTGTGCAGGATCCCATGAGAGTCCCACACCGCAATTTCCTGGCGACACTTAACCTTTTCCCCACTTTCCTCCATTTCCGACAAGACTGCAGTGAATATCCCTGCAGACGTCTCTCGGAGTTTCTTAGTATTTTTCAAACTGCCAACCAGGACCCATTAGTGGGTTATGAAATCAATTTAGTGGCTCGAAAGCACAGTTTTCCTGTGGATGAATGGAATTAAGTAGAAGATGTTAAAACGCACACGCGCGGAGTCTGGGCAGAGCCCTGCGGTGAGAGCCCAATGTGATTCCTGGCTTCAAGGGCCCGCGAAGGAGGCAGCAGGCGCGCTGGGCGGAAGGCTGTCGGGTTCTCAGCAGGGCTTGCCTCTCTCCAGTCGCCGGCCCTCAGCACAAACTACAATTTCAAACTTTTGCCAAGCTGTGAGTTTTCATTCCGTTCTCTAGCAGAAGATACTGAGACCCAAAGAGATCTGAAAGCCAAGGAGCTCCGAGGTGACCTGTCACCCAGCTGCAAGGACCTGGTCTCGGAGGGTTCCACCAGCGCAGGATTCCTGGGATCTGGAGTTGGGGGGGAGGCAGGGGAGGGGCAGACTACTCATCTCTTGTCCTAAGCCCCCTCCCCTCCCTAAAAGGGGTTTTGAGAATTCAGTGAGCAAATGTTTATGGGAGAGGGCGACTGTCCAACGAATGTTAACTACCATAGTCCTATTTTGTTTGTTTTGTCTTTTTTTTTTTTTTCTCAAAACAGTCTGACCTTGAACTTACTATGTAGTGGAACTCTCAGAGGTCTTCCTGCTTCGGCCTCCTGAGCGCTGTGATTACTGACACGGGCCACCACGCCTGGCATAGTTATTGCTATTATTCAATTTGAAACTCTGTAGTTTGCCAGCAGAATTTGGCCAGGTGACCTGGAGTGTGGCCTGCATGTTCGTGTATGTGCCCGTGTGCGGCGACTGGAGCGGGCCTTGAGCGTCCAGGCGCGGCTGGTAGACCCGAGACCGAGACACAGCTGGCCCAGAGCGCCCTCCAGCGGCTGCCCCGAGATTAGACTTGATTGCTGCTACTGGTTCCGCAGGTTGGGGTGAAAACCACGCCCGGACAGCCTGTGCATTTTCCGCTGCCCCAGCCTTGGAAACCAGGGGGAGCTCCATTCCTGAGCTGCACGCCCAGCCCTTTTTATTTTGAGACAAGGTGTCGCTAAATTGCTCGGGCTGGCCTGAAAGTGTGATCCGCCTGCCTCAGCCTCCTGGGGGTGCCACCACATCCAAGCAGTCTGCAAACTGCTGCTCCTGGGCTACCTAAACTGCAGCCTGATTGCCCGCAGTGACTCCGCGGTGGGGACGCAGAGATCCGTGGGCTCCGCACCGTCCTCCCGGGGGTGAGAGGGGTGGCAGTCGCCCTCAGGCCCATCCTCCTCGGAGGCTCAGCTCTCTGCCCTTTAATGCCACGCCACGACCCAGGGCTGCTGCGCCCCGGAACCACTCCTTGGCCTCGCTGCCTCCACTGAAAGTCCGCGGACCCCCAGGCCCTGCCCCGGCCCCCCCCCCAGGGGCCAGGCGTCCGCAGCACCCCCACCAGAAGACGTCTGGATCCACCCGCAGGGCTCCAGGAAGTCAGCTCCCGGCCGGGCCTCCAGGCGCCCTGGGCGCAGGCCTGGCCCCGCCCGGGACTCCGCACCTGCGGCCGCGCCCCCGCCGCCAGCGCCCAGCAGCTGCCCTCACCGGTGCGTGCCCGGGCGCCCGGGGACCATGGCAGCCGCGGCGGGCCCGCGAGGGGGGCAGTGGGCAGAGCAGCGTGCGCTCGGCCGGGCGGTGAGGCTGCTGCAGAGCCTGGAGGAGCAGTGCGGGGACCCCCGGCTGGCCATGGGGCCGCCCTCGCTGCGGGACCTGCTGCCCAGCACCGTGCGCCTCCTGCGGGCGGTGGCCAGAGTCCGCCACGACGCCGGCCCGGGCGGCTCGGAGGGTCCGGGGGGCGCCTGGAACTTCCTGCAGGTGTTCCTGGCCAACCTGGAGGCCAAGGCCAAGCAGGTGGCCGGGCTCCTGCCAGGCCGAGGACGACGGGGAGCCAGCGACGACCTCTTCCTGGAGGGCTCCAGGCTCAGGTGAGTGGACGGTGGCAGCCCGGGGTGTGGCCTGGGCTCCCCGCCTCCTCCCTCAGACCCCGGGACACCGCCCCTCCCGTTCCCCCAGAGTCCCCGAGCCTCAGATGCACCGCCTGGGCATGTGGGGTCGCTGGGCTTCCTGTCCAGGCGGGCAGAGGGTCGCATCTGGAGACCCTGAACACCCGGCCTGGGCTGCTGCCGTCCTGCCCTTCAGTTCCTGGGCAGCAGCTAGCCCAGGGCCTTGGACTGCTCTGCTTTTTCTGCTGCTCTCAGCCCTGGAGCTGCCCAGGGACAGGCCGAGGAGGTCTGGAGCTGAGCCCAGAGGGCGTCTAAGCCAGCCCCTGGGTTCCTCGAGCCTCCCGCAGATCCCCAGCCCTCAAACTTGTGGTTTCTCCTCAGTTCATCCTGAAGTGAAACTCGGGGCCTTAACAACCTGTCTGCTCGTATTTTTTAAATCACTGTGATGTCCAAATTATATCATAAAACAATTAAAAGATTGTTTTTCATAATATATATTTTGCTTCAAAATGGCAAGGCACAGTTATCCTGGGAGGTAAACAGCATGACATAGAATCAAATGGTTTTCCTTTGACATAGAGGAATTTTTCTCTTTGATTCCTGGAAAATTCAATATCAGTGTTTTGTTGGTACTGAAGTTTGAGCCCACAGCCTTTGCTTTGAGCTACATCCCTAGTCTTTAAACTCTGAGATAAGATCTTACTAATCTGCCCAGGCTGGGCTCATACCTGCAATCCTCCTGCCTTAACTTCCCAGGCTATCAGAGTTACAGGCATGCACCACCATGCCCAGCTCAGGATCACTGCAAATGTTCAAAAATGCTCATGTAAAATGCAAGTGGATTTAGGGCTCAGATAACTATAAGTGGAATTTCTGCCTCCTCCAGTGTCAGATGGGTCCCTGGAAAGTGAGGTGGGATTAGAACAAACCTTACAAGGGAGCACTGTATCCAACAAATTTTCCAGGGCTGGGGATTTAGCTCAGCGGCATAAGCAGCTGCCTTGCAAGCAGGCCGTTGTGAGTTCGATCCTCAGTACTGATTAAAAAAAAAAATTTTCCCCATCCTAATCACTGTGTCAAATAAATTTCTAGAAGCTTCTGCAAAAAGTGCTAAAACCCCACTGAGCGCCAGTCTCCCGCTCGGAGGGATCTAGAAGGCAGGGATCCTGGGGTGGCCTGTGGAGGCTCAGCTGGAACCCATCAAAGGCCTTCCCAGCTGGGCTATGTCCTGTCCAACCTTATCCAAGCCATGTAGGTAGTTAGAATTTTCTAGTAGACATTTTACAAAAAAAAAAAAAATATATATATATATATATATATATTGTCTTTTTCCTTTTTATTGGTACCGGGGATTGAACTCACGACCGCCTGCTTGCAAGGCAGGCGCTTATGCCGCTGAGCTAAATCCCCAGCCCCTACAAAAATATTTTTTTAAAAAACAGGTGAAATGAGTTTTAATAACTTTTCTTTAACTCCACTATATCCAAAATATTATTTCAACTTGGATTCCTTTGTGCTAAGTGTTTGGAAGGTGGTGTGCATTTCACGTTTTTATTTTCTTTTCTTTCTGTCAGTGTGAGCATGGAACCCAGAGCCCCATGCCTGCCGGGAAAGCAGCCTGACCCGGAACCGCACCCCTTGCCCATGGTAGCTTTTTATTTATTTTGAAACAGAGTCTCACTGAAGGTGCCCCGGTTGGCCTCGGACTCGTCATGGGCACCCAGCTGTATTTCACACTTGCAGTACCTCTCAGCCTGGACTGGCCATAGAGCTAGTCACAAAAAATAATCACCACACTGAAGTGTTTTTTGGAGACAGGTCTCACTCTGTAGTCCAGGCTGGCCTCATACTTGTGGTGATCCTCCTGCCTCAGCCTTCCCAGTGCTGAGATTCTAGGCATGCACCACCACGCCCTGATAAAACTGATGCAAATTCCACCCAGGAATTCCGGGGGCTGAGCAGCACCCCTCACCAGGTGGGGACCATCTGAGCATGTGCTGTGACCAGGCAGGCTGTGGAGCACCTCCACCTGCCGGAGGCTCTATGGGTCCTGGCTGCTGCTACACTTCACAGATGGGGAAACTGAGGTCCACAGACAGAATCTCAGCATGGAGACTCTCTCAGGATGCATTCCTATGTGGCACTGATATATTAGAGTCCAGGGGGCCCTGTCCCCATAGGGACACCGAGGGGAGCACTGGTGGGAGCCCCAAGGCCCAGCCCGGTGCACAGAGCTCTCCCCTGCAGGCAGCAGCTGGCCAAGCTGGCCCTCATCTTCAGCCACATGCACGCGGAGCTGGGCGCGCTCTTCCCCAAGGGAAAGTACTGTGGGGACCACTACCAGGTCACCAAGGCAGAAGCCCACGCTTTCTGGAGGGAGCACTGCGGTGCCCGGTGAGTGGCCCACCCTGCCAGAACCCGGGGTGTGAGGGAGCCAGGGGCACGGGGGACCCCAAAAGGCCCTGCCAGGCTCAGCTGACTCTCCCTACCCAACCTCACAGCTGTGTGCTGCCCTGGGCCGAGTTCCAGGCACTGCTGAACACCTGTCACGCTGTGGAACCTGGCGCCACTGCCCAGGCCCTGTGCTCCACCATGGACCTCACCTTCAGTGGCCACGTGTCCATCTTCGAGTTTGACATTTTCACCAGGCTCTTCCAGGTCAGAGAGGACAGGCAGGTCCCCCGGGTCTGAGGGAGGAAACTGAACCTGAATCCCTGGATCTGAGGAAGAAAACTGGGCCTGGATCCCTGGTCTGAGGGAGAAGGCTGGGCCTGGATCCCTGGGTCTGAGGAAGGAAACTGAGCCTGGATCCCTGGGTCTGAGGAAGGAAACTAAGGTTGGATGCCCAGGTCTGAGGGAGGAAACTGAGCCTGGATCCCTGGATCTGATGAAGGAAACTGGGCCTGGATCCCTGGGTCTGAGGAAGGAAACTGTCCTGGATCCCTGGGTCTGAGGAAGGAAACTAAGGTTGGATGCCCAGGTCTGAGGGATGAAACTGAGCCTGGATCCCTGGGTCTGAGGGATGAAACTGAGCCTGGATCCCTGGGTCTGAGGGAGGAGGCTGGGCCTGGATCCCCACATCTGAGAGAGCAGGCCAGGCCTGGGGATGTAAGTGTCTGGGACTTCTGTGTAGACACTGCTGAGTCCCACTAGGGCTGTGAGCAACTGGCTGGATTCTTGGCTCCCGGCGGTGCTAGCAACATGAACTTCCTCTTTGTTCTTCCCTGGCACCAACCTTATCCCCAGCCATGGCCAACGCTGCTCAAGAACTGGCAGCTCCTAGCTGTCAACCACCCGGGCTACATGGCCTTCCTGACATATGATGATGTACAGGCCCGCCTGCAGGCCTACAGAGACAAGCCAGGCAGGTAACCATGGCGGCCTGGGCAGGGGTACCTTGGGGGTCTGGACCAGGCAGCAAGGGCAGGTACAGAGAGCCTCAGAGACTAGGGGATGAGGCTCCTTGGACCCCAGAGAGTGGAAAGCCCATGAAGTACAGGAGCCCCAGAAGGCAAATGTGTCAGCGCTGGTCCAGTTCTGGCTGTACTTCAGACCAGGTGAAGGGCAAAGGAAAAGGAATGGATGAATTCCTAGAATTAAAAAACCCAGAGTATGGGTTGCAGGCACAGCAGGATCCAGGTGTCCAAATCCTACTGTCAGGAATCTGTTTCCATTTGTACCTGTCTTCCGTTTCCTGTGTTAGCTTTGTTGTCAGTCTGTCCTTGTGGTGGCAAATGGCTTCTAGAAACGGTCACTTAGCATCCACTGTAGAATGAGGTAACCTGGTTCTGATACTTCTAGCAAAAGCCCCAGAACTGACTCCTATCCCTGTGGCAGTCAGGAGCCCCGAAATGCCCTGGTCCACCCACCACACCAGAGTCAGCTTTGTCTACAGCCTAGCAGGTCCCCAGGGAGAGCCCTAAACAGACACTGGTGGGGTTGTCATAAGAACTGAGCAGGCAGAGCCAGGTAGAAGTCTCCTGAAGTGGCTGGCAGGGAAGCTGAGGGTGAGCGTAGGGACCCCTGCATCCCTACACAGGGGGAACCAGAAGTGCCTGGGACTCCTGACTTAGAGGAAGGAGGTGGAGACCCACAGGAGGCGAGAGGGAGTTTCATTGGAAAGGAGGAAGAGGAGGGGGAGGGGAGGGGAGGGGAGGGGAGGGGAGGGGAGGGGAGGGGAGGGGAGGGACCAGGGATGGCATTCAGCCGCACGGAGTTCGATTCCGGGCACCGAAAACAAAACACAAAAAAGAAGGTTCTCCCGAGTGTGGCCCCCGAGGGTCTCCGTCAGCTGTGATTTACACGGCAAAGTCACAGCACAAGGCGGGGACATCCCTCACCCCTGCCACCTCGTCTCCCTGCAGCTACATCTTCCGGCCCAGCTGCACCCGCCTGGGGCAGTGGGCCATCGGGTACGTGAACTCGGACGGCAGCATCCTGCAGACCATCCCTCCCAGCGGACCCCTGTCCCTGGTGCTCCTCGAAGGACAGAAGGACGGCAAGTGAGTCCCCATCCCAGCCAACCTGGTGAACCCCCGCGGAGGACGCCACCCCTGCGATGCCACACACGTCCAGCAGGTGGCAGTCGAGGGCCAGAGCGAGGGGGCGCCTTTGTCATGGACAAAGCTGTGAAATGGGCCGCTAGGGCTAGGGAAGAAATCCGGGTAGGGAGGACCTGATAGACAGGCAGGCAGACAGACAGATGGACCGACAGACGGTGTTGCTGCACATCCACAGTAGTTATGTGTCCTGTTTCGTCTTGTTGAGACAGGATCTCACTTCGTAGTAAAGTGTGGCCTTCAACTCACTGCGCGGCCTGGCCTGGAGCTCCGCGCTCCTCCTGCCTCAGCCTCCCGAGGGCTGGAGTGCAGGAGTGAGCCACACGCCCGGCTCAGCCTTGTTCTTGGAAGCCTTTAAAACAGCAAAAGCAGCCTCGCTGTGCCTGCCTCCTCCGCCGTGTGATGGGGATGGCACACTCGATGGCCCGGTGTGGCCAAGCTAGATCGGCGCCCGGTGGCTGCGCATTTGGACCCGACCTGCTCGCCAGCGCCCCGGTGAGACGCCGCAGCGGGGCGCAGAGCGGCGTGTGCTCTCTCCTGCGCATGTGCAGATGGGCAATTTCCCAGCGGCGGGGCCCGCGGGTCTCAGCCCGCGACGCCTGGCCTTCTGGTTTCAGCTCTCACACCACAGAGAAGCTTCGATTTAAACCGGGCGCGGTGGTGGCGCATGCCTGTAATCCCAGCACTCGGGGAGACTGAGGCAGGAGAGCTTGAGTCCGAGGCCAGCCTGGACTACAGAGCAAGACTCTGTCCAACCTCCCCACCCGTGCCAAGTGTCTGCTTGGTCCCCTCTCCGGCATCGCCAGGCTTTTTGTCCCTTTTTCTATTTTGTGTTTGTTTGTTTGTTTGTTTGTTTTATGGTGCTGGAGACTGGACAGAGCGCGCTCCACCGCTGCACAGCATCTCTGGTTCTTTTTATTTTAGGGGAAGCTTTTGCTGTGTACCCCAGGCTGAGCTCCAACTTGCAGTCTTCCTGCCTCAGCTTCTCTGCGTGCTGGGGTGACAGCCATGGGCCACCAGAGCCAACTGAAGTTTTGTCTTAGTTGCCCTTTGCTACCAGTCTTTGCCCTGGGCATGATCATGTTCATTTTACAGAAGGGGAAACTGAGGTCAGCTTGGGTCGCACAGCATGTGACGGTCACTGTGGGACCCCAGCCAGGCAGCTCGTGCTGTTCTACAGCGGCTGCCTTTGCCCTGCAAAGCAAAAAATAGAAGGAAAGGTCTCAGGAGACCTTCCAGTGCCGAGAGCCTGAAGTCCAACGAGTTAGTTGCTGCAACAGCCCGTGGCCCTGTCACGACCAGGCTTAATGGGAACAGTGGAATCCCAGCCCAGCATGCAGCACACATCCTCAGTTCCAGCACTGGGGAGGCTGAGGCAGGAGGGTTGCAGATTCAAGCCCAGCCTAGAAAATTTGGCAAGATGCTGTCTCAAAATTTTTTAAAAAACCAGGCATGGTAGCACATACCTGTTATCCCAGCACCGGAGAGGTTGAGGCAGGAGGATCGCCATATGCTTGAGGCCAGCCTGGATTACACAGTGAGTTCAAGGCCAGCCTGAACAACGTGATGAGACCTTGTCTCAAAAAAAAAAAAAAGAAAGAAAGAAAGAAAGAAAAGAAAAAGAAGAAAAGTAGGATCCTGAGAGAGGGCTACTGAAACCTGGTTCCATTTCCTGTCCAACCTGCCGCGTGCCTCAAAAATGAGTCGGGGGGGGGGGGATATTTAGCTCAGCGGCATAAGTACCTGCCTTGCAAGCAGGCAGTCGTGAGTTCGATCCTTGATACCGATAAAAATGAAAAAGACCAAAAAAAAAAAAAAAAGAGTCACCAAGGTTTTGTGGGGCCACTTTGGGAGGGCCGGCAATGCTGCCCTGTCCTGGGGGACCCCGGGACCCTGGACAGGCCCAGTCGCAGCCAGGAAAGGCAGTGGGTTGCAGCAGCCTGTCAGCCCCGGAGCTCTGCCGGTCCTTCCTCCCCGCTCTGGGAGGGAAGAGACTGTGCCCCCCACCTAGCCCGCGACTCCCTCCCCCAGCTTCCTCTACCCAGACGGGAAGAACCGCAACCCAGACCTGACAGCGCTCTGCCTGGCTGCACCCCAGCAGCACATCCACGTGTCAGAGGTAAGACCCAGGAGCCCCTGTGATGGCACACGCCGGTGACCCCAGCACGCGGGAGGCTGAGGCAGGAGGATTGCTTCGAGTCCAAGGTCAGCCGGGGCTACATAGCGGGACCCTGTCCCCAAAACAAAACACCTCGCCTTGGTGCCGAGTGCTGGTTGGTGGCTGTGTGACCTCGGTCCACCCCTTGGCCTCTCTGAGGCCCAGTTCATCCTCTGGAAACTGCGGCTCTTCCTGCCTCTCGCCCAGGGGTTATCGTGGGGCTTGGATGAGGAAGTAGGACTGCTGAGATCATCAGACCAGGGAGTGCACTTGAGCGTTTGCCAGGCAGAGATTCTATTCGTCGCTTATTGGAAATTGTTTTTTATACTTACAAGGGATGGAATCCAAGATCTTCAGGCTGAGCTACAGCCCCAGCCCTTTTAGAAATCTTTTTGAAAAACAGACTCACTCTCACTGAGTTGTCCAGGCTGGACTCAGACTTGCAACCCTCCTGCCTCAGCCTCCCAGAGTGCAGGGATTTACAAGTGTGCACCACCACACCCAGCTGGAAACTCAGATTTCACAGGGCAACCTGCGTTTTTATTTGCTAAATCTGGTAACCCCAAGAGCAGGCCGGGAGGAAGTCTCCTGGCAGGAGGGGTCAGGGGTGTGAGGCTGGGCAGCCTCCTGTGCTGCCCGACCTCCTGACCTCCGGTCTCGTCCTTACCACCTGCTCACTGCAGGAACAGCTGCAGCTCTACTGGGACATGGATTCCACATTCGAGCTGTGCAAGATCTGTGCCGAAAGGGACAAGGACGTGAGGATCGAGCCCTGCGGACACCTGCTCTGCAGCCATTGCCTGGCTGCCTGGCAGGTGGGCCCCTGCCCTGCCTCCTCACCCCGGGTCCCCCCGCCACAGTAAAAGTCCCAACAGGATCTCCCAAGGGCCTTAAGGATCAGATGGAGAAACCAAGGCCCACAGAGCAGACCACAGCTGGGGACCCCCAGGCCCACTGCCTGTCAGCACCCCCATTTCCACCTGGCCCTGCCCACACCAGCACACTATGAGGGACAGGATGTCCTCCTTTCTCGCTGGGTAACCTAGAGTTGAGGGTTTCGCTCTGAGCCGTGGCCTCCTCCTGTGGAGGACAAGGCTAATGGTGGGAGCTCTGGGGGCAGGGGAGGCATCCCCCCTCCCCGGCTGCATTTCTGTGCCACCTCCTTCCCTCTCTGTCCTCGCCACGTCACTATGGTGGAGGTGACGTCCTCAGAGTCTGAGAACAGGCAGGCCCAGGGCGATGCTGACCCCCTCCCACCTGCCGCCCAGCACAAGGACAGCCAGACGTGCCCCTTCTGCCGCCGTGAGATCAAGGGCTGCGAGGCCGTGAGCTTCTATCGGTTCACCGGAGGCACAGTGGAGGGCAAGGCCAGTGCCGTGGACACAGACCCCAGCCGTGACCAGGAGAGCGTGGAGCGGGAGCAGGTAGGCAGGGCCGGTGCGGGACGGATTCCTGGGTCGTAGGGAGGAGGCCGGGGCACGGATCCTGTGTGTCAGGGTTCTGGGAGTGGCTGTCACATCCCGTCACATCTGGAACAGCGCTGGGCTCCTCCTCCAGGCAGAAGCCGGAGTGGCTAAGGAGGACATGGCTGCTCACCAAGACCCCATCTTCCTCCTCCAGGTGGCCCCTCCTGCTCCTCCTCTGCCCCCTCGGGGAGATCTGCCCCCCAGGAGACCCAGAAGTGAACACCAGCTGGAGGTGGTGAGTCTGGCGCCACTTGTGTTGGGCAGCTGGGTGTCACACAGCCCCAGTCTTCCTGGGGTGGCCACGGCTGGGGGCAGGGAATGTGGGGGCCCTCCCCTTGGCCCATGTGGAAGGCTCAGTGCAGTCTGGTAGCTCCCGTCCTCTGTGACCACTCCTGTTTTCTTTGCTCCTCTGCTTCATTTGTTTCCTTGCACTCCTCCCAGTGTCCCAGGTACATCCTACCCCAGGGCCTTTGCACCTGCATCTCCTTCAGCCTGAGCTTCTTTCCACACTCACTGTCCTCCCTCCTCTCCAGGATGCTTTCCCTGACCACCCCTTTGAGAAGAACAACCATGTCCCTCAGCCCCTGCCCCACCATGAATCCACAGGCCTTAAACTTGTGGTGATCATCCTGCCCCAGCCTCCCAAGTGCTAGGATTACAGGGGTGTGTCTTGAGGCCCAGCATCTACAGTATCTTCTGGCACCGGGGCCAGCTGGTCCAAACCCCCTGGGCATCAGGACTTTGTCTTTCTCTCTCTCCATTACATGCATGGTGTGTCCGGGGAGCCAGTGCTCGGTGTGTGGGCACCAGATAAATGGGCTTCACTGCGTTTTCCCAGTAGCCCTCGGGAGCCAGGAATGGTCCCCTCCTCACCGTCCGGGAGGGGGCGGCAGGGGGCGGAGTTTCAGGGAGGAGCCTCACTACCCAGAGCCACACAGCCTGAACCAGGGTTTCCGTATTTTAGTTGCTTCTGGGTTTGTTTTTTTAAGGATCCGTTAGTGCTCCTGTCTTTGCAGCCCTGGAGATGGAGAGCCCGGGCCTCGGCACCTGGAGGGAGGTGCGCTGCTCCTGGGCTATACTGTCCTGACTCTGTTTGGATTTTTGTTTGTTTATTTGGGGATTTTGTTTTGTTTTGCTGGTGCTAGGAACTGAACTCAGGATCTTCTCTGAGCTACATTCCCAGTCCTTTTTAGTTTGTTTGTTTTTTCTGTCTTATTTTTTTATCTTTTTTTTTTTTTCTTAAACCAGTACCAGGGATCGAACTCATGACCACATGCTTGCAAGGGAGGCGCTTATGCCGCTGAGCTAAATCCCCAGCCCCTTATTTTTTTATCTTGAGACAAGGTCTTGCTAAGTCTCTAAATTGTCCAGGTTTGCCTCAAACTTGGAATCCTCCTGCCTCAGCTTGCCACGTTGTTGGGAATTATGGGTATATACCATACCTTTCTGCTATTTATTTTGGCTTTTTGTTTGTTGTTGTTTTGAGACCAGACCTCACAAAGTAGTTCGGGCTGCCCTTGAAATCACTATGTAGCCCCAGATGGCCCGGAACTCACAGTGATCCTCCTGCCTCAGCCTCCTGAGTGCTGGGATCACAGGTGCACACCGCCATGCCTGGCCATCTGCTTATTTTGATCATTATGTTAGTGCATCCTGGCCGTTCTTTCCATCACTTGATTTTCTGAGCTCTGGGCCTGCCGGGAAGGGGCAGATCTGTTAGTCTCTTGAGCACATTACACAGTAGCTTTAATCAATACTGAACTGACCTCAAACAAACAGCGCAGGAAGTCCGGAACGTTATTGGACCAGAGCAAACAGAGAGCCAGCAGGAAGGGGGTGGGGTGGCTCGGAGACCAGAGAAGGAAGCTAAAAACAGATCCTGTGGACCTGTAGCCAAAAGCAAATGGAAATGTTAGGAGCACTCAGCTACTCCCGGGGGACAGCTAGGGGAGGGGACGCGGCCAGTGGCCCCTCCCACCCGGACAGCGATGGGTGCACCTTTGCCGGCACCAGGCCCGCACCCCAACCCCAACACAACCCCCTCCTTGCAAAAGCCAGGCGACTCCTGCTCTCTCTTCTTCATCAGAACCCGCCACATGGGGACAGGACAGCGGGCTCACTGCTGCTCCTTCCCCCTGAGGTGGCCGGCCTCACGTCCTCACGGAGTAGGGAGCACGCTGTGACATTTGCTCTGTGCCTGGAGCTGTGGGACCCCCACACACACTGGCCCCGGGCCGGCACTGGGCATGGAACGGAGCCTGGGACTTTGCCAAACCCTTTTTATTTTTTGAGACAGGGTCTCACTAAGTTACCCAGGCTGGCTCGAGCCTGCCATCCTCCTGCCTCAGCCTCCTGAGGTGCTGGGATGACAGGTATGTCTCACTGTGCCCAGTTTGTTTTATTTTTACTTTCATTTCTAGACAAGGCCTGGTTTTATTACCCAGCCTTGGCACTCCTTTTCAAATACCCCGCTGTGACAGCCCCGTGAGGGCTGTACCACTAGGCCCCCATTCAACGCAGAGGGACGCTGATGCTCGGGAGCCGAAGGTCCCTCGGGATCTGGGACCACCACACTGGGGCCCAGCCTGCCCGATCCACTGCCTTGGTTCCGAGTGCACATGGTGGCCGAGAGGCCTGTCCCTGCTTCCTGGGGCTCTCACGGCTGCCAGATGCCTCAGAGCTGTGCTCCTGGCCAGGGTCCCCATGACTGTGACTGTCGCTAGGAAGGCTCCCCTAGGTGACGCTGTGTGCAGAACGGGGACAGGTGTGGGGCAAGCCTGACCGCACGCCTCCACAGAGCCTGCGAGATGGGCTTTGCGTAGGCTGTCACGTCCCTTCCCTTTCCCCTTCCTCCTCGGAAGCCCCGCTGCTTCCCCAGCACGAAGAAGAATTCAAGCCAAAGCCCTGGGCCTGCCTCCTCCCCCAGCTCCCCTGGGGGCCCCTACTTCCTGCCCTCAGCCTTAGCCCATCATCCCTACCTGCCAGAGGCAGCCCTTGGCCAGGACACCCCTGAGACTGTCCTTGATGGTAGGCCGGTGACTCACCCTCGGCCCGGCTAGGTAGACCCTCAGCTCCGTGAACAGAGGAATATTTTTCTGTTCTCTTCATGGCTGTGTCCTCAGAGCCTAGGACAGGGCCTGACACATTGGATGCTCCGGGTGGATGGGTGGGTGGGTGGGTGGGTGGGTGGGTGGAGTAGATGGTCCAGCGGGCGGTGGATGGAGCAGATGAGTGAATGGGTAGGAAGTAGGCGGATGGTGGATGCCACATGGGCACACAGAGCTTCACCCTCCTCACGGCAAAGACCAAGGGGAAACCAGCTTACACTGGGGGCAGGACCCAATCCTACGATCCTGGGGTCCCCCGTCACAGCATCACTCCTGTGTGGGCCCACAAAATGACACTAGGACAGCTCCCCTAGTGAATGTCCTCCCTTCCAGGCACCCCTGGCACTCCCCCGACTCCGGGCCCCCATTCCCTTGCCGAGAACCAGGGCCGTAGCCCAGTGGAGTGGCGGCTCCAGGGCCCAGGCCACCGAGGGGGCCGCAGGGTGAGTGGGGAGAGGGTGATGTGTGAGGAGGTAGGGTTGGAACTCCTGGACCTAAGGACGAGGGGTGGAGGGGAAACCCTGGTCCCAGGAAATCAACTGCCCCCATCTCCTCCCTTACAGAAACTCCTAAAGGAAGTGCACCCCTCCAGCTGCCTCTGTGGGCCCCCCCACCCCCGCAGGCTCCCAGGCCTTGAAGCCAGGTGAGTGCGCCTCCCCCACCTCTCCAGCCTCCAACCTGCCTTCGAGACCCCATCCTCCCTGACTCTTCCTCTCCCTCCCAGGGTGCCCAGATGCGCTGCTACAACGGACCCTCAGGGGCTGGAAGGGGTTTGTGATCCGAAATAAAGTCCCAAGCCTGACAGGACCTCTAGTGCCTGGTGGGAGAGGGCGGCAGCCACCAGGGGGCAGCTTGGCACGGAGAAAGGGTGGCCCCCAAGCCCCATGCCCACAGGGTCACCCAGGGCACCCAGCCTTCTCTGGCAGTCCTGGGAGTCCTGCAACCCAAGTTCTCGGGGAATCCGGCATCCAGCCCTGGTGCATCGTGGCAAAGACATTCCTGGGGGCACAGACCCAAGTTCGCCCCTGGTCTGAGGGACCCGACCTTTCCATGCGAGGGAGGCGCCCACCCAGGCCAGCTCCCTCACACCTGTCTGTGTCCTCCCGTCTTGGCCCTTCTCCCAGAGCAGAGAGTCTAGATCACACCAGGAACGGCCTCCCACCCGAGGGCCCACTGCCATTCGAGCAGCCACACCTCAGGTGACGGACTATGCCCAGCCCTGGGCCCCACAGTGCTGCTAATACAGCAGTGGCTGCTGCTGCCCTGCAGCTCACGTCCCAGAGTGGGGGACAGACCAGGGAGGACCCAGAGTGGGTCCCAAGGGTTACAGGAGAACAGAGGGGGTGCCTGACCCCACCCGGGAAATCAGGAAGAACTTCCAGGAGGCGGTGACGGCTGCACTGAGATGGAAAAGATGAGGCGAGATCTCCGTAGGGAGAGCAGGGAGGAGGGGGTGCTCTAAAGTCCCCATCCAAGCCACAGAGCCGCATGAGGGACAGAAAGGGACTTTACTGACAGGGCTTGGGGTCACTCCCAGAACCCCAGGAATGACTTGGAGAGCCAGGATGGGAGCGTGAGCAGGACTGGCCGCTGGCCAGTGGTCTCTAGCCACAGCACTGGTCTGATGAGGACACTGGTCCCCTGCTGATCGGGCCCCTGAGCTGTCACCGCCTAGGCCATCCATCCCAGAAGAGGGATGTGGCTGCTTTTCTCGTTAGCTCATGCTCAGCACATCACCGTCACCCCGTGACTTAGCAGATGACAGCAATGACTGCCTTATTACTCACGGCCACTGGGGGCCAGGATGTGGGGTGGCCTCGGAGGAGCCTCTCCAGCTGCAAGAGCAATCAGAAGGTGCCAACTAGTGGCCCCTGTAGCAGGGCTGCTGGGGGCTGCCGGGTGTCCACCCCCCTGGTCCTGCACTTAGGGATTCAATCTATGGTGAATCAGTTTGGGGGAGCAGGCAGGGTTTGACACAGGGTCTCATTATGTAGGGTAGACTGGCCTTGAACTCACTGTGTTGTGCAGGCTGGCCTTCAACTCATGGAGGTCTTCCTGCCTCAGCCTCCTGAATGCTGGGATTACACACCACACCCAGGCAATAATACTTTTTAAAAACTATCATCCATACCGAACATGCAGGCTTCTTTCCATGACATAATTCCCTAACCAATACCATACAGCGACCCCTTACCCAGCATTTGCATTGCATTGGGCATTTTAAGTCGTAGGAAAGGATTTAAAATTTACAGGAAGCCCAGGCACAGTGGTGTGGTACATATCCATTATCCAGGCTCAGGAGGCAGAGGCAAGAGGATGGCGTGTTTGAGGCCAGCCTGAGGAAGTTAGTGACAACTGCCTCAAAAAATAAAAAGGGGCCGGGTGTTTAGCTCAGCGGCATAAGTGCCTGCTTGGTAAATGTGAGGTCGTGAGTTTGATCCCTGGCACCAAAAATAAATAAATAAATAGGAAGCCGGGCGTGGTGGTGAACACTCGGGAGGCTGAGGCAGGAGAATTGTTGCAAGTTCGAGACCAGCCTGGGCTACAAAGTGAGCCCGAGGCCAGCCTGAACTGGCCAGCGAGACCCTGTCTCAAAAGACAAAAAAAAAAAAAAAAGAAGTAAAAAGTGTTGGAGATGTGCTATCCAGCATGGACAAAAAAAAGAAAAAATGGTATACAGGAGACCCACGGCATTTCCTTTAGTGGATGCCAGCCTTTCTGAATTTCCGTGACCTCAGGGACCCTGAAAGCAGCTCCTTCAGATGCCAGGCAATGGCTCATTTCAGCGGCCCAGCCGGGAGCTGTGAGGCGCTTACCCCCTCATCGCGGGGGGTGGCACTGTCTGTTCCATGCAATCCGCAGGGCTATCTACCCCCCAAAGCCAGAAATGATTCCCCGCACCCTGCTTCTTCCGTCCCTCGGCTCCTGGTCCCCCAGCAGGGAAGGGTTTGCCGAGCTGAGTCGGGGGTTTCAACAGAGGGTACCAAGCTTGCGGGCAGTAAAGACAGCTCCGGGTGTGGGGAGCGGGCAGGTGCTGGGCAACTGGGCCTCACAGCGTCCAGCCTCACAGCGTCCAGCACGGTCCACCCCTTTCCGCACCCCCGATATCGCCCTCCACGCTAACACGCTCTCCGCCAAGCAGTTTTCTAACTTCCCTGCACTGCCATTTGGTCAACCAAAATGCATTCACACAACAGGAAATATCAGCGCGTCCACTTTCCAGACGCATCGGGCATAATTAACCATTCCCCTCCAAACCCCTCGTGATCCTCCTATCCCACAAGCTGAGAACTACTTTTGTTTTTTATTGTTTCTTTTTTTGCCTTTTTGAGTCAGGGTTTCACTATGTAATTCAGCCTGGCCCTAAACTCACATAGATCCTCCTGTCTCAGCCTCCAGAGAGCTAGGATTACAGACATGTGCCACCATGCCCAGTTTGTCTTTTATTCTTTTTGCTCTACTGGGAATCAAACTCAGGGATTCATGCATGCTAGGCAAGTGCCCTACCACTGAGCTACAGCCCCAGCCCTTTTTATTGTGAGAAAATATCTCACTGAGTTGCCTAGGATGACCTTGAATTTACAGTCCTGCCTCAGCCTCCCAAGGAGCCATGCTGTGGACTGATTTTATTTTTTTCTTTTTATTACTCTATTTTATTTTATTTGTGTGGACTAATTTTAAAGTTAGCTGCCAGACACTGCATGAAAACTAAGGGGAGGAAGAGAGAGAAAAAGGAAGACTTATTCATAAAAAGCACTCAGTCTCCCCTATTTGTGAGCTCTGCAAATGAGGGTTCAACCAACCTCGGATCAAAGATACTCAGAAAAAACAACTGCATCTGACCTGGACATGTAGAGCCCCTTCCCTTGTCATTACTCCCTGCACAATGTGGCATAAAGATCATTTCCACAGGGTTCGCACTGTGTTCAGCATCACAATCATCTAGGGACGATTTGAGATGCCAGCCAGGGTGTGGATCACAATCTGGCACTTGGGCGGCCAAGGCAGGTGGACTGCTGCAAATTCAAGGCCAGCCTGAACTGGCAGAGAGATCCTGCCTCAAAAACATAAAAAGTACCTGGGAGGCGTGGGGTGCAGCTTCCAGGGAGGCTGCATGTTTAGCTCAGCATGCCTGAGGGCTGGTTCAAACCGCAGCAAGAATAATAAAGGATGCAGAAGGACTGCATAGATTATACGCGGTGCTAAGCCATTTTACACAGGGGGCCTGGGCATCCTCGGGGGATGAGGACAGCTGTGCACAGTCACCAGACACAGGGTTCAGGCTACAACAGACCCTGTGAGCAGCAGGCCCTGCGTGATCATATCACGGGTGACATCGAGGCCACCTTGGTTTGGGCGAGGGCCCTCTGGGACACTCAAGCAATGATGAAATCACCTAATGACAAATTCCACAGAAAGCCCTGTTGTCAAGAGACATGTGCCTGACACACGAAACAGCAAGTATGAAACTGTTAACTCAGTCGGTAATTTTTTCTCATGCTGAGCACTGTCCTAGGCTCTGGAAATCCAGTAATGAGTCAGAAAGTTCCTGTTCTCTTCACACTTAGGTTTAATGCAAGACAAACAAAGAAAAATTAAAATCACTTTGGTACTGTAATCCCAGCGTCTAGAATGCTGAGGCAGGAGGATCAAGAGTTTGAGGCCAGGGGGCTGGGGATTTAGCTCAGCGGCATAAACGCCTGCCTTGCAAGCAGGCAGTCGTGAGTTCGATCCCTGGGACCCATAAAAAGGAAAAAGACAGAAAAAAAAAAAAAAAGTTTGAGGCCAACCTGGACTACACAGACCTTTTTGAGACCCTGTCTCAAAAAGGCAGGAAGACCATCATAATAAATAAGTAAAATAAATTTAAAAACACTATCAGCCAGTGATAAATGCTGCTGAGGAAAAACATAGTAAGAGATGGGAAATAGAGGCTGTTAGGAAAGCACAGTTGCTATGGAGATGGGATGGCCCAGCAAAGTGACTTAATGAGGTGAGGAGGGGAGGAGAGATTAGGAGGTGGAAGGCATAGTAAGTGCAAAGGCCCTGAGGCTGGAAACTGCTTGGCATGTTAGTGGAACCGCAGGACAGCAGAGACCAATGTGACAAGAATGAGGCTGGCATAGGAAAGTGGGAGTAGATGGGATCGGGGAGCTAACAAGGGCCAGAACTTCATGAGCCACATAGATGGCTTCTGTGAATGAGCAGGGTGCCATGGAAGGGCTCCAGGCAGAACAGTGAGGTGAGCTGACTCATATCTTAACAGGATTCCTCTAGCTGTTTTATGAAACTAAATTGTAGGGGCCAGGGAAGGCAGGTCCCCCATTACTGCTGTATACAGGTTCCTGCAAGTCCACGGGGCCAAGCTGGCCAAGCAGGGACTCGGGGCTCTCTTGCTTTGGTGCATGCCCCTGAGGTCCTGCTCCTCACCTAGCACCTTGGCTGGCTGCGGCCTCAGAAGGTGAGAAAGGGTCAGAGGCTGTGAAGGCGCCAGCTGTGTGTGGCCCACGGAAGCAGGTGCACAAGCTGGGGACAGAGGAACTAGGAAGAACTTGTCCCTGGGCTTGGTCGTGTCCTGCGGTGACCTCCGGCTCCCACCATGGAATCTGCATAGGCCCTGTGAGCAAGCCTGTGTTGGCCTCTTGGGAGTCTTCCCCATCCTAGCACCTGCTCTGGGGCTAGGTGGCACCCGGAACACCACGATGCCTAAGCAGCCCTCCGCCTTGCAGAGGCTCCCAGGGTGTGCAGAGCCGTCCTCAGACAGGGCCTCCCCAGGGTGTGCAGAGCTGGGGCTGGGGAGCAGCAGGAGGATCCCAAAAGAGGGCTTCCTGGAGGAGGAGGCAGCGCTGTGCAGACTGTCAAAGGTCACCTTTCTGAGCTTAACAATTGCTCTCCTGTGTGATCAGTGGATAGAGTGACTTGACCAGTCTGGCTGTAATCTAAGCGTTCCCTGTGGGCCGACAGGCAAAGCCAGGCTCCAGGGGACCCTGGTTTTACAGGTGACCCCCCCCCCCCAGGCTGATCAAAGACCTAAGGGATCTCTCCGGTGTGAGCAGCGACCCCTCCCCTCCCATTCTGACCAGTGTCCTGGGTTGGCTTCTCCCGGCTAATGAGTGCCTCCCTCCCCCAGCTCCAGCCAGCAGTCTGACCCGGCTTGTGAGGAGACTTGAGCAGCCTGCTCAGTGACCCCTTCAGGTGACCTGTGACCCTTCCTTTCAACCAGTGGCCGGCCCTCCTCCCGCTCCACTCACCTGCCCCAGCCAGCCGCCTTCTCTTCCCCTCCCCCAAGGTGGGGTGGGAATGAAGAGGAGGACGAAGGAGAAAGGGGGGTGACATTCCTTGGATTCCCTGGATGGGGGAAGAGAGGGCGGGCCGGGGAGAGAGCAGGCGAGGGCACCCCACGCCACGCCGGCCATCGGCCGCAGGTGGACCTGGCAGCAGACAGAGGCCATCAGAGATAAGACACGCGCGGGTCCCTCGAAGGTCACTAGCCGGTCGCTGCCCAGGACCGGAGCCCCCTCACCTGCCTCGGCGGGGAGGAGTCTGCAGGGCTCCGAGCCAGAGTGACGGGCCGAGCCGCGGCCGCTGGGGACCCGGCTGCCCGCAGGGGTGTCCAGCGCGAGGACACTCGGGGCGGCGGGCGGGGGCACGGCGCGGGGCAGGTCGCGCGGCTGGGCGGTCCGCCCGGGCGGTGGGCGGTGCTGGCCGCGCTCCCGGGCTGGGCGGAGCCTGGCTGCCCGGCGCGGCTCAGCCTCACCCGGCTCAGTCGCCGCCGCCGCGCGAACATGGAGCCCCCGGACGCGCGCGCAGGGCTGCGCAGGGCCCCGCGGCTGCTGTGGCTGGTGCTCCTGCTGGCGGCGCAGCCAGGTAGGCGCGGGCCGAGCGGGGCGGGCCGCGGGGGGACCCCGGCGAGGGAGCACGGGCGAGCTGGGCACGCCGCGGCGTGGGTCAGCCGGAGCCACCCGCGTGCCCCTTGCCCACGCAGGACGCTGCAGTCTGGGCCCACCGCCCCTCCTTTCTCAGACCCAAGAGTCCAGGTCCCCAAGGGGCTTCCCCTAGGTGCCCTGGGACCAAAACCCCCGGACTGTCCCCGCTCCGAGGTTCTCAAGTTTTGCGGGAGCTGCCCCCCCCCCCCGCGCGCCAGCAAAGCTCCGCTGCGGGCCCTGCCCGCGGTTCCTACAGTGTGAGAGTTTCCCCCGCGGAATTCAGAGTCCGGCTCCCCAGAGAGCCCACCTCGCCTGGAAAGGGCCGGAGTCCCGGCCCTGCGGGGACGGTGGAGCAGCGCGTTTCCGAGTGACAGTGCCCCCTTCCTGGGGCCCTGCAACAGCGCGCGCACCTGCACGGTGGCGAGAGGGAGGAGGCCCGGGGACAGGGACAGGGACTCCAAAGGGACTGGGGAAGAGAAGGGGCATCTCTGCCTTTTTCCTCTGCGGCCTTCGGCCCAGACCCAGCAGGGCCACCAGCCTGGCCCCATGGCCGCTCCCCTGGGGCCAGAGGAGAGTGGCCAGGAATCCGGAGCGGGGTAAATAATGGTCCCCCCTCCCGGAGCCTGGCTGGGCAGGGCGGGTGGGGCGGGGCAGGGCAGGGAAGGGAGGTTCTTAGAGCCGAGAGTGGTGCCCAGAGGGTACAGTGTGGTGATTTCACTGTCTGCCAAGGGTGAGGACCCAGCCTCTCGGGCCGGCAGGCGGCAGGAGTCCAGGCCCTCAACCTCCTCCTCCCCAGGTCCCGGATCCTAGCTTCAGCTCTGACCAGAGCCAGGGTGACTCACCTTACCTCCTAGCTCTATTAAAGGGGAGACAGGGGGCGCCCAGGGGTCTCTGCTGCCAGCCAGGGCAGGTCTCAGCCAGCCTTCCCCTCCCACATTCCTGAAACCTGCCCAGCCCTGTCCCCCCTCACCACCCCACACACCCATCCGCCTCAGCCCTCAGCTCCAGGCCCAGCCACAGCCCACAGCCCAGGCCCCACGCATGAGAGAGCAGGGCAGCTCCAGGAGCCAGGAGAGACAGACAGATAGAGGGGTGGGCGAGGCAGGGACTGGGCCTGCAGAGGTGTTTGCTCCAGTGGGAGAAGCTAGGGGTGAAGGCAGCAGCCCTACCCCAGGACAAGGAGCAAAGACCACCAGGTCCCGCACAGCGCTAGGGGAGCCTGGCCTGCAAGGGAGAGACGGGAGAAAGGCTGGAGTGTGGGGTGCGGAGATGAGAAGGGAGAGAGCAAGGGTCTGAGTCTGAAGGAGGAGGGTGAGCCTGGAGGACCCTCTTGCTGGTGGCAGTAGGAGGGAGCTCATTCGCTGTCCCCAGGTGTCCGGGCCGAGATGCACGTGTCTGTGCCCCCTCTGGTGGAGGTGATGCGGGGAGAGCGCGTCACCCTGAGCTGCACCCCCTCGAAGAAGCCCGACCACTTTGTGCTGGAGTGGTTCCTGGTGAGTGCGAGACTGACTGTTGGCATAGGTCGCCCAGGCGGATGCTGTCGCCCCCATCACGCCCTCCACAGAGCTGGGCAGAGGGAGAGGCCGTCCTGCAGCGTTTCTGCTTCACAGATGGGTGACTGGAGGCCCAATGAGAGGAAGGGAGTCTCCAAGGTCCCAGGTGTGGGGCGGAGCTGACAATGACTGAAGTTCTCCTTTACAATTCTCTTGGGAGAAAGACCACAAAGGGATCACAGCGGGGAGGACATGAGAGACCAGGCAGAGGAACAGACAGGGAACAGAATGAACTGCAGAAAAAAGGATATGGAGCCAGGCATGGTGGCATGTACCTGTAATTCAACACTCACTCGGGAGGCTGATGCAGAAGGATTTCATTGAGCACAACACCAGCCTGGGGTACATAGAGAGTTCAGGTACAGCCTGAACTGTATCACAAGACCCTGTCTCAAAAAAAAAAAAAAAAGGGCAGGGAGGAAAAATCAAGAACAGGGACTGGATGGGAGGTGGCAGGGCTAGGGACAGTCAGGTAAGAGGGTATCAGGAGGCAGAGCCAGACCCGGGATACCAGAAAGAAAAGACCAGAGGGAGACAGACTACTGGGCATGGAGCAATGGCCTGACACCTGGCCCTGGCCTTGCTGTCCCCAGATGGAGCGCTCTGGGGTCCGTCGCCGCCTGGCCTCGGCTGAGCAGCAAGGCTCCGAGCTGCATCGCGTGGTGCATGAGCCTCAGGGCCGGAGTCCCCCTTACCAGCTGGACCCCCAGGGGAGCCTGGTGCTGGCCGAGGCCCAGGTGGCCGATGAGCGGGACTACCTGTGCGTGGTGACAGCTGGGGCTGCTGGCACGGCAGAAGCCACCTCCAGGCTCCGGGTATTTGGTGAGTATCCCCAGGGAGCCCTGAGGGGCGCGGGGCAGGTGAGGTGAGGTGAGAAGGGGCTCCTGACATGAACATCATCCCCCGCAGCCCAACCAGAGGCCACCGAGGTGCTCCCCAACGGGGGGACGCTGTCCGTGATGGACAGTGCCTCACAGGTACCTTGGGGACCGACCTGGATTCCAGCGCCGGGAGGTGGGGTTGGAGGCGAAGGCTCCTGGGCCTCTTGGCCTGAGGAATGGAGTCCTGGGGTCCTGACTTCTGCTTTCGGGTGAGGGGACCCAGACTTTAGAGTTCTGGCTCACCGCCCAGGGCCACGCCCCTGTGTGCCTCAGGTCGCCACCTGCAGCAGCCGGAATGGGAACCCGGCCCCGCAGATCACCTGGTACCGGAACGGGCGGCTCCTGGAGGTGCCCGTGGAGATGAATGAGGGTGAGCTCCGGGGCAGCCAGACCTGGGCCGGGGTGGGTGGTGCCGGGGCCTGACTGATGCCGCTGCTTCTCTCCAAGAGGGGTATATGACCATCCGCACAGTCCGGGAGGCCTCCGGCCTGCTGTCCCTCTCCAGCACCCTCTACCTGCGGGTCCGAAAGGCCGACCGGAATGCCAGCTTCCACTGTGCCGCTCAGTACAGCCTGCCCGGGGACCGCCACGGCCGTCTGGACAGCCCTGCCTTCAATCTCACCGTGCACTGTGAGTGCCGGGGGAGAGAAGGGGCTGTCACCCTGGCTGGAGCCAGGCCTCCCTGATGCCCAGCACCCCCAAGCGAGCCAAAACAGCCTCACACTCCAGGTTTGGAGGCAGTGTGTGTGCTGCTCTGGCTGCTGACCTCTGACCTCTGACCTCTGACCTCCCATGGTAGTGCAAGCCCCATCCTATCCCACATACGTTCCTACCAAGTCCAGCCCCTCTAGGACATCTGGCCCCAAATCACACACTGACCCTCCGTGACCTCAAACTCTGAGCTGCCCCCTCAGCCCATGTCCACCTCAGGCTGCTGGGGTCCACTCTCAGAATGGACAGGAAGCTGAGCCTTGACACATGACCTGTAACCTTGACCACCCGCAGCCTCCCGGAGTCAGCAGGGCTGACCCGGTACCTTAGGCCCATCGCCCCCTCCCCAGTGGTGACACCCCATTCTCTCCCCCACCCCTCCGTTTTTTCTGCCCTTCTCCACAGATCCCACGGAACATGTGCGTCTCTGGCTGGGCAGCCCATCCACCTCGGAGGGCTGGGTGCGCGAGGGTGACTCCGTCCAGCTGCTCTGTGAGGGTGACGGCAGCCCCAATCCAGAGTACATGTTTTTCCACCTGCAGGTGACACACCCCGGTCCCTCCCCAGCCCTTGCCTCCACGACATGCTCAATGGCACCAGCTGCTAATTTTTGGCAACCCAGGGCTTGGAGCATGCTGGGCACATGTGCCACTGTGCGCCATCCCCTGTCCCTGGGGTCTGGGTGGTTTCCGCCTAGGGTGGTGACCAGGAGCTAAAGGACTTCTGGCCCAGGCTTTAGAGTCCTGCTGAGCCAGCTCGGTGCCCAGCTCGGTGACCCCCGAGCCCTGACTGGAGTACGATGTGTCCTGGCCCAGTGTTCCCTGACTTGGTGTATCCTCTCTGGGCCAGGGTGGCCCCTCAGCCTGGCCTGTCACCTCTGGTCCAGGACACGCAGGAAAACGTGCTGAGCACAAACCTGGAGGGGAAGCTGACCCTGGAGCGCGTGAACCGCAACCAGAGTGGGACCTATGGCTGCCGGGTGGAAGACTTTGACGCCGCGGAGGATGTGCTGCTCAGCCAGACGCTCAGGCTGAAAGTGGCCTGTGAGCACCCTGGGGGGCCTGCCCTGTGCACCCCTTGCAGCCCTAGCCCTGCCCTTCAGGTCCCTCGAATCCTGGCCCGGCTCCTGGCAGCACCTGCCTGCTTTCTGTGTGTCTGCCCTCTCCCCTCCTCGGATCCCAGTGAGACCTCCAGAGAGCTTTCCTGAGCCGCCCCACCTAGAACCTGCCATGGCTCCCCAGAAGGCACAAGGTCTCTCTCCACAGCTCCCAAGGCCCGCCGGCCAGCACTGCCCAAGTGGACCCTTCCTTCCACCCAAAAACGCTGCCGCCTCCACCCCAAACCCCTCTCTTCACCCCTGCCTGGGTCCCCTCCTTGTTACTGTGCATTTGTAACCTGGATTCTGGGTTCCTCTTCCTTTTTCTCCATCTCTTCCTCCTCCTCCTCCTCCTTCTTCCTCTCCGTTTCCAATTTTTCTCTTGTATTAGTACTGGCATGGAACTCAGGGCCTCCTGCTTGCTAGGTAAATGCTCTGCTACACACCGACAGCCTTTTAAAATTTTATTTTAATTTGTTAAATTTTGACACAAGGCCTTATTTTTATTTATTTATTTATTTATTTATTTTAATGAGACAGAGTCTCAATATGTAGTACGGCTGGTCCAGACTATGTAGCTCAGGCTTGCTTCGAACTTGTGGCAATCCTCCTGCCTCGGCCTCCTGAGTGCTAGGATTACTTGTGACAAGGTCTTGATAAGTGACTCAGGTAGCATTGAACTTCGGTGGTTCTCCTGCCTCAGCCTCCCAAGTATATGGGATTAAGGGTGCAAGGCAGCACCTGGCTGGTGGATCTAGCTTTCTAAGAAGCCTTCTAGTTGAATGTGCAGGGTAAAAGCTTTGTTTCTCTTCCTCCTCCTCTGCCTCTTCCTTCACACCCCAAACGGGTAGACTCTGCGGCAGGAATCGGGATGCACCTGTGAACAGACAGCCCCATCCCCTCCCCCTATGGCAGGGAGCCAGATGCTGACTCTTAAGCAAGCCGTTACACTGAGCTGAGACTGGCCTGGAGCAGCCCAGAGCAGGCTCTTGCGGTTAGAAAGCTTTCAGGGAGCCCCTTGGGGCTACATCCACTAGCTGAGGGAGGTGACAGAGCAAGGGCGGGCAGGGGAAGAAGCTCCACCACAGACCAGTGAAGGCCTGGTGGGTCCCGCAGGGGTCTCGGATGCTGGAACAGCCCTTCCTGGGTGTCCCCAGCTGGGGTGAGGGGCAGTGCAGCTGGGGCAGTTTCCAGAGGGACAACAGCTGCAGGCTGGCAGCTGCCGCAGCAGCTGGGGGAATCCATCCTGCAGTTCGGGGAGGGAGTGCTGTCCACAGTAGGGGTCAGGGAGGCCTCTGCCACAGGGGCAGCAGATGAACTGTCAGGGTAGGCAAAGGGCAGGGGAAGCTGCAGGAGGACTGAACAGGTGCAGGGCCCGGGGCACACCCTGCTCTCAGGACTTGGGAGAGAGAGCACAAAGGCTCCCTGGGGCCCAGCCAAGAGGAGAGGCCAGAGTTTCCAACAGGTGGGCCAGTGCCAGGCCAGCCAGGGCTTGCAGGCTGCTAGAGGCCTTGGGCCCTGATGCCAGGGGACTTGAGAGCCACTGCACAGTTTTTAAGCCCCATGGAGGATGAGGTGAGAGCAGGTGAGTGAGGGTAGATGACAGGAGGTTGTCAGGACTGTCAGATCCAGGGGACCAGTGATGGAAGGAAGCAGGGAAGCCATCTGGAAGGCACAGCAAATAGTCTTGGGCAAAATTTTTTTTTTTTTTTTTTTTTTTTGGTACCAGGGATCGAACTCACAAGCTCACGCTTGCCAGGCAAGCGCTCACACTGCTAAGCTAAATCCCAGCCTGCAAATAAAGTCATAAAAGAAATAATCAGAGCCCAGCCTGAGCAATTTAGCAAAATTCCTGTCTCGAAATACAAATGAAAGAGGGCTGGGAGTAGAGCAGTCCCGGGGTGGATCTTCAAGACAGAAAGAACAGAGAACTAACAGATGTGGCAAGATGTGGAGAAGCAAAGTTCTGGGCAGAAGCCCAAGGTGAGAGGAGGCTGTTCACGCAGGTGCAAGGCCCGCCCGCGTTCCATCCCCAGCACTGAGAGAAGAAACAGCTTCCCCTGTGCCCCTGCCCGGGTCACCCATTAACTGGGGCTCCTCAGCCAGGGAAGCAGGGGCGGGCACAGGTGTATCTTGGAGTTCGACACCTGGATTTGGGCTCCAGGTCCTGCATGGGACATGGAGACTTCCTCAAATGGACAGTTGTCCCTTGATGTTTGCCAGCCCTGGAGAGGACCCAGGCCCAGGGCTGGGGAAGCTGATGCCCTGTCCCCTCCTGCAGACCTGGACCCCCCGGAGCTCAGCACGGGGAAGGAGCTCTCCGTGTTCCTCAACAGCAGCCGCACAGCCGTGACCTGCTCCACTCAGGCTCAGCCCACACCTGCCCTGCGATGGACCAAGGTGGGCAGGAGGGAAGCCCTGCTGACCCCCACCTGCACTCCCTCGCCCACCCACAAGGCTCACGCCCTGTCCTCCTTCCTATCCCCTCCCCTCCAGGACTCGGTCCCTCTGGAGGATGGACCCACACTGTCGCTCGGCCCCTTCACCTTCGATTCCGCCGGCACCTACGTGTGCGAGGCCTCGGTGCCCAGTGTCCCCCTCCTCAGCCGCACCCAGAGCTTCAAGCTGCTGGTCCAAGGTTCGGGGTGCAGGACGGCTGGGTAGGGATGGCCGGTGGGTCGGGGGCCGAGAAGGCCAGGCTCTCTGTGCTCCTCCCTTCCTCTCTCCTGCTGTCCCTTCCTCTGTGTGACTCCTGCACACCTTGTCCCTGGCCTACAGGGTCGCCAGAGTTAAGGGCTAAGGAACTGGAGCCCAAGGCCGAGGGCAGCTGGACAGAAGGGGACCAGGTCGAGCTCATCTGCTCCACACGTGGCTACCCGGAGCCCAAACTCACCTGGAGCCTGCAAGGCGACCAGGTAAGGGCCGTCCTCTCCAGGCCCCTCCACCTGCTGCAGGGACCCTGCCCCACACCAGCCTTCCCACCTCTGCCTGTATCCCAAGCCCTTGATCCCCCTGTGTGCCTGACCCGAGCCTCCACAGCCGGCAGAGCAGGCCCACAGCGGACAGGGCTGGACGAGCAGCTCGCTGACCCTGCGAGTGACCAGCGCCCTGGGCCGAGAGGGCGTCTCCTGCGAGGCCACCAACTCCCACGGGCGCCTCCGCCACGTCTTCCACTTTGGCAAGGGTGAGTGACGCAGAGGCACCGACCGAGGAGTTGGACACAGTGCTGCCCGGGACCTGCCTCACACTGAAGCCCCTCTGCTGCCCCTGCAGTGGCCCCCCAGACCGCTCAGGCCGGAGTGGCCGTCATGGCGGTGGCCATCAGCGTGGGCCTCCTGCTACTCGTGGTTGCCGCCTTTTACTGCATGCGACGTAAAGGACGCTCAGCCTGCTGCCGCCGCAGAGAGAAGGGGACCCCGTGAGTGGCCATCATCTCCCACCCAGCCCCAACACTGATCTCAGTCCTGGTGGCGTCTGGACCCCAGCCCTCCAGCCTGACCCCAGCTCCGCCCCCAGGCCTCATCCCACCCGCACCTTCTCCTCCTCCTCATTCCCACCAAGCATCCCCAACACCACTGCAGCCTCTGTCCCAGCCTGTCACCAGCTTCCCCAGCGGCACCCCAGCCCCATCCCAGGACCACCCTCAGACCCGCCCCATTGACCCCATACCCCACCCAGTCTCCTATCACCCTAGGCTTCCTTTCCTGTCGTCCCCAACGCCATCACCATCTTCTGACTCCACCCCACCCCTGTCCCATTGCCGGTGGGGCCCCTTCCCCATCCAACATGCCACTCTCGCCTCTCTGTCCCTGCAGGCCGCCTGGGGAGCCCGAGCTGGGTCGGCCCGGGTCTGAGCGGCCAGAGCACACTGGCCTTCTCTCGGGCGGGGCCGGGGGAGGAGCCCGCAGTAGCAGCGGGGCTTTCAGAGATGAGGTGAGTGAGGGCCGGGCCTGTGGGGACAGGGAGCCCACCGGGCATGTGGACAGCCTCGTGGCTGCAGGCTGAGTCACCCGTTTACTCCGCAGTGCTGAGCCTAAGACGCCTAGGAGGCTCCAGGCACCGACCTCGAGCTGTGGGCACCACCGGAGCACCAGCCTGCGCTGCGCCCCTCCTCCAGCCTGGCCAGCTGGGCCAGTCCCTCCCTTCCTTCCTCTGCTGCCGGGCAGGGACCCTCCGCCCACCCGGCCTGGCCTCCGGGAGGGGGCGGGGAGGGTGGGGGGCCGGGAGGGGGCCTTCCTTCAGGGAGTGTCACTCTCCCAGGCCCCAGAATAGCTCCTGGACCCAAGCCCGGGCCGGCCTGGGACAGGGCCGGAGGAGGGTCGCTGGCCGGGGCTATTTTTACCTCCTCCCCAAACGGGTCCCCCACCTGAGTCCTGCTACACAGTCTGACACTGGATCCCCCACCCACCCTCTCCCCCGGCCCTTATATGTGGACACTGGATTCTGGAATAAATGCTGTCTGTCACTTGGACACCATCCGGTGGCCAGAGCTCCCTGAGGGCAGGGAAGGCCAGGAGGTGCAGGTGCCTCTCCCTGCCTTGGGAGAAGCCTGATGTCATGGAGAGAAAGAGCAGAGAGGGACAGAGCGAGGGTGTAGAGGTGACTCAGCTGCCCAGGGTGAAGGGAGAGATGCCCAGTGTGAGAGCCGCCAGCCTGGGCCCTGAGAACCAGAAGCCAGGCCTGCATGGGAAGGGGTGCTGGGGTGCTCTCCCCTTAAGGAAACATTCCTACCCTCTGAGCCCCGAGGGAGCTGAGCTGGGAGGGGAGGCTCGCACTCTCTCTCCCTCTCCCCCACCTCTCCTCCCTCCCTCCCTCTCTGTTTCTCTGCCTTGAGGCTGGTAGGAATGTGGGTGGGCAGCCTCCTCTCTCTCCGGAGGTCAGAGACCCTGCAGCTGAGGATTCTCTGGGAGAAGAAGTGAGCCATGTGAGGGGCCTGGCCACAGGGAGGAGACAGGACTGAGACTGAGGAAGAGAAGTTTGAAAGAGGGACAGAAAAAACTGGGTGCGATGGTACATACCTGTAATCCCAGCCTCGAAGGAGGCTGAGTCAGGAGGATCTCACCTTCGAGTCTTAGGCAGTGGTGCGGGCAGAGCCTACCTTAAAATTAAAAAGGGCCCAGGGATGGCTCAGTGATTGAGCCCAACCTGGCTTCCATTTCTGATACCAAAAAAAGAAAAGAGAGCGAGAGAGACGTGGGGAGGGTGGGAGGAGGGATGAGCCTGGAAGCCCTGAGAGAAGACAAAGATTAACGGGGACAGAGGCTCCACAAACTGGGGCTGAGTGTGTGGGTGCTCACCTGTAATCCTAGGGCTCAGGAGATTGAGGCAGGAGGATCAGCTGGAATTCTGGGCCAGTCTGGGAGAGACAATTACAGAAGAACCAAGGAGAGACACAGGCAAGCAGCACCACACTAGCACGGGGGTGGGCAGAAAGTGTGGGCACCCGTGGCACGGCCTTGCCCCTGGCCCGGGCAACTTTATCTCCTGAGCCCAGGTTCCGCGGCATCCTATGGGACAGGTCCCGTACTGGCCCCTAGAGGGCTCCGCAGTGCTGAGGGCCTAGGGCTGTGGAAGCAGGGTAGTGCAGCTGCCCCTAATCTCCAGTTGCAGGGACAAGGCCATCCTCTATATTCCTTTCTTATTACAGCCGGGCATGGTGCCGCATGCCCATAATCCCAACACTCAGCAGGCTGAGGCAGGAGGGTGGTAAAGGCCAGCCTGGGCCTCATGATGAGTTCAAGACCAGACTAGACTACATGGCAAGACCCTGTCTCAAAACGAGACAAAAGCCACAAATAAATAAATAATTATAACCTGTAATCCTGGCACTTGGGAGGCTGAGGCAGGAGTATTGCTGTGAGTTCAAGGCCGACCTGGGCTACACAGCAAAACCCTGCCTCAAAAATTTCTATTACAGTAAAAGAGTTCGTAACTTCAAACCACTCCCTCCTTCACTTCTTCACAAGACACACTTATGCCATCCTTCTCACCACTTTCTGCAGCCTTCTAGAAGCTTCTTTCACAACGGTCTTTATAAAATGTGATTAAGAAATACAGTGACCCAGCAGAGGGGCTCACAAAAACACCCCTGTGTATCTGTCACTTACTGCATCTGGCACTGTGCAACTTCTAGCTCTTTCCCCAATCAAAATGACCATGGAAGGTAAAGGCTAGAAAAAATTCAGGGCACTGAGGCCGCCAACAGCGGTGCGACTAAAGACACTTCCAGTGACACAGCTTCGAGGAGGAAGGTTGGAAGGTTTCCACGGTGTCAGTCCATGGTGCTGACCCCAAGGCAGGACCATCACTGTGGAGGAGCACACCAGAGGAAGCTGCGCCCTGCATGGGGACTGGACACAGAGAGCAAGGAGGAGCCAGAGGGAGGGACGCACGGGCTAAGGGCAGCTCAGTGACCGTCTCCTCTGGCAGCCCAAACCCCACAGCACTTCAGCAGGGCTCAGCAATGACCAGTTCAGGAGAGGCTAGCATCCAAGATCCAGTCACCTGGGGCTGGGGATTTAGCTCAGCAGCATAAGCGCCTGCCTTGCAAGCAGTCGTGAGTTCGATCCCCAGTACCAATAAAAAGGAAAAAGCAAAAAAAAAAAAAATTCAGTCACCTTCCAAGCCCAGCTCTAAACACAGGCTCTCCCTGTGGAGTTCAGACCGTCCCCACTATGTGGCCCCAGCGGGCCTCAAATTGGAGGCAGTCCTTGTGCCTCAGCCTCCTGAGCGCTGGGATTAGAAATGTGCACCACCACACCCGTTAAAGAGGCTTTGGGAGGGACAGGTTTGATCCAAACTGTAACAGTAAATAAAACCATGCATAGAGGAGAGACTACTGTGCGTCTCAGGTCCCATCCTTCCCTTGTGTCATCTATCTGTGACACGATCTCTCCCTTTGTGTGGCTCTTTGGTCCTTTATATAGCAAAATTGAATACCTTACATAATTAAATTAAATTATTTATTTATTGGTACCAGGAATCCAACTCACGGGGCTGGGGATTTAGCTCAGCGGCATAAGCGCCTGCCTTGCAAGCAGGCAGTTGTGAGTTCGATCCCTGGTACCGATAAAAAGGAAAAAGACAAAAAAAAAAAAAAAAAAAAAAGAAGGAATCCAACTCACAACCTTGCACTTGCCAGGCAGGAGCTTGTTCCACTGTGCTCCAAATTTTTGTTTTTCATGGCTTTTTTTTCTGGTACCTGGAATTGAACTCAGGACCCTGTACTTGCCAGGCAGGTGCTTGTGCTGCTGAGCTGTATCCCCATCCCCCTCCATATTATTATTATTATACAAGTTTGTAACAAGCCTCCCCCTTCAGCAACCTTCTGTGACTCCCCATAGTTCCCGGGAGCTGTGCCTCACGGGCACTCAGCACCTTCGGAGGGAGACACTGCTCCTCACACACACCCACTACGTTTCTGCCATGCTGGGTCCGGCTTCCTGGGAATCCCTCCACCACGTCCCCCACTGTAACAAAGCTTCAGCATCTTCAGTGCTGGGATTGCGTCCTATGATACCATGCCCAGAGAGTCTGAAAAAGTTCATAATCACACTTCTCCCTGCCTTGGGAAATTGCAGGAATCTCCCAAAATTGGACAGATTTTATCAGTTTGCAAATGACCCCAGCAAAAAAAAAGAGAGAGAAAGAGAGAGAGAAGAGGGGAGGAGGAGCTTAGTAGAGTTTGATGGCCAGGCAGGCATGGTGACACAGGCCTATAATCCCAGCATTTGGGTAGGAGATCGCTGTGAGTTTGCGGCCAGCCTTAACTGCATAGTGGAACCCTGTCTCAAAAAAAAAAAAAAAAAAAAAAAAAATGTAGGTGAAAAGGGACAAACTACTTAGTTATATAACTGGGCAGACTACCTTCAGGCATAGCTGGATCCAGAGGCCGAGATCCATTTCCATTCCTTGACCAAAACCAGGGACAAAGAACGCTGTTTGGTGCAGGCCAGGCAGGCCAGGCGAGGTTCATTCTGTCCCAGAGGGATTCAGGTGCTAAGCATAGCCAGGGGCTGGGCAGCTGTGCCCGCAGAAAAGAGGCCTCAGAGAGGCCTCGGAGGCCCCTTTGGGAAGCTGTGTCCACATCTCTTGAGTTGAGGGCTCTTCAGCCAAGTGCAGCCTCCGGCCTCCGGGACTCCTTGACACTGGAAATTGACACCCCAGGCATGGGACCCACCTAGTCATTTGTCAACAAAGTAGCAATGCTCTGCATATGACCTGGGGCTGTGTGACTCCAGCCTGCACTCCTGGGGCTCTTTCTGGGCTTGCCCCGCCCACTTGGTGGCAGGAGAGAAGAGTGGAGGCTTGGACTGGGGACCTTCCCACTCCGAGGGACAGAATCTGACCTAAGAATCTTAGGTCAAAAGAGAACACACAAGCAGGCAGCGTTTTGCAAAGAAAGTAGCAGCATGGCGTCTACACGATGCACTTATTTGTCCAGCGGCCTCGAGTCCACCCATGCAGAGCCTCAGACGCTCCCTACCTGGAGAACACAGCAGACTCTGAGAGCACAGCCGTTCCAAATCCGGGTCCAAATCCCAGCGTGCTACTTCCTTGCAGTGAAATGGGGAACGTGACAGTGGTCCATTCATGGGACTGACTCTTCGGAGGAATAAGCTAAGACAAGTCACCTACACAGGGTCAGCACTGCAACTGCCACTCTCCCCCATGCTTTGGGAACTGAATCTAGGACCTTCCCACTGAACTACAGCCCTATCCCTCCTTTTACTTTGACACAGGATCTCCCCGAAGAGCCCAGGCTGGGCTCTAATTTGTAATCCTCCTACCTTAGGCTCCCAAAGAGCTGTGTTTGCAGGCTTGTGTCACCAAACCCTCCTAGTCACATCTGACTTTTCCTAACTCCGACTTTGGGGCAAAGCGCGTCATATCTCGGTGTCTCAGTTTCTTTATCACATAAGTACCGTGTGGGTTGAGATCACACTTGTAGTGCTGAGCATGGTGGCACACGCCTGCAAGCCCAGTGCTCCGGAGCCTGAGCCAGGAGGTTCGAGGCCAACCTGAGCTACATAGGAGACCCTATCTCAAAAAATAAATAAAAAATTTAAAAAGGCCTAGTGCGTTGAGAACAGCACCCGCCCACAGTGAGTGCTAAGTATATTTATCAACAGTACCTTTATTAAGTTTTGGACACGGGTCAGCCAGAGCCTGCGCAACTGGGACCTCCCCTTTTGGGAGGAGAGCCCGGTGTGTGGCAGGTGAAACGGGCCGGGACTGGGGGCCTTCGGGCAAGGAGCCCCCGGACTCCAGGCCCCGACCGCGCGCCCACCTGGAGGCCCCGGGTCTCAGGGCTGGGGAGCCCTGGCCCGGGCCTCGCTACCACCCCCGCGGCCAGGAATATGAGAAGCAGGTGGGGGCGGGGAGGCGCGGGCCGGCGGGAGACAAAGGGGCCGGGTCAGAGCGCGACACGAAGACGCGGGGAGGTTGGGGCGTTGGGGAAGTGGGGGACAAGGACACGGGGAGAGACAGCCCCCGGCCTGGCCAGCCCGGCGGAGCGCGGCGCGGTCTGTGCTGCCCCCTGGCGGGCGGCCCCGAGAACAGAGGCCGCGGGAACGAGGGGGTGCGGACCCTGCGCGGGAGAGGGGACCGGAGACGCGGGGAGGGAGGGTCACTGACCAGAGACGGAGACACGGAGAGAAACAGAGGCACAGGCACAGCAAGAGACAGAACGACAGAGAAACGAGACAGAGTCAAAGGGATGGAAAGAGACCTCGGGACCAAGCGACGGAGAAACACACAAAGAGAGACCTGAGACTGCAACCCTGAGGCATCAAGAAGGGAAAGACCCAGACAGAAACAGGGACGCACAGAAGGGAGCTACACAGATAATGTCAGAGACACTCAGAGAGAAATCTAGAAGAAACGATGCAACGACACCCAGAGTGAGGGAAGAGACTGGAAAGGGACCAGGGTAGGCGAAGAGGCTCCCGGCACGCGGCCCGAACGCTGGGGCGGGGCCTCGGTGTGTGGGCGGGGTTACAAAGGGGCGGGCCTATGAGAGCCCGCAAGCCTCACGCAAGTGTGACGAGAGTGGCCCAGCTATGCAAAGGGGGCGGGATCAGGACTGTGGGCAGGGCCTAAGCTGGGCGGGACTAAGTTCCTGGGGAGAGTGGACAGGCTACTGGATAGGTTGGTGGGCGGGGCCGGTTCTGGGGGCGTGGCTTCACCGGGGCGGGGACGGCCGGAAGTTCCCAAGGAGGCGTGGCCGAACCTTTGTAGAGCGGCCAGCAGGCGGGGGCCGGGTCGCTCGGGGAGGCCCCGGGAGCGGGGGCGTGGCTAAATGCTAACTAACAGCAGACAAGGGCGGAGATAGAATCTAGAAAAGGAACGATCCTGGGCGCGATCTTGAGGAGGTGCGGGTATAAAATCCTCGGGCTGGCGGGACCAGATCCCTGGAGAAAGGAGGGGGCGTGGCCGAACTCCGGGAGAGGGTGTGGCCGCAGCCCCAGATCGGCTCCGAAGGGGGAGGGTAGGGGATAGGTTCAGTGACGTCAGCCAGTCCGAGAGGCCAGAGCTCGGTGAGGGGCCCGGGGCGCGGATCCCGAGAACCTGGTGAGGAAAGCTGAGCCCGGAGAGCCTTGCAGGGAGAGCGGTAACCGGCGGAAACTGACCCAGAGCCGCACCCCCCAAGCACCTGCTCGCCTGCTCAGCTGATCTGCTAGAGCGGGTTGGCTCGCAAGCCCCCGCCCGGGCCCAGCCCCCTCCCGGGCCCCCCATGGCCCGGGCCGCAGCCCTCCCGCCTTCGAGACTGTCCCCGACGCTGCCGCTGTTGTCACTGCTGCTACTGCAGCTACGAGAAACAGGTAGGAGACTGAGACCCTCCCAACCCTCGGCAGCACCCTTCTCTCCCCGCGTCCAGCTCCCCGGGCCCCGAGGCCTCTCTCGAGCCCCCTTGCAGGGTTGGGCCTATCGGCTTATACACAGACGCAACCCATCCTCCGATTGCCCGACCCCTGCTCTCGGCGTCCCTCCCGGGTCACACCCTGTACCCCACCCGCCCATCCTGCTCTGGACTTAGGAGGGGGCTTGGATCCTCGAGCCCAAGGAGTTAAATCTGAGGTCTGATGAGGCCTCCCGCCCCCATTCTCGCCCCGCCGATCCGTGGTACTGGACCCGTTCCTGGCTTGCTGCCGGCCCCAGGAATGTGGAGAATGTGCCTCCCCCAGGGGGAGGGTCGTGATGATGGCGAAGGAGACCCCGGACCCCGTGTTTCCTTTTTGCCAGGGTTGAGAGTCTGGACCCGGGAAAAACTAAGGGCAAGGGCCAGCCGTCGAAGTGTAGAAAAGGGCGGAGAGCTTGGATTTTGGGGTCCTGGGCGACTGAGGATGAGAGCTGGGGCGATCTGGAAGGAGGCGGCCTGAGCCTGGACCAGCCCTGGTCGGGAGTTTGCAGTCTTGAGACCACTAACTCCAAAAAGATGAGGGCCTAGTAGGGTCCTTGTACTGTCCAGAATCCCGGCTAGATAAAAGCTAAAGGGTGTTACTAACTGGAGTTGAGGTAGATTTGGGGACAGAAGGGGGTTCAATTTGTGAGTTCTAGATTGGATTGTGCACTGGGCCCTCCAACTCCTGGGTTCCTAGTGGGCTGGGGGCTGGAGGCTCCGCCTGGTGGGCTTCAGATTGAACCGGGTGGAGAAATCTCTTTTAAGAGCCTGACGCTCTTACAGACAGGAAGGGGCTTCCTTTGGCCTCCAGATACAATCAAGGGCTGGCCACTGTGCAGAGTCTGGGTGGGTCCAAGGCCGGGGGTGGCTGGAGACTGGAGCTGCCTCCTTGTCTTGGTGAGCAGTCAGGCCCTGGAAGTTTCCCAGGTATCGCCTTTGCCCAACGGGTGGGGCAGGCGGACAGGCCAGGAGCTCTCCTGTTCCTGGTTCCGGACTCCCAGTTTCGGGGACCTTATCTTTCCTCTTGTCCTGCCTTTGTCCTCAGAGCCGCTATGGGGGTGGAGCTGCTGAGCCAATCCGAACACCTTCTCTGCTCCCCCCTCCTCTGGGGTAGGGCCGCGGCCCGAGAGGAGGGAGAGGCTGAGAGGACACAGGTGAATGAGCAGGTACCGCCCTTGCAGGTGACAGAGTGTTCACAGCTAGAAACTCGAGGATGCTGGAGTTTCCCAAGGGTATGGCCAAGGAGGCACCCGTCTCTGACCTCAAGCTCCCCTAGTGTGTCTGAGTTTTTATTCCACCTCAGCCCCACACCATCGCCTGCCTCTTCTATTCCCTGACTCCCTTGTGTCAGCGAAGGACAGATGAGATCAGAACTACCTGGGGTGAACCCCAGACCTCAAGCCATGACTTGACCTGGCGCCGAGGCTCACAGAAAGTTTCTGATAGCCACAGGAAAGAGTTCCTCTTCCTGTTTCCATGCTGAGGACAAGGAAACAGAGGCTTAGGAAGGACAAACAACTTTTTTTTTTATCGGTACCGGGGATTGAACTCACAACTGCCTGCTTGCAAGGCAGGTGCTTATGCCACTGAACTAAATCCCCAGCCCCGGACAAACAACTTTTACAGGGTCCCATGGCCATCCCTGGGCAGCCGGATTCCAAGGCCTGCCCTCTGGATGCCAGCTCTTTGGAACCCTTGGCCGGGTGTGCCCACACGTGCCTCTGAGCCTCCATTTCCTCCTTTATAAAGCTGAGGTGACAGAGTCCCTTCCCTGAGGGACCCCTGGGAGGGTTCAGAGGTCCCATGATGCTTGGGGACACTGGGAAGGGGCTTTCCCTTCCCACCAACCTTATCCTTCTGCCTCTGCTTGCTACAGTCTCAAAAACCTTCGCTCTCTCCTCTTCCTCTCTTCCTTTCTTACCCTCTCTCTGTCCTCCTCTGGCTCCTCCTTCTCCTCCATCTCCCCATCTCTCTCTGCTTTCCCTGCCCCTCGGTCCTGTCCCCCTCTGTGACCCCTGGGAATGCAGTTGCCCCATCTGCACCCCCAGACAGCCCACCCCTGCTTCCTCCCAAGTTCTCTGCTCCTCCCTGCCAGCTCTGCAGCCCCACACAGCCCTGGCAGGGAAGGGGAGGAGGGGAGCGCAGGCTGAGCTGTCTCTTCTCGTTAGGGAAGGAGACTGAGCAGGAGAACTGCGGGGACAGGATCCACGGAGAGGACAGAGCCACAGCGATGGGGACAGAAGCCAACCAGGGGAGAGGGCAGGACCAGACCCAGGGACAAGAGTGATACCCAGCCACAGGGAGTGGGTGGAAAGACACTGGGGAGGGATGAGACTGGGGGAGGGAGGCAGGGAGAGACCAGAGTGAGGGAGGGACAGCCCGGGAGACAGAGGGACTTGGTGGTGCACAGGGAGCAGAGACCCAGGCCTAGAGAAGATGGGGTGCATTGACCCCTGGAGATCAGGATGCAGGGAGCCACAAGGCCAGCAGCATGTGAAGCGACAGGGAGCAGCAGACATGGTAGGAGCTGTTCGCTGTGGCCAGCTCCCCCGCCCCTGCCTAGGACGCTGTTACATTTTTAATGTCCCAGCAATGCTGAGAAATGGGGCAGGAGGGGGAGGGGAAGAAGGGACCCAGCGAGGTGGACCAGGCATCGAGAAAGTGTGTCAGGGATGTGGAGAGACAGAGGGCAGGCAGACCCCTGGTCAGACACAGAGACGCCCTGAGAGATGCAGCCCAGAGACACTGAGAGACCAGAGTCCCTGGAAATCACAGCCAGAGGCAGATGCTGGAGACAGGAGACCCAGCCCCGGACGAGAGGACAGGAGAAAATGGAAGCCTGGTGTGGTGGTGCACGCCTGTGACCCTGGCACTCTGAGAGGCTGAGGCAGGAGGATCTCACGTGCAAGTTCCAGCTCACCCTGAACGACTTAGGGAAACCTTCTCTCAAAATAAAAAAATCAGAAAAACTTTCCGGCTGGGTGTGTAGTTCAGTGTGAAGGCCCTGGGTTCAATCTTCAGTACGCTGATGAGGAAAGGGAATAAATGGAGGGGAAGGTAAGAGAAGAGGCCCAAGGGGAGACAGAAAATAAGAGAACCATTGGGGGCATGGTGTGTCTGTGGTTATGAGAAGGTTCCAGAACGGATTTCGGGGACAGCCCTGTGGCCGCACTAAAAGGCGCACAGCTGTCCCATGGGGTGGGTCTCCTGGTGTAGGGAGTACAGCGTGATAGAGCTGTTTGAACAGAGAGAGGCAGAGAGGCTGAAGCCGAGCCCTGGCCCCTGAAAACCAGCACAGGCCAGGGACTCCCGCAGACACCAAGACGAGGCCAAGCCCGGCCAGAGACCCCAGTGCTGAGGTGTTAACCCCCTCCGCAGGATGTGGGCGGGGTCTGCCCCCCAGCCGGGAAGAGCCGGTGCTGGAGATCTGCGAGAGTCACTCATGGCTGGGGGAGTGGGACTGAGCCCCGCTCTGGGGGGACAGGGTGGACTTGAAGGGACGGCTTGTGGCCATGCGTGGTGAAGGCCCAGAGGCAGGCAGAGAAATCCAGGCCCATGGTCATCCTGGCTGCTGCCGTTCACCCCAACACTGGCTTCGGAGTTCCGCTGCGGGGGTGGATGCTGTGATTAATGCAATTAATTAATTAACCAGATGGCTGAGGCAGCAGCTGAGGCCTGCGCTCCGGGCACGGCACGCAGGGCTTTAAGGGCCTCCTCAAGAGTCTCGCCACGCCCTGCCACGGCTGTACAGGCCGGGGGGTGGGGGGCCCAGGCAGGGCCCAAGGAGCCAGCCAGGCCAGAATCCTGGCCCGGATCAGCCGCCCCCCTCAGAGCCAGGGGTCCAGGCCCCAGATTCCAGCCCACTGCCCCGCGGCTCCACAAATCCCTGTCCCCCCACTCAGGCCCTCCTCCTCTCTGTCCCTGGCTGCTGAAGTTCTCCCCGGCCTTGCAGCCTTCCCCTCTGCCATGGTGGAAGCCTGCAGGCCCGCCCACAGGGGCAGGAAATGTGGTTGGGGACCTAGCTGACACCTCTGTAACACTGTCGCCAGTCTGACTTGTGCAGGGAAGCGGAGGGCAGCCAGAGTTGTCATAGCCACTGTCTCCTGGCGCGGTGCTGGCCTTGTCCCTGCCAAGGTCAGGAAGAGGCACCCGGCTGCATTCCCCTGGCCAGCTGACCTGCCCGCACCCCAGCTGGATACTCCCTCTCTCCTAACTATAACTTTCCATGGCTACCCAGTGCCCTCAGGACAAAGACTCGGTCTCAGCCCGTGCCACCTAGCATGCCAGGATTCCAGGTCCCCTCTCATTTGCTCGTTGTACCTATCTGTGAAGCTCTGACAGTGTGCAGCCTTGGCCGGGCTCTGGTGGAGCCAGACACAGTGGATTTCTATCTCTGCCCATAGGTCTGATGTGTTAGTGGGGGAGATAAACAGGATTCTAGACAACAGATGGTGGTCAGTGCCGTGGGGAAAAAGAGAACAAGATCCAGGGTCCTTGTTACTGTCCATATGGTGGTCAGGGAATGCGTCAGTGAGCAATAGGCCTGGAGGGAGGGAAGGGAGAAACAGCCAAGACTGGAGCAGGAGTATGAGCAGCAAGTGCAAAGGCCCTGAGGCAGGACTTGCACAGTATTTAATCAGTGGTGGGGAGGCAAGCCTGGGGGGAGACGAGGTAAGGAATAAGGTAGACAAAGGCAAACAGCTTATGTGGGCCATCAGGAAGTCACGCTTTGTCCTGATTGGGAGAGAGCTGCATCAGGGAAGAGCAGAGGGACGGGCTGTGCCATAGCTACACTGTGGAGACATCCCACTGCCATCTTCCTAGAGCAGAGTGGCCCCAGAGAGGAATCCCACATGGTCCCACGGTGGTATTTTGCAGATAGTGTTTCTTAATGGATTTGCACCGTGGGAAGAGAAGAACAGTCAGGATTACTCCAAGCTTTTGACCCCCCCTACTCTTCCTGAGACAAAAACGCCTTAAAAGTGGCCTCCCCCCACCCCCCTTCACCTGGCTGGAACTGTCCTGTTCATTCATTCAGAGCTGGAGACCCAGAAGGGGGCATCGGGTGAAGTCTTTCTTTTCTGGTGGCTGAGACAAAATTCCCAACACCCAGACGGAAAGGAGGAAGGTTTATTTGGCTCCCATTGAGTAGAGGCTTAGGTCCATGCTTAGCTGACTCCCCGGCAGGGCGTGAGGCAGAGGGGCATCACAGAGCGGAAACAGTCCCTGGCAGGCGGGCAGGTGAGAGCGCACACGCCCCCTTCCATCTCGTGCAGGCCGCCCACCTAGGGCGGGTGTAGCCTCACACTCTTAACCCCAGCATCACACACTCTAGACCCAGCCGCTTCTGAAAAAGCCCCACCTGTGGCCGCATGTGGCTTGTGTCCAGGGACATCTGGACACAACCCATAACAGGGAGGTTACAGCCAATGGGACCTAGAACAGCTTTCATTCGGTCCACACACACCGAGCGTCTGCCTTCGAAACTGCAAGAAGCTGTGGACAGGGATCCCTGCCCTGGGATGCGGTGTCCGAGGAGGACAAAGCATGCAGATGGCTGGGACAGGAAAGACAAGATGACCCACCCCAAGCGACAGATCTGCTTAAGGGATTTGCCCCAGGAAGTTAAGAGTGGCTCTGTGTGATTTCTGGCCACATCTTTGCAGGCCTCCTTGTCTGCAGTCCATTCTGTCCAGCTCACCCCTGCCCTCACACCTCCTTGGCTGAACTAAACTCCTCTCCATCTGAAGAGCCATCTATAGCGCCCCCTTGCCTCCCCTGCACCCCCAAGACACTGATCTCCTTCACCCAATGCTGCTTTGTTGTCTCTGCCGTGCTGACTCAGGCCCAAGGTGGCTTTTCTCAAGTGGCCTTCCCTTGAGGCAGCCTAAGGTGACAGGTCCCAGCACCTGAGGGGTCTCAAGAGAGCCCCAAAGGAGCCTCAGTATAGGAGGGAGGCCCCTCCTCAGCCTACCTGACTGAGTCCCAGGAGCCCCATATCCTGAGTTCTGTTATTTGGTTTTTGTGCCACTGGGGCTGGTGGCACATATCTGTAACCCCAGCACTCTAGGAAGCTGAGGCAGGAGAATCGCAAGTTCAAACCCAGCCTGGGTGACTTAGGAACTTAGGAAGACCCTGTCTGAAAATAAAAAAGGGCTGGGAATGTAGCTCAGTGTGAAGGCCCTGGGTTCAGTCCTCAGTACTAAAAAGATCAATAAATGGAACCCCCTTGTGCCCCAGCAAGTGCATGAAGAGCCAGCTGTGACCCCTCAGGCTTGAGCCACCATTCCGGGTCCTGCAAAGAGCGCAGGACGGGGATGGTCGGGGCCCGTGCACATGGAGGAAGCTGTGGTTGAGAAGCAGGTCACTCGGCTGGGAAGGGATGGAGCCAGGGGAGCCCTCATCCACCTGTCACTCATGATGCTCCACACCCAACTTCTTCCACTGCAGAGGGGGAGTCCCCATTTCCCAAGGTGGCTGTCATGTGATGCGTATGTGACTTGCTGTGTGTGTGTCACCTGGAGCTCTTCAGTCATGGCTTCCGCCCCAGTGCTCCGGGGTTGGTCCCTGTCCATGAGACTCCTTCTGCCTGGGACCCTCACCAGGGCCACCTGTTGGTGTCCCCCAGCTTTCTTTGTGCCAGGAGCCAGGATTGTGCATGCTTCTGCTGTTGGCTAGGCAGCAGCTGTCCCTGGAGATGGGGTGGCGGCCTGGGCCCTGCAGGAACTCACGACTCAGGGCCGAGCATCAAGGGCCACTTTAAATTACAGCAACCTAGTGGTGTGTGTTTAACAAGCTCTGATCTCCAGCTTCCTGGGGCCCCATTAGTGCTCTGCAAATATTCCTGAGCCCTCCTAACAACCCCAAGGACATAGAGCCCTATTATTATCCCCATTTTACAGCTGGGAAACTGAGGCACAGGGAGGGTGCGTGACTTGTAAGGTCACACAGCCCAGAATCCAAAGCCAGGATTCAAAACCACCAAGTCTGTGCCCATGGTCATTGTGCCATACTGTCTTACTCGGTCCGGAAAGTCTTCCTTGTTCTGGTTTTTGTAAGAAGTGAGGCAGTCTCTGGGGAGACAGCTCAGTGTGCAACACTTACCTGACACCCCGAGGCCTGGTGTTCCCCGCCCAGTGCTGCAGGAAGGAAGGGAAGGGAAGCGAAGAAGAGAAAGGAAAGCTGGGTGTGGGGGCACACGCCTGTAATCTCAGTGCCCAGGAGGCTGAGACAGGGGGAATCTCCAAGAGTTCAAGGCCAGCCTGGGCTACATAGTGAGGTCAAAGCCAGGATGAACTATCTATAGCCAGACTGTATCTCAAAGAAGAGTAAAGAGAAAGACCTGTGACATAAAATGGAGGAGCCAGTTGCTGAAGGTCATAGGTGATAGATACTAAGTGACATGAGAAGGCAGGATCTACAGAGACAGAGGTGGACCCCAAGTGACCTCTTAACGAGGGTGAGATTTCTTTCTCTTTTTTTTTGTCTTTGAGACAGGGTCTCACTATGCAGTTTGGACTGGCCTTGAGCTCACTTTGTAGCCCAGGCTGGTTTTGAATTTGCAAGGATCCTCCTGCCTCAGCCTCCCAAGGGCTGGCATTACAGGAGTGCACCACCACGCCCGGCTCTGGGAGTGAGATCTCTTACGGGGACACTAAAAGTGCCCTAAAACTGACTGGTGGGGAATGCACGACTCCGGAAGGAGACCAAAAGCCATCATGTTGAATGTGTTAAATGATCGGGGTGGTGAGGGTTTTGTTCTTGTGGAAGTGTTGGTGTGTATTGCAGTCGTGGGCTTCAGCTGTCTGTGCTCCAGCAGGAGGTATTCTGCATAACCACAACTTAATTTTCCATGCCTAAGAATATTACCAGTAATTCCGTAATAACATGTAATCTTGTTATGACTTTATGAAATAATTCCTGGCATGCAAGTCCTAAAATCCTTCAACTCTTCCAAGCAATAGCAAAGAGTGTCTCCCGCACCACCACCACTCCCAGTATTGGGGAAGAGCCCCAGACTTCTGCACTGAGCTACACCCCAGACCTTTTTTTTTTTTTTTAAAAAACAGAGTCTCAGTAAATTGGTAAATAGCTCAGGCTGGGTTCAAATGTGACCTTCCTTAGTGCTGAAATTGCAGGAATTCAGTAACCTAGTGATCTAACCCTCAGGGATCCTCAGGGTGGGTGGGAGGGAGACCAAGGGAAGATTAGGGTAGGGGCAGAACCTCTGAGGCGGGCAGGGGCTGAGGGTTGGTGTCCCTGGACAGAGAAGTGTGCCTCTGAAGGGACCCAAAAGGGGCCAGATAACCCCCAAAGGAGCTGGGGTGCTGATGGTGCTTGTCTGGAATTCCAGCTCCCTGGGAGGCAGAAGCAGGAAATTAGTTAGATTTGAGTCCAGTCTGGGGAATTTAGCAATATAGTGAGTGAGACCCTGCTTTGAAATAAAAAATACAGAAGGAGCTAGGGGTGCAGCTCCAGGCAGAGGCTCTCTGGATCTCTAGGGCTGAAGGAGAAGAGAAGGGATGAGAAGCAGCCTTTGTCCCAATAGCTGCATACAAGGAGTCCCCGGAGATTAGGGCCACCACCCAGAGCAGGAAGCCCCGCTCCTTCCCCCACACCTAGCCCTGTGGGTGTCTTCATCTGTATTCTTTATAATATCCTCTAGCATAAGCCAGTAAAGCCAGGTCCCTGAGTTCTGTGATCGGGTTAAACAAATTAAAGGAAATTGGGCACAGTAGCCTGTGCCTTTAGTCCCAGCTACTTGGGAGGCTGAGCCAGGAAGATCTCTCTCTCTCTCTCTCTCTCTCTCTCTCTCTCTCTCTCTCTGTACCAGGGATCAAACTCACAACCTTGCCATTGCCAGGCAGGCGGATATGCTGCTGAGCTAAGTCCCCAGCAAGAAGACCTCTTGAGCCCAGGAGCTCAGGACCAGCCTGGGTAACACAGGGACAGTCTCAAAAACACAGAGCCAGCTGTGGTGCTGCGTGCCTGTGATCCCAGCCCTTGGATGGCTGAGACAGGAGAATCTTTTGTGAGTTTGAGCCCAGCCTGGGCTGTATATAATGAGTTCACAGCCAGCCTGGTCTACGTAGCAAGGCACTATCTCTAAACCACCCGACTCCCAAAAACCAAACAACAACAGAAAGACGGCCAGGAGCCCTCGGCTATCACAGTGCTCTTGGGGACTGAGCCGTGTTCACGTAGCTGGGGTCACAGCAGAATGTGGGACTCGCCATAGAGGGGTGATGTTGCTCATGGGGGACCCTGGACTCTGCCTCTCTGTTCTCCCTGATTGTCCCCCAAATGGGCCTCCAGCTGGCTCTCCTGGCTTCAGATGCCGCTGTGAGGATGTGTCCCGGTCCTTGGCCCAGATCCCCCCACTGTCCCACCTGGCCCAGAGGCCTCCATCCCCCAGCCTCACCTTCCTCTCCCCTCAGGAGCCCAGGATATGCAGGTCCAAGTGGTCCCCGAGGTGCGGGGCCAGCTGGGTCACACCGCGGAGCTGCCGTGTCACCTGCTGCCACACACCCAGGACGTGAACGTCACGCAGGTGACCTGGCACCGCCTGAACGGAGTGTCAGTGGCCGCCTTCCACCCCAACTTCGGCACCCACTTCCCCAACCAGCAGGCCAGCCAGGAGCGGCTGGCCTTCGTCAGAGCCGGCCAGGGGGCCAAGGCCAACCTGTACGATGCCACGCTGGCCATCCGAGACCTGCGCCTGGAGGACGAGGGCAACTACACCTGCGAGTTCGCCACCTTCCCCAAGGGCACCCGCTCGGGGGTGACCCTGCTCCGAGTCATCGGTAAGCAGTGAGGCGCTTCTCAAGAGCACCCCTCCCCATGCACCTCTCCCCCTCCAGTCCCGGCAGCAAGGCTGGCTCTCCCTGTGACATCACTCAGTCAGTCAGCAGGTGTTCGTTAAGCACCTACTGTGTGCCAGGCGCATCTCTGGGTGCTGAGGGTACAGCTGGCAGCGATGCACAGTCAGCACGTTTTTCCCTAGGTGCTTTCCTGGGTTTTCAGGGTGATGCACTTAGACAGAGCTCCCTGCTCTCCTGGAGCTCATGCTCTAGTCGGGAGGCACCAGACCTGAGGACACAGATACTGTAAACACGAAACCGGGCATGGTTCCGCTGGCCTGTTATCCCACCACTCCTGAGAGGCTGAGGCGGGTGACTCCCAAGTTTGAGGTCATCCTGGGCAATTTAGTGAGACCCTGTCTTAAAATACAGAAGAAAGATAGGTGGGGGATTTAGCTCAGAGGCGTAAGTGCCTGCCTGGCAAGTGCAAGGTCGTGAGTTCAATCTTCCTTTTCAAAAAAAAACCAAAAGGAAAAGGGTATCGTGGGGTGTAGCTTAGTGAAAAGGTCCTGAGCTCAGTCTCCAATACAAAATTAAATAAATAAATAAATGTTTTTTAAAAAACAGAGTATAAATCAGGCAGTTCTAGGCTCTGCCAAAGTTGAGGGGGGCAGGTTGCAGTCCTAGCTATGGAGAATTGGTGATTCTTAAATAAAAACTAAATGGAGGGAGTGGAGCCCTATGGGTATGTAAGTGAAAAGAGATCCAGGCAGTGGGAAGGGTGCATGCAAAGGCCCTGTGGCGGAACACATCTGGAAGGAAGTAAAGAAGGAAGGAAGGGTGGGTACAGATGCTTGGGTAGGGCGGAGGAAATAGAGTAGATTCATGGATGATCATGGACCACCTCGTGGTCTGAGTGAAGACTGGGTTTTGTCCTGAGAATAGCAGGTTCCTAGGCAGTGAGGGGGAGATGAGTCGGCCTGAGGGATTGAGAAACGGGAGGTGGAAGCTGGGAAACCCTGGAGCAGGCAGGCAGCAGCTGAGAGAAATGGACGGATGTGGGGCTGGTGAACCTGGGATGCCAGGGGAGGCTCTGAGCGTCCTGGACATGGGCAGAGGGTGAGGTAGAGACAGGAGCCGGGAAGTGGGCACCAGCCCAGTGCCTTCCGGGGATGGACGGTGGCTGGTGGGTGGGGACAGCCTGGGCTCAGGGACCCTCAGGGAGGCTGAGGCAGAAAGATCACTGTGACTTTGAGGCCAGCCTGAACCGAATAGTGTGATGTTGTGTGAGAAACCAAAAATTAAAGATACAAACAGCTGCCGGGTGCCAGGCACTATGGGGACCGAGGGAAAGCAGCCTCTTCACCCAGATGCCCAGATGCCCAGGGATGTCCCCTGGAGGAAACGAGGCCTGGGCTGGCATTGGGACCCCACGGTGGGCGGGAGAGGGGATGGAGGCCGGTGTGGGGCAGCTCTGCAGGGTGGTGGGAGCACACACTGGCATCGGAGTGGGGTGGGGCAGGGGGCAGGCTCGAGGCAGCTGGGGACAGCCAGGGTGAGGGACGCTGAGGTCAGTCTGAGTTGGCGCTCTGTGGAGACCGCTTTTCCTCCTCTCCTCAGAGTATTGTTCTGTTTCCCAAAGGGGTTGCATGAAGGAGACAAAAATAAATGGCCATGTTGGGTCCTCATCCTGTGGATGGAGGGGACAGTGGCAGAATGGGGAGCACAGAGAGTGCCAGACCCGGGCCTGAGCCCAGACAGGTTGGCTTCTTCGATGCCTGTAACAGTCCCATGGGGTGGGGGCTTTGTTTTGTTTTGTTTTGCTTTGTTTTATTTGAGATGGGATCTTGCTGTGTAGCCCAGGCTGGTCTTAAACACACAGTGATCCTCCTGCCTCAGCCTCCCAGGATGCTGGGACTGCAGTCATACACAGGGTGGGACAGTTGTTGTCCCTCCTGATGCGCGGAAGCTGAGGTACAGAGTCTCAAAATAACTGAGCAGAGCCCCACAGTTGCCAAGCAGCAGAGCTGGGGTCTGAACCCAAATAGCAAAGCCTGCCTGTCCTGCTCCCCATGAAGGGTTTGTTGAGTGACTGCAGGGCAGGAGAAACGCGCCTCCCATTCTCCCCAGCCCGGCCCCAGAACCGTGCAGAAGCCCAGGAGGTCACACTCAGCTTGGATCCCGTCCCGGTGGCCCGCTGCGTCTCAACGGGGGGCCGCCCACCTGCGCAGATCACCTGGATCTCAGCCCTGGAGGGGCAGGCCAGAGACACCCAGGAGCCAGGGCCCCAGCAGGGCACCGTCACAGTCACCAGCCGCTACACTGTGGTGCCCCTGGGCCAAACGGACCGCGTCAAAATCACCTGCAGAGTGGATCATGAGAGCTTCCAGGAGCCAGAGCTGCTGCCTGTGATCCTCTCCGTGCGCTGTGAGTGTTCCAGGTGACCACGGCACCCATACTGCCCCCACTGCCCCCACACCTTGTTGGCACGGTTCCCCGGAGCCGAGCTCTGCCCTGCCTCCCTGCGTGCTGCATACACCGGCTCCCACGGGCAGCATCTCCACACCTCCCCTCTTCATCTATCCTTGTTTCACTGGGCTTCTGTCCCACATCCCCTTACAAGAGCCAATGTGCAGCAGGCATGGTGACGCATACCTGAAATCCCCTCACTGGGAGGCTGAGGCAGGAGGTCCTGAGTTCAAGCCCAACCTGGGCTACATATCGGGAGGTGTCTTAAAAACAAAACAAAAGAGCCCAGATGGCAACATTGTTTCCTAATTCTGCATCCAGTGACATCTTGCCGGCAACTTGACATCTGCAGGGGTTCCTAACCCCCGAGGAGAGTGGCAGACCCTGCCTGCCAGGCTCTTCCTCAGCCGACACTGCCTTTCCTGGACTGTCCTTGTCAGCTGCCCACCCTGGTACTGTGTTCACACTTTGCCCCTGGACCGGTCTGTACGGACTCCGCTACAGGCTCTGGGCTGTACTGGTTTTGGCCTCCCCGGTGTCTTCTAGGCCAGCTCCTCCAGGACTGCCTGTGACAACACCCCTTCTTGTCACCCCTGAGCCAACTCCCAGCACCGTTTGGTGTTTTGGATACTGGGCAGTGGACCAGTGAGCTACATCCCCAGCCCTGTTAATTTTTTTTATTTTGGGACCGTGTCTCATAAGGTTGCCTCTGCATTTGCCATCCCCCCGACTCAGCCTCCCAATTAGCAAGGACTCCACACCTGGCCTCCAGCACTCTTCACTGGGAGCCTGGCGGGTGTGAGGTGCCCTGGAACCCTGGGCCTAGCTCAGTGTCAGGCATCCTGTGCCTCATGTGATGTGCTGAGGCCCCAAGCTTGGTCTACACCGGCACCCTCAGACCATATTCACTTGGTGCGGTACATGGGCACTGGCTCCTGGAGCCCGGTCCATGCTGATTTCCTCCCAGACACTGGTTTGAAACCCTCTTTCCCATTTTCCCTTCTCTGTGCATGTCACAAACAACACGGGTCTCCACCTGCAGACACGTGCACATACCACCACTGCCTGTCCTGAGTGATGATGCCCCAACAGTGGGCCAGTGGCCAGGCATGGTGGTACATGCTTGTCATCCCAGTGCTCTGGGAGGCTGAAGCAGGAGCGTGGTGGTCCAACATCCCATACTGCAGAAACCGACATACAGAGGAGCTGTCTACACGGCTTTCCTGGACAGGGTCTGTACCCACCTCAGCACACAGTGCGCCCCAGACCGTTTCATCCCGTGTGTCTCTGGACACCCACATATTTTAGAATTCCTGTCCAGCTGCCGAGCTGTCCGTCCCTCGGAGATCATCCATCCCTGAGCCGCCTGTGTGTCCGTTTCCCCCAGACCCGCCCGAGGTTTCCATCTCTGGCTATGACGACAACTGGTACCTCGGCCGTAGCGAGGCCACCCTGAACTGTGATGTCCGCAGTAACCCAGAGCCCACAGGCTACGACTGGAGCACGTGAGTGCGGGGGACCAGGGCCAGGTCTGAGGGAAGGGCTGGGGCCAAGGGTCCTGGGCCTCAGGAAGGAGGAATGCAGGAATGGAGGTTTCAAGGCTCAAACTCTTTGCTGGGCCTGGGGGAGAAGGGACTTGGGCTAGGACCCCTGGTCTGAGGGAGGGGGCCAGGCCTGGACCCCCAGATCTGAGGGAGGAGGCTGGGCCTGGACCCTGGGCCTGAAGAGGTGGGCTGGCATCCAGGGTCTCCAGGGTGAGTCCAGGCCCTGGCATTCGGCTGCAAGCATATGGCATCGGACTGGCCTCTTTCCCCTGTGGACCCGGCTGACCTCTCTTCACCCACACCCAGGCCTTCAGGCATCTTCCCAGCCTCCGCAGTGGTCAAGGGCCCCCAGCTGTTTGTCTACTCAGTGGACCGACTGGTCAACACCACCTTCATCTGCACAGTCACCAATGCCGTGGGCACCGGCCGTGCCGAGCAGGTCATCTTGGTCCGAGGTAAGTCGGTTGGGGCCGAGTGTGCAGAACCCCACCTTCTCGCAGTTGTCCTCCCTGGTCTGGGGCTGTGCTGGGGACGGAGGGACTGTGACCACCTCACTGACCCAGAGGAGCATGGTGCCAGTGCTCGAGTGGCCCCAGGCTGGCCCTGGACTCTGGCACTCAGGGCAGGATAAGGGGATCAAGGCCCGTGCTGGGCACGCAGGGAGAATCTCAGGACACTAAATGACCTGCCCAGAGTCACGGGGCCTGAGAGACAGGACCCTCCAGCTCCCTGCACTCCACTCAGAAACCCAGGTGAGCCCCAAGTCACGGAGCGGGGAGAACAGGCAGGAACCAACTGGGCACGTGATAGAACCGGGGTCCAGCCCAAGCATGGGGCCCGGCCCCTGCTGGGAAGCAGCACTTTGACGGCCCGTGACACACAGCCCCTAGGCTGGGCACAATGAGCCCTGGGGTCAGAGCTGCAGCCACCAGGACCTGCAGAAACTCCAGGGCTGCGCGTCCTGTCACAGAGAAGCGTGGGAATCCAGACAGACTCTCGCCCAGTGTAACCCTACACACACAGGCTGTTGTCACCAAGACACACACCCAGGGGAGAGCAGCTCCGGCCAGGACACACAGAACAAAGCGGGAGACGCTGGGCAGAGCACAGGAGAGCCACACAGACCTAGAAAGAGCCATTCTCAGTGTAGGCTCCGAGGGCAACCTGCACACCCCCTGCATGCCCACGTGGGAGCACGGGCACCCCGAGTGGTGGCCCCAGCAGCCAGCCATGGGCTGGAGACCCAGCCACACCAGGACACAGGTCTCAGGACGCTGCTCCTCAGACCTAGGCACCTGCAACACAGAGGCACACACTGTCACTAAAGCGTGATCTGGGGCTCACACCAGGGCCTGCACAGGCCCACCACCTGTCTCTTCAGGGCGCCTCAGTATGCTGGGCCCCTGGGCCCTTGAACAGACGCAGATCTCGGGTCCCAAGCAGCAGCAGGCCTGGCAGGGTGACTGCAGGTGCTGCTGACCCGAATTCCTACTAAGAAACCTGTTTCCCAACTCAGCCCAGCGTGCAGGTGAAGACAGACAGTGGCCTTCCGTATCTGTGTGGGTGGACTCTTCCTTTGTTTTTCTTTCATGGGAGGGTCTAATTTGCAGTTTAGAGCGGTCTTGAACTCACTATGCCACTCCTGCCTCAGCCTCTCGAGTGCTAGGATTACAGGTGTGCACTCCCCACATGGGGACCAGCCCTTTTCCAGGATGGTATTTGTGTAGACCTCCACACAGCCCCTCCTGTAGACACTGTCATCTCCAGGTGACTTCCCAGATCTAATCTGGTGTAGATGCTGTGAGAATAGTATCTGCTTAGTAATAGCATATTAAGCATATTACTTAGCAAAACAATCTGGGCGTTTCTATACAGAAATACTCTACTTTAAAAATCCGTTTTATTTCAAAGAGAAATTTCAAAACACATCAATCAGGGGCAACAGTGGCCACACATTGCACATTGCTATCCCCAAATCACTCACCCAGAGCACAAGACATCTGTGTTCAGTTGTCCAAACAATACCAGCACCAATCTTTCTCTTTGATGAACTTACAGAAATGAGTAGTATAACTATCTTAACTATTTTTTATACATATATTTTTTGAGTTTCTCATACTACTAAGACAATACGATGTTTACACATGTATCTGATTTATTTCACTTATGAGTATGTTCTCAAGCTGCATCCATTTACCTATAAAAGTCTCCAGTTTATCCTTCTTTATAGCTGAGTAGTACTCCACTGTATAAAAGTACCGCATCTTTTTTACCCATTCCTCAGTTGATGGGCATTTAGGTTGTTTCCAAGATCTGGCTATTACAAATTGTGCTGCTATAAACATGGGTGCATATATATCACTGTGGTATGATGCTTTTCATTCTTTTGGGCAGATACCCAGAAGGGGAATAGCTGGGTTAAATGGGACCTCTAGTCCTAGTTTTTAAGGAATCTCCACACTGATTTCCACAGTGGTTGCACCAGTCTGCACCCCACGGACAGTGGAGAAGTGTTTTTTTCCCCCACAACCTGTCCAGCATGTGTTATTGCATGATTTCTTGATGGCAGCTGTTCTTTCTGAGGTGAGGTGGAATCTCACCCCAGAAATCTGTTTTAATTTGCATGTCTCGAATGACCAGTGATGTTGGACATTTTTTCACGTATTTATTTGCTGTTTGTATTTCTCTACCTGAGAAGTGTGTGTTTATCTCAGATACCTATTTTTGGATTGGGGTTGTAAATCTAGGAGGGCTGATTTGTTTGAGTTCCTTATGTGTCTCTGATAGTAATCCTTTGTCTAAGATGCAGCTGGCAGACATTTTCTCCCACATCATGGGTTACTTCTTCACTCTTACAGAATTGCTCTTGATCCTACAGAACATGGTTTATGTCCGCCCCCATTCCAGCCAAAACTTTCTGCCCTCTTTTTTTTTTTTTTTTTAATTTCAATGCTGTGTGAAAGTCACCAGATAGATCTTGCCAGCTCTGTAGGGCTGGAGGGGTGGCCCAGGGGCAGAGAGCTAAATCCTGGTCTGAATTTCTAATCCCAGCTGCTGGGCAAGGCTGAGGCAGGAGGATCACTAGAGTTCAGGAGCTCAAGGCCAGCCTGGGCAACATAGCAGGACCCTGTCTGCAGACAATATACATAAGAAAGAAAGCAGTGATCAGAAACAGAGGCCCTCAGGAGCAAGGACCCCAGCCCCTCCTGTGTGCAGGTGTGCAGGGTTGAACCCCCAGATCGGCCTGTCTTGCAGTGGTGGGGGAGGGGCGGTAAGAAGCGCCAGGCAGTGCTGGGGTCGCCTGCCCCTCCTGGCGTGCCCTGGCTTCCTCTCCGCCTCCCACTCGGCCGGCCGCTGTGGGGAAATCAGGGCAGGAGGCCCTTGAGGAGGCAGGGAAACACTGCCCTGCCCTGCCCTACACTTTGGGGGACCGCGCCCTTCTCCAAGCGTGGACCCTGCCAGCGGAAATCTGTGAGAACCCCGCCCCGCAGAGTGCACCCAGGGTGGGGATGCTGGTAGCCAAGGGGAGGAGTCCTGTTGGACTCACCTGAAGGATATTTCCCCACCATCGGAGGCATCTGAAGCCCGGCTGGCTTGGTATAACTCTAGCCGTTGGGGAGGCTGAAGCAGGAAGTTGCCACCTGAAGTCCAGCCTGGGCACTTTTTAGCAAGAACAAACTCAAAATACAAAAGTACTAAAGCTGTAGCTCGGTGAGAAGCTGGCCTCAATCCCCAGCTTAAGTGCAATGGCCTGGGTGTGGAGATGGCAGCCAGCACTTTCTGTTTTTTGTGTTTTGTTTTGTTTTGTTTTGTTTTGTTTTGTCTTTGGGTGCTGGAGATGGGAGCCAGGGGCTCGGGTGTGCCAGGCAGGCTCTGTGCCGAGCTCCAGCTACAGCGTAGCTGTCTGGGTTGTTGGAGGACCCTGCAGATCTCAGCGGCTGAGTCCCCCGCTCTATCTCCTCGCAATCTGTCACCTCCCTCGTGCTGTCACTAACCCCTGGTCCTATGTGCCTCGCCCCAGATTCGTACTCTTGACTTGTCTCTCTCTGTCTCTCTCTCTCTCCTCTCTCCTCAGACACCCCCCAGGCCTCTTCCCGAGACGTGGGTCCGCTGGTGTGGGGGGCCGTGGGCGGGGTGCTGCTGGTGTTGTTCCTCCTGGCTGGGGGGTCGGTGGCCTTCCTCCTGCTGAGGGGCAGGAGGAGGAGGAAGAGCCCTGGAGGAGGAGCAGGAGGAGGAGGCGGCGCTGGCCGTGATGGTGATAGGGCATCAAATGACGGGAAAACGCAGATGTTTGGGAACGGGGGCCCCGTGTTCTGGACGCCGACAGCACCTGGTCCCTTGAGGCCGGATGGCAAGGAGGAGGAGGAGGACGAGGAAGAGGAGGAAGAGGAGAAGCCCGAGGAAGGCCTCATGCTGCCTCCGCCCTCCTCGCTCAAGGATGACATGGAGTCGCACCTGGATGGCTCCCTCATCTCGAGACGGGCGGTCTACGTGTGACTCAGAGACAGGGACAGAGACACAGCCTCCTGCCCCAGCCGCAGCCCAGGAGGGCCGCAGACTGGTTGGACGGGTCTGTCCACCCGCCCCGGGCCCCTGCAGAGGCTGCCAAGCTGGATGTCACCTCCTGAGATTTTCAGATCTCGGACTGAGGGAGGTGGAGCCACACACTGGACCTCTCCGCCTCCAGGGCTGCATGGGAAGTGGGGAGCTCAGACAGACCGCTGCGAGGACCAGAGAGAACCCCGCAGGGACGCGCTTGTGGCCCCAGCCTGCCCCAGGCCCTGTGGCACTCAGGAGTTAATAAATGCCTTGAAAGAAAGCTTCAAGGTGTCCTGTAATACATCGGAGGCCCCTCCGGGTCCTGGGAAAGAATAGGCGGGATGGGGACCCTGGGTTATTGGCACCAGGAATGGGGTTGACGGCTCGGGCTTACAGGACTGGGGTGTCTGGCTCCAAGATGCAGTGGTCAGATCAGAGTCCTGGGTTCCCCAAGGGAAGCAAGGTACCCTGACTTAGGGTCCCTACCCCTAACACAGCAGCAGGCAGGGTCCTGCCTTCCCAGGAGGGCACAGACTGATCTCTGGAGACAGTGCAGGCCAGACCTCCTCTAGGTTGCTGAAGACCTCGGGAACTGGGGGCTTCTCACCTCGCTCTGTTCTTAGGTTGTGGGACAGACGTGGGTGCTGGGGACCCCGGGAGAATCCCCCCAACATGTGTCATCCAGGGCCCCAACCTCCCTTTGCCCCTTTGCTCCAAGCCCCAGGGGATTGTGGGTGATCTCAGGCACATCTTCACTGCAACCAGCCATGGAACAGAGGACCTGGCAGGCGGCTTAGGGAGAGGGAGGAACTGGCTGTGACCAACCCAAGCTGCTGGTCCTGAGCCTCCAGGGCCTCCTGGAACACAGGGAAGGCAGGGGGAGGCTTTGAGCTGCCTCAAGCAGAGAGGGCCTGCAGTACAGAGATGCCCGGGGACTTTCCTGTGATGGACCCCAGAGTCCCAGGGACTTAAGCAGCGCCAGGGGCCAAATCCCTGTATCTCTCCAGCTAGCCTGACTTACACAGACTCCGAGTAGAGCGGAACCAGCCGAGCTGGGAACACGATGGATCTAGCAGTGCCAGCCCTGTGCTGAGGCCACCACGACAGGAAGAGCCCTGTGGCATCTGGGATGACAGCGTGAGGACTGGGCACCGTGGCTCTGTGTGACCCCTACTTCTGAAGCCTCTGGAGAAAGGAAGGCGGCTGGGGCCCAAAGCGGAAGTGGGGTGCAGACAACCTCCTGGGAGCTTCCTGTCCTCATCTGGATGGCGTGGTGATATGGGGGCCACCTGGGGACTCTCGCAGCCCTGTGCTGCTTCTACCTGGCCCAATCCCGGGCCGGGAGGTGAGGCTGGGGACTTGTCCATGTGCGCAAGTCGGTCCCTAAGTGCCCCTGCTGACCTCCTTAGACATCCAGCAAAAACCTACTAGGAGTCTGGCCCAGGGCCACACAGTCAGGTGGAGAAGCTGTCAGGTAAACAGGTGACTGCTCCGTCGGGAGAGGCAGCTGGGAGAAGCAGAAATGGGAACTGCTGCAGAGGAGAGGCAGGGGCTGTGAGCATGCCACTCTCCAGGCCCTATCATCATGAGGGGCTCTGTTTCTCAGGCCAGAATCTCCACCCCTCCCCCAGTTCTCCACCTTTTAGCTAACCCTCCATCCCCTCCCTATATCTCCTGCCTTTTCACTCTGCCCTAGCCCCAGCGTTCCTTGCTGTTCCTTGCCAACCCCACGAGGCTGCCTCAGGACCCTTGCACCAGCTGTGCCCTCTGTCTGTGACACTCACCGCTGTCTTCCTCTCCTCCCTTTGGTCTCTGACCAAATGTCCCCGTGCAGCAAGCCCTGTCTATCTTTGGAGGTCTGCACTTGCTTGTCTCCCTCCCTACTCTGTTTTTATGCTTCATCAATGACACCCACCTGACAAGTCAGATGTCCCATATGTGTGTTTGCTATTGGCCTCCCCGCCCCCCAGAACCTAAGTTCCACGAGGGCGGAGATGGCATGGTCGGTTCACCACTCAGGCTTGCATGCTGTGCTCCTGGAGGATTCGTTGAATGGCAGAGGAGGTAGACAGGTGGGGGTGCCTTAGGGGCGGGGCTGGGAATGAGGAGCTTCCTGCTAAAGACCTCCTCACACTGTCCCTGTCCTTGCAGAGAGACCCAACACAGCAGGTGCGGGCGCCACCGGGGGCATCATCGGGGGCATCATTGCCACTGTCATTGCTACCGCGGTGGCCGTCACAGGCGTCCTCATCTGCCGGCAGCAGCAGAAGGAGCAGAGGCTGCAGGGGGCCGAGGAGGAGGAGGATGAGTGAGTGGTGGCTCCTGAGATGTGGCTGGGGAGGGCGGCAGAACTGGGGACCCTCCCTTGGCGGGGGTGGGTGGAGAGAGTCATGTGTGATGGCTGTGGGAATAACTAGGCAGAAACGGGGCGGGGAGGAGTGCTTTTCCCTCCCAGGGAAGGGCAGATGTGACAGCTCTGCCCTGGGACGCCATCGGAAGCCAGGCTCCTGGTCCTGCTGCTCACCCTTCCCCACAAGGTGGCCTCGTTCCCAGGCCAAGATGGCACCCGCCCTCCCATCGAGCTCCGAGTGTGTGAAGATGCCACGGGGCCACCCTGGCTTCACGCCTGCACCCCCAGGGGAGGAAGGAGAGGGGATGGTGGGGCGGTTGGCTCTCTGCAAAGAAACACTGAGAAGTTGGCCATTGCTTCCAATTCCCCTGCAGCCAGGACCTGAACACCTGGTTGTCCCAGCTGCAAAGTTTTTTGTTTATTTGGCTTTTTGAGGCCATGTAGCTCAGGGCAGCCCATCATACCTGGCGGGAAACGGAGTCTTCACGGCCCAGCTATAATCTGTGCCGTTACCAGAAGAAGGGAGACGGAATCCTGAGGGCTTCAGCCATAGCCCTCCGTAGAGCACTTATGCAGTAGACTTGGTGAGACACGGTTACAGTGTGACGTCAAGGACAAGGATTCAGAAATACCGGTCCTGGAAGTTAGGGACTCAATGATCAGACAAACATTTATCTACTTATTTATTTATTTCCAAATTCATTTTGAGAAAGATTTAAAAAAGAAACATAAAACAAAATTTCAAAACACATCAGTCGGGGCAACAGTGGTACACACATTGCACACTGTCATCCCCAAATCATTCACTCAGAGCACAGGACATCTGCCTTCAGTTGTTTGAATAGAACCAGCACAAATCTTTCTCCCCAATGAACTCAGAGAAATCAGTAGTATATCTTAACTACTTTTATATACAAATATATGTGTGCATATACATATTCATATGTTGTTTCTTTCAGCTTCTCACACTAGTGAGACGATATGTTTACATGTGTGTCTGATTTATTTCACTTATGGGTATAGGCTCAAGTTGCATCCATTTATCTATAAAAGTCTCCAGTTTATCCTTCTTTATGGCTGAGTAGTACTCCACTGTATAAAAATACCACATCTTTTTCATCCATTCCTCAGTCGATAGTCATTTGGGTTGTTTCCAAGATTTAGCTATCACAAATTGTGCTGCTATAAACTTGGGTGCACATATAACACTGTGGTATGTTTTTAACTATTCTAGGAAAATACCCAGAAGGTAAATGGGATCTCTACTGCTAGGTTTTTGAGAAATCTCCACCCTGATTTCCACAGTGTTTGCACCAGTCTCCAATCCCACCAACAGTGGAGAAGGGTTCATTTTCCCCCACAGCCTCTTTTGTTATTAGTTGATTTCTTGATAGTAGCCATTCTTTCTGGGGTGAGGTGGAATCTCATTGTGGTTTTAATTTGCATCTCTTGAATGACCATTTTTTTTCACATACTTATTTGCTGTTTGTATTTCTTCGTCTTCATCTGAGAAGTGTGTGTTCACCTCAGATGCCCATTTTTGGTTTTTTTGGTGTTTCTGGATTTGGGTCTTTAAATCTGGGAGGACTGATTTTTTTTTTTTTTTTTTTAGTTCTTTCTGTGTTCCTGATAGTAATCTTTTGTCTGAGGAATAGCTGCCAAACATTTGCTCCCACGTTGTGGGCTGTCTCTTCACTGACTTGGTGGCTTCTCTTGCTGTGCACAAGCTTTTCAGTTGGGTGAGATCCCAATTGTTGATTCTTTGTGATATTTCCTATGCATCAGATTTTGTTCATAAAGGCTTTGCCTACACTAATGTCTTTGAGAGTTTTACCTACTCTATCTTCTAGCAGATTTCATGTTTGTTTTATTTTAATATTAAGGTTTCTGATGCATTCCATATTTAGCTTAGTACATGGTGAAAGAGGTGGGTCTTAGGCATGTGTAGAGCCGCTTTTTCCAGCACCTTTTATTAAAGCGGCTATTTTTTTCCCAATGAATGTGTTTAGCATCTTTGTCGAAATAAGGTGACAGTGTGTCTGGAGTTGTTGCTATATCTTCTAATCTGTTCCACTGATCTTTAGATCTGTTTTTTGGTGTTTTTGTTTTGTCTTGTTTTTGCCAGTACCACATTTTTTTTTTTTAATCACAGTAGCTTTATAGCATAATTTCAAGTCAGGGATCATGATGCCCCCGTCTTTCTTTGTTGCCCAGGATTGCCTTTGCTATTCGAGGTCTCTTCTCATTCCAGATGAATTTTAGGATTGTTTTCTCTAGTTCTGTGAGCTATGCTGTTGGAATTTTGATTGGGATTGCGCTGACTCTGTATAACAGTTTTGGAAGTATGGCCATGTTCACTATATTGGCTCTTCTCCACAAGAGCATGGATATCTCTCCATTTTCTAATATCCTCTTCAATCTCCTTTATCAGAGTATCATAGTTTTCAATGTAGAGCTTTTATATCCTTTGTTAGATTGGTTCCTAGGTATTTCATTTTTTTTAAAGCTATCGTAAAAGGTATAAGTACCCTGATTTCTCTCTCAGTGAGCTTGTTATGTGTGTACAGGAAGACTATTGACTTTTGAGTGTGGATTTTGTCACCAGCTACATTACTGAATTTGCTTATTAAATCTGGAAGTCTTCTGGTGGAGTTTTTGGGGTCTTCTATGAGAAGTATCATGTCATCTGCAAATCATGATCAAGTTTATCTTCTTCCTTTCCTAACTTTACTCCTTGTGTTTGTTTTTCTTGTCTAATTACTCCTGCTAACGTTTGCAGGACTGGGTTGGATAAGAGTGGAGACAATGGACAGCCTTCAGACAAACATTTCAGAGAGCACAAGTGACAGTCAGGTGTGGCGGCACACACCTGCACTCCCAGGGCTGGGGACTAAATCCCACCTGGGCAATTTATCAAGGCCCTGTCTTGAAATGGAAAGGCTGGGATGCAGCTCAGTGCAGAGGCTGTTGGTTCAATCCCCAGTAAGAAAGGCAGGATGGAATGGACAGGAGAGGAGGGAAGAGAGAAGGACCCACACCATGTAAATATCATGGGAAAGATAGTTCGGGGCCCATTTTATAAGAGGAAACACGTTCAGAGAGCTGAAATCTCTTGCTAAAATTCACCCATTGAGTATTTTTATGTTTGCTTGTTATGTAGACAGATCTTTCTCAGATAACACCATGGAGGGAAGGAGTGGGGCACCCTCCTGGCCTGTCCCCGGGTGAATCAGTCTGTGTGTGCTGCAGGCTCCCACCTACAATCCCAGCTGCTCTGGAGGCCGAGGCAGGAGGACTGCAAGTTCAACAGCACAGGCAACTTGGCAACATCCTAGCTCCATTTTTAAAAAAATACAAATAAAAGCAGCTCAGTGGTAGAACACGTGGCCTAACGTGGGAGGCTCTGGTTTAATCGCAGTACCCGCCCCCCCCAGAAAAAGCTCCCCAAGTTATTCCCATGCACAGGAGGGTGTCAGCCTGCATGCTGCTGCTGTCTCCTGTGTGATCTGCCCAGTTCCAAGCCCCGGGGTCCCCAAGTGCAGGAAACAGCATGGGCCCAGTGTGGCCATGGATGCAGAGGGCGGCTAGGGAACTCTGAGAGGCCAGATGGTGCCCGTGACCCAGCCTGGAGGGATACAGAGGACAAGGGGGCTGAGTAAAGGCACAGTTATGTCCCTGGGAGCAGTGATCTCCGAGGGTACAGAATGAGGAACTGTGGCCTCAGTGGGGGACTGATGCAGTGCTACCCTCTTTTTTTTTTTTCTTTGTCTTTTTGAAACAAGGTACGGCTGTGCAGTTCAGGCTGGCCTTGAGCTCATTTGGTAGCCAAGGCTGGTCTTGAGCTTGCAACAATCCTCCTGCCTCAGCCTCCTGAGTGCTGGGATTACAGGTGTGCACCACCACGCCCTCCTCCCTGTTTGGAATTCACAGGCTCCCTCCGCATTCTTCGAGTGGGCTCTGGGCACTCTGTCTGGACAACTATAAGGCCTCACTCTGCCTTACAGAGCTCACAGCCAGCTCCGTAATGCAACGAAACAATTATAAACAGCAGCGTCTGAGGAGCTGGGATGACAGGGATTCCTGATTGCTTAGAGAATCTGGGGTGCTTCCTGGGAGAAGAGGGATGAGAAGGAGTTTGCCAAGCTGGAGGTGGAGCCACAGAATGGGAGAGCTAGACCTAGAGAGCAGCAGCTCCCTAATCCTGGGCAAGGCGGGAGGAAGTCTTGGGGTTCAGCCTCTGTTCCACATACCTCCTACCCCACAGCCTGGAAGGACCACCCTCCTACCAGCCACCCACTCCGAAGGTGAAGGCGAAGCTGGAGGAGCCAGAGATGGTGAGCCCTTCCTGAGCCCAAACCTAGGCTCCGTACCACCCGCAGGCCACGGTGGGAATGGGGGCTCGCAGGAGAGGCCCATGCAGGGGTCCTGATCTTCTCTCCCCTTCCTGCTGCAGCCTTCCCAGCTCTTCACTCTGGGAGCCTCGGAGCACAGCCCACTCAAGACCCCCTATTTCGATGCTGGCGTCTCCTGTACTGAGCAGGTAGGAGCTCAGAGGAATGGGGAGTGGGGCTGGGGCTGGAATCAGGGTTGAAGGGGCCAAGCCTCAGAGAACAAAGGTCAGCTCTCAAGGTCAGCTCTCAGAATACTGAGATGTGTTCAGAATTCAGGGCAGGAGACCAGGAACAGAGAGTCCAAGGACATTCAGTCAAAGCTGGTGGATCCCTGAAGATCAGTATAGCCGAGCTTGGAGCCTGGAGCTGGGAGGAGAGAACAGAGTCATATTGGAGATCTGGATACTCAGGCTGCGATGTCGCTGTGCAAGGGGCTGTTTAAGGTTCAAGGTTAAATAGCTGGAGTCAAGATTGAGATGGATAAAAGACCTGGGCGGAGATCAAGGGACAGAAGTGAGGCTCAGGAATGACGGGGTAAAGAACATGATCTGGGCTTTGGGTTAGAGCCAAGCTGTGTGATTGTCCCCAGTGCAGCACTGACTCAGGATGACAGGCTGAAGTTGGGCATGGGGAGGGGCCGGTCAGGGCTTCCAGCTCAAGAGCAGGTCCGGGCTGTGTCATACTCGGGACATGAGCTTGAGTTTCCCCCTCCTCTCCAGGAAATGCCTCGATACCATGAGTTGCCCACCTTGGAAGAGAGGCCAGGGCCTCTGCTGCTGGGGGCCACAAGCCTCGGGTCCCCCATTGGGATGCCCCTGGAGCCGTCCGGCATGGAAGGGGTTTCCCTGGATCTAGAAGATGAGGAAGAGGGAGAGACGGAGGAAAATTATCTGGACAAGATCAACCCCATCTACGACACCCTGTCCTATGACAGCCCCTCTGATTCCTACCAGGGCAAAGGCTTCATTGTATCCAGGGCCATGTATGTGTGAGGACTTTGGCCTCTCACCTGTCACCTCTGATCCCTTATATTTTTGCTAGGGACCTGGTGCCCTCTGTCGTCTGGCTAAGCCACTACCAGTTAACACATGGGCATTCATCTGTGACTTCTACTTTAATGGCTCCATCGAGACCTCTAACCCACGATCTCAGGCCCAAAGAAACTTGCCAAGACAGTGGAAGCCTGGTAACTTTATCTGACAAGGCAGGAGGTAGGAAAGATATTTCTACACAACCGCTGACCACAAAGACTCCTTTCTCAAACCGTGACCTTAGACTATAGATAGCACTCACTTCTGACTGGCCCACATCTCCACTCCTCCAGAAATCCCAAAGACTCCAGACCTCTGATTTGTCCTTAGGCAGTCAGTCCCAGCAGCTCTGCAAAGCACAGGCATTCAAGGGTTTTCTGCTGCTCAGACTTGAGCCCTCCAGGCAGCAGAGCCTCTTGGTCTCCTCCCCAATCTGCTCCCCACAGATGGAGGGAAAGGGATTCCTAGCCTTAGGCTGAGCTTTCCCATCTCCCCCCTCCTGCAGGCAGGAGTCTCAGGGCCCAAGCCCTTCCCTGAGCCCCACTACCCCAATTCCTATGTACAGAGCATGAGCTCCAGCCCAGTGCTCAAAGGAAAACTTCACGCGTGTGCCTTGGTCACCTAGCTGTGGGTGAAGAATTGGCTGTTACTTTTTTGGGGGAGGGTACTGGGAATCAAACTCAGGACCTCATGCTTGCCAAGCAGGCACTGTGCCACTGAGCCATATCCCTGATGCTGGTTGTTACACTGAAGACTACTGAATCCTTTGCTCTCTGCCCACTTGGATGAGACCTAACATCCTCCTCTGGGAAAAAAAAAAAAAAAAAAAAAAAGGCGGGTTACCTGGGTTGCGATTGGGGTCTATGATATTGTTTTGTAACCTAGACTTTCCTACAAAATGAGTTTATACTTTGACCAGATGTGAGTTTTCTGTGGGATGTGAAGAGGGTGCGGGTAGATGGGAAGGCACCGAATAGGGTTCCAGAGCTTGGGAACCAGAGAACTAAGTCAAAATCAATTACAGACAAAAGCAAAAGGGACCGTGGGTACAAGGGAAGGAAAAAAAATCACTAACATAATAAGCAAAGATGCATCAACCAAAAACAAAGTGACGGATAATGGAAGGAGGTGGGGAGCACTCCAGGGAATGCATGGTTGTAAGGAAAAAGAATTTGCAACAACAGTCTAATGGGCAATGCACAGAAATAAATGTAACAGATAATTAGGTAAGAGGAGCTCAAATTTAATGGGTAAATGGCCAGTAGGGATAGGATAAAAGCAAAATCATGCATAATGTTTTAATAGGAGCCAAAGACATGGTGGGTAATGTATCTAAATGGATAAGCCAGGGGCAGAGCTGTGAGTAATGGAGAAATAGGGGCCGGGAGCATGATGGGTAATAGCTGGAGTTAATGGACCCGAAGCATGATGCTTAATTAGAAAAACGCTGGAAGATGCGAGGGTGAGCCTGCAGCAACGGGCTAACGGTAGCTTTGAGGCAATGAAGCCGAAATGAATGGGGCAAGTGCATGCTGGGTAATGGGACAGGAATGAATGGGTCAGAGATAAAAATCGCAGTGACGCGAGGAGCCGACAGCATGATGGGTAACGAAGGGGTTGGCCTAAGGTTACAATTGCGTTTAGGTAATGAGGACATTGTAACAAGAAGCAGAGCAGGGTTCACAAAACTGGTTAGACTTTTCCCGAGGAACTGTGGGAAAAACTAGCACTTCCGGTTTTCGGTCCAGAACGCAGAAGGTGCCTTCGCCACCGCGATGCTCGGTGGGGCGTAAGGCCTGACCTTGCTGCCTAGCAGCTCCTGCGGTGCAGCCCATCTTTACCTGTGTCCTTTGACCCTGGCACGTTAGCCAATGAGGGCGCCAAACTTTTACGTCACCGAGTGACCCTTCAACTCACAACCAATCAGGATGCTTCAAGGGCCAAAACCGACCACTTATCACTGCGTGTACTACGGGGCGGAGTCAAGAGAGAAAGCTCCTCCAGGAAGGGGCGGAACTTCGCGTCAATGGGCGTTGCAAAGTGCTCCTCACAGGTCAGTGATTAGCTAACACCAGAGCCCGCGGCTCCACGAGCCAATAGGCCAAGGCGCCGCGAGCCAAAGGAAAGAGCGAGGTATCCCGCCTACCGCTTGCTCGTGAGAACCAATAGAAAAACATTCAAGAGGGATGGGTGGGACTTTCAGCCACAACTCCAATAGAAAAGTCGGAACCGCAGGGTGGTGGGCGGACACCAGGGCACATTGAACCAATAGGTTAGACGGGGCGGAGCGACGGTGGCGCCGGCGGCAGCAGTGGATTAGGTTGCGCGCTGCGCACGGGGTGGGAGCGGAGCCCAGGTTGGGAGCAGGCGCCACAGCCAGTGAGAACTGGGGTCTAAAACAGGGTCGGGGTTGCCTTGGGCTGAGCCCGGGCTGAGCAGGGCCTGACCTCCGCCCTCTGACATCTACCCTCGCAGGCCACCATGGGGAACGTGTTGGCCGCTAGCTCTCCGCCCGCAGGCCCGCCGCCGCCGCCTGCGCCAGCCCTCGTGGGGCTGCCGCCGCCTCCGCCTTCGCCGCCGGGCTTTACGCTGCCGTCTCTCGGGGGTGGACTGGGCGCTGGAGCCGGCGCGGGCCGAGGTTCAGACCGGACACCCGGGACTGCAGCCTCCAGCGCTGCAGGGGCCGCTGATGACGGGGCCTGCGGTTGCCTGCCCAACCCGGGCACGTTCGAGGAGTGCCACAGGAAGTGCAAGGGTGAGGGGCGAGTGGCCCGGCGGAGTGTGACGGCCCGGATCTCTAGGGAAGGGGGGACATGGTGAACTTTGGGAATTGGCGCGCACCATTGGGATCGTTTAACCGAGCCATAGGAGTTGACGTTGGGATCGAATGGTGGAATAGCGAGACTGGAGCTTAGAACTGTGAAATCTAATAACTGAGCGACAGGATGGAATGTCACAGCAGTAGAGAAAAGCCTAAGGGGAGGTCAGGACCCCCGCGCTCACTACACTTGATTCCGGGGTGGAACTGAAGCCCAAGGTCACAGGGTCAGCAAGGGTCCCTTGAGGGGTGGAACCCAAGGCCTTTGCTTGTAATAATTATGATAGCGAGGGTGGCGGGAACCTAATTAGTGAGTGCCATCCTGATAGTCAGCACCCATCTAACACGTGAGTTTGATCCGAATCAATTGACTTGCCTAAAACCATACAGGTGGTGGATGGATTTTGGACACAGGGAAAGGTCCTGGCCCTGTCCTCTAGGTAGTACCTTCCTTGTACTGGTTGGGATGCTTTTTGAGACGTTCTGTGGGTGTTCGGAGAGAGCAGGGGGTGTGGCAGGGAAGGAGGAGGTGGGGTAGAGTGTGACAGCATTTCTCTTCTCCAGAGCTGTTTCCTATTCAGATGGAGGGCGTCAAACTTACTGTCAACAAAGGGTTAAGTAACCATTTCCAGGTGAGCCTTCCTAGTGCCTCCCCTGAGTCTTTGAAGGACTGTGTTCTTCAGTCCTTGCAAAGATTCTGACACAAAGCCAGGCTGACTACTTCGTAGGGGCCAAGTGGTAGGTTTTGGTGACCCAGAATCCAGAGGTGCCCTTCACCCTGTAACATCCTGCAAGGGTGCAGTACCAGATGTGTGGTCCGCCCCAGCACAGCCTTTCCGAGCCTCTTATCAGGCGGTGTAGCTCCCAGTCTTGGTGGTGTCGATGGGGTGGTACCCAGGGCTTTGCTCAGGCTAAGTACACCCTCTGCCACTGAGCTGTGTCCAGCCCCCAGACTGCATCTGCCCCTCCTTCTCCTCCAGGTGAACCACACAGTAGCTCTCAGCACAATCGGCGAGTCCACCTACCACTTCGGGGTCACGTACGTGGGGACAAAACAGCTGAGTCCCACAGAGGTAGGCTGTTTTTTCACTCATGTGTTGTGTCTTTCATAGAACAAGTATGTGACCAAACACCCAGCAAAGAAGACTTTGTTGGGAGCAGGTGCCTGCTGCAGAGGGCCCAGTGGGCATTGAGGGTGGGGACAAGGTGCATTGCACCTTAGTAATGCCTCCAGCAGTATCCCCTGAACCCCTTCTCTGTCTGGCCCTGTGCTGGGTTGTGCTGGGAAGATTGTGACCACAGTGGTCTATCACCAGTAATGACCTGTAGTGGGTAAGGCTGAACTGCAGATTACGCAAGTCTTTGGGTAGACGAGGTATTCAGACTTCCTCCAGGGGGCGCTGCGGATATGTGCACGGATTTGAACTGGGAAAAGACGCTCTCATCAGATGCCTGCTTCACACAGACTTGAGGCTGCCCTGAGGAGGCTGGATATGAGAGTGGGGTGGGGCACTCCAGGCCTAGAGGACAGCGGTGGCACCAATGCTGAGTTAGGTCTTCTTAATTGTTACTGAATTTTTGCTTGCCTTCAGTAAATGTATCCACTCAGCAGATCTCTGCACTGGACCCCTAGTCTGTGCCTGGCCCTGGGCTGGGACGCAGCAGTGACAGCGATAGATTTCACATCTCAGTAGGCAAGGGACAGACCTTCTCCCAGAGAGTGGAACCCGGAGCTGGCAGGACTGCAGTCGGGGGTCCCTCAATCTGGGGTAACTAGGGAGGGCCCCACCACCAGGCTGCCACTCCAGTCCGTAGTGAGACCTCTGACCACTGACCTGCCCTCTGCCCCTCCCCAGGCCTTCCCGGTGTTGGTGGGTGATATGGACAACAGCGGCAGCCTCAACGCCCAGATCATTCACCAGCTGGGCCCTGGCCTCAGGTCCAAGATGGCCATCCAGGTGAGAGGGTGCACACCCCGCTGCCCTGTGGCCAGGCCCCCCTGTGCACGCCCACTGCTCACGCTGCCCTCCTCCGCAGACGCAGCAGTCGAAGTTTGTGAACTGGCAGGTGGACGGGGAGTACCGGGGTTCGGACTTCACTGCTGCCGTCACCCTGGGGAACCCTGATGTCTTGGTGGGTTCAGGTAAGAGGTCACAGAACTCCCGTTCCTGCGATACCCACAGACCCATTCACATACCTTGATCTCCTTTCTCTTCTACAAGTAGCCAAAGTGGGAGTGATTCCAAGTATGGTAGTGCCCACTTGTAACATCAGCTCTCTGAGAGACTGAGGTAGGAGGGTCACAAGCTCAACGTATATGACTCAGAACGACTTTGTCTCAAAATTAAAAATTACAAAAAGGAGATTCAGTCCTCAGTGCAAGGAGGGGGATAAAGTAGAAAGCGAGGCTATGCGGTGTCTTGGGAAGGGATACACCCCGAAGCCCCAGTCCCGGGGGCCGTCTGAGCTGTGAAGTGGCCCTCAGTCTACTGCTCTGACCTGGGCTGCCCACAGGGTCCTGAGAAGGTTAAATAAGTTCATACACATGCAGGGCTTTGAGTGACATCGGGCACATGATGGGCACTTAGTTCCCAGAGCTGTGCTGGGCACTGTGACCTCCGGGGTCTGGGGTTACTGCAGGGCGACTGAAGCCATGCACAGCTGGGCAGGGAGACAGCCTGAGAGGGGGCTGGTGGTTTGTGGTTGGCTTGAGTGGGGACAGGGACTGTCTGGAACTGTGATCTCTCCCTTTCAGTTCCTTTTTTTTTTTTTTTTTTCTCCTCCTTTCTGTGTGGAGCATGGGACCCAGGGTGCTCTACCACTGGTCTGCATCCCAGCCCTCTTTTATTTTTAAGACAGTGTCTGTAAGTTCCCTAGGCCAGGCTGAAATTTATAATCCTCCTGCCTCAGCTTCCCAGAGAGCTGGGATTCCAGGTGTGCACCACCACGCCTGGCTCGTCATTGTCTTTTCTGTATCCATTTGAGGAGTATTTGTGGAGCCTAAGCTATGTGATAGATACTCTACGCACTGAAAATAAAACGGCTAGCAAGAGAGTAGAGTCTGCGCTTGGGAAGCTTCTATCTTGAGGGGCAGGCTCAAGTAAAGCTGTACCTGCTAGGGTCAGGCTGGGGGGTGAGGCTCGTGGGAGAGCCCTGCACAGCACACATGAGGCCCTGAGTTCTAGCTTCAGCCTTGCACCAGAAAATGAGTCAGGCTGGGCTGCTCGTAAGCTTTTCTCAGAGCCCTTTTCATCTCTTTTTGTTACTGGGAGCTAAGCTGAGGACCTTTGTACTGAGCTACATTCCCTGACCATTTTTTGGTCTTTTTGACACAGAGTCTCACTATGCAGTTCAGCCTGAGCTTGAACTCACTTTGTAGCCCAGGCTCCCCCTTAAACTCACAGAGATCCTCCTGGCTGGGGTTACAAGTGTGTGCCACCATGCCCAGCTCTGGGTGTCCATCTTTACCAAGTATTTAACTGAGCATATACTATGCATATAGTGTTATAGGCACTATGGGTACAGCTGGAGCCAGAGCACTGTGGCTGCTCTCAGGGCGCTGCATGCAGCTGTCAGGTGAGGCCCTTGCAAGCTGCGTGAAGGGTGTCTGCCAAGCATGTGCAACAGCTGGGGGTGTGGGGTGAGCTAGGGCCTTTGGAAGGTGGTTGGTACCCTCAGCAAAGACGTTCACGAGGTTGGGGGCTGGGGGCTGGGGAGTGTTCTCACCTCTGGTTGCCTGCCAGAAGCCAGAGATTCATCTCGAGGGAGCTGGTGCCCTCCAGCTTGCAAAGGCAGAGAGTAGGAGGCCACTGCCCGGGGACAGGAGCTGGAGCAGGCTGGGGAGGTGGGTGGGAGAAGCGTCCTTCCAGGTGAGGTGGCCGAAGGCAGCATTTCCTGCTTTTGCCACCTGCACAGGCTGTCTTTGCAGTTTGCACTGCCACCCTGGCTGAGGGAGGGAAGGGCAGTGTCCTGCAAAGCCAAGCCGCCTCGGGCCCCACCTGGCAGCTTAGCCGCCGAGTCCATTCCCTGGGTGAAGTGCCGAGGGCAACCTCAGTCTTCTGGTCACTGCCGTCCCCTCATAGCCTCACAGTGCCACGGCCACTGCAGCACTGTGTCCCTCAGCACCTCGGATCTGACAAAAACAGAACCTGTGCTGAGCACTCGGTCCCTGGTCAGCAAAGCCTGCTGTGGCCCCCATGGCTGTGTCCCCCACTGAGCCTCAGGTTCCTCTGTTGAGTGGTCACAATGCAGGTGGCCACTGCCTGGTGAAGCATTCGATGAAAGCCCATCTGCGGCCCTCAGACCACAGCCATAAGCATCACTGTGTCCTTGGGTCACATGCCATCCTGTCAAGGACAGGACCCACTTGACCACTGAGGAAGGGATCCCCAGGGCAGGTCAGGTGGGAGCCCGCACTCAGCCCGCTTCCCCTTGCATGGGCTGGGCCTGCCCTCCTGGTATTGGGGATCCAACCCAAAGGCACTGCCACCCTCAGCACACCGCCACCCTTTTTTTTTTAACCTTTTTGTGACAAGGTCTCATTGTATAGTCCAGACTGGCCTCAAACTTTAGGTGATCTCCTGCCTCAGCCTTCTGAGTGCTTGGGTTATAGGTGGGTACCACCATGCCCAACTTTCAGCCCACTTTGGGGATCGAATTCTCGACCTCGGGCTTGCAAGGCAGGCGCTCATGCCACTGAGCTAAATCTCCAGCCCCTACTTTTTTATTTTGAAACAATTTTCCCTGAATTGTCCAGGCTGACCTTGAGTTTGTGATTCCCCCGCCTCGGCCTCCTGAGTAGTTAGAATTGCAGGTGTGTATTGTATCTGGCTAGAGACATGTGCCCACGTTTTTGCTTTTCATTTTTTGAGATAAGGTCTCACTGTGTGTTCTAGGCAGACTGTGACCTTGGGGCAATTCTCCTGCTTCTGCCTTTTGAGTGCTGGAATTTCAGACACAAGCCATCACACCTGGCTCTTTCCTTTAGACCAATATTGATACAGCGTGTTCCTGCTTAAGAAATCCCACCTGGGAGCCAGGCATGATAACGTAGGCCTGGCATCCCGGCTGTCTGGCAGCTGAGCCAGGATCACTGTAAGGGGAAAGCCAGGCAGCCTAAATTAAACAGGCTCACTCTCAAAAAAAAAGAAACGAAGTCCTCCTAGGGAAACTCTGGGTTTGCTATGAAGGATCTGCCTTAATCCGAGCAACAGGGACAGTCTCTGTGAAACAGCGGTTATCTGGCAGACGGGGATTCAGCAGGGAACTTGAGGAAAGGAGGGCGCTCCCAGGAAACAGGCACCACGGGCTGGATGTGGTGGTGCACACCTGTAATCCCCCTGACGAGGGTGGCTGAAGCAGGAGGCTCCCAAGTTCTAGTCCAGCACGAACAATTTAGAGAGCCCCTGTCTCAATCAAGTTTACTTTTGGGGGCTGGTTTTATGAGACAGAGTCTCAGTGTTCCAGGTTGTGCCTCCATGCCCAGCTTCAAAATAAAATTACGAAAAACTGGCTAGGGCTGAGGCAGGAAGATCACTGTGAGTTAGAGAACAGCCCGGGGTACAGAGCGAGACCTTGTCTCAAAACAGAACAAAAAACATCAAAAGACCTGTCCCACGCTGGGGATTTAGCTCAGTGGCATAAGCGCCTGCCTTGCAAGCAGGCAGTCGTGAGTTCGATCCCCGGTATCGATAAAAAGGAAAAGACAAAAAAAAAAAGACTTGTCCCATGATCACATACACAAATTCCTATAAAATACTTATGCCCTCAGCCAGCTGTGGTGGCACACACCTGTATTCCCAGCACTCTGAGGCTGAGGCAGTAGGATCGACACAAGTTCATGGTCGCCGTGGACTACATCATGAACTCAAGGCCAGCCTGAGCTGCACAGCAAAACCTTGTTTTTAAAAATAAAATAAAAACCAGGCTGGGGGTGCAGCTTATTACTCCCCGACTCCAAAAAGTAAAAACAGGGTGCTGTATTCAGTGGGTAAGGTGGAAAGACCTGCCCAGCTGGAACCAAGCACTGCTTTCCCCTGGCTGCTGCACACCTGTCCTGGCAGCTACCCCAGGAGGGCCACTGTGAGCCAGCCATCCTCACCAGAGCCCCACCCTGCAGGTGGAAGAGCGAGCAAGGCTGAGCAGCTCCTTCCCACCAAGTACCGCTGCCCTAGATGGCACACTTCTCCCAAGCACCGAGGCCACCGTTTTAGATGCAGACTCAGAGCTGGTCTTGGTGTCTCCACCTGCGCTGCTGACCTCCCACTCCTGTAGGGTGGGGCTGTCCTGGGCCGTATTGGGTAGAGGTGGCTTTCCCCGTCTGGATGCCAAGCTGGTCTCCCCAAGGGACATCTCCAGTGTGGCAGAGTGACAGCTGGTTGACAGCTCTGGGCTCAGGTGCAGAGGAGCTGGGTGTGGACAGGTGCACTAGGGGTCAGTTAAGGAGTCGGGCAGATGTAGGGGTCAGTTAAGGAGTCGGGCAGATGCCGGTCAGCAGTGAATCCTAGAGAAGGAGGTGCTGCTTGGGCAAAGCTTGTCAGCCTGCGAGAACCTGGGGTTCTGTCCCCAGTAAAGGAGAAGTTCAAGGCCCCTGAGCCAGGTGCTGGGACAGCCACAGTGTGCCATGGAGCATTGACCTTTAATGCTCTCCATTGAGGGCTGAGTGGAGAGGGCGACTGCTGGAGACTCCTGACACATGTCACTAGCCCAGGGAAAAGCTGGAAGGTCACAGTGGGACCCTCACAGGTCAGACCATCTGTGTTGTCCATTCTGAGGGTGCCATGCATCCAGGGCATGGTGTGCTGGAGAGAAGCAGCCAGTCAGCTGGGCCCAAAATGAGGAGCGAGATCCACATGCTCATGTGGCCGGGCTGACTGAGGTCACCTTCGAGGTAGGCAGAGAGGATGTGGCCTTGCTTCAAGGCCGATACCAAGTCACCCACAGGGCTCTGCAGCCACGCAAAGCAGCCAGGATCTTTCCTGGGCACTGGGGAGCCATGGTAGGCTCTGGGTGTAAAGTCAGGCTTGTGTTTTAAGGAAGATCCCTCTGTCATATTAGAGGTCCCTTGAAGAGGGCAGATGAGAAGCTGGGTGCCTGGATCCATGGGAACACCCTGGGTTCGACCCCCAACACTTGGGTGGGCAGTGGGTTTAGGGAGTTCAGGGTCTCCTGGGCCTCAGTCCAAATACTTTGTTTAGTAGATGTCAGAGATTCTAAGCTGAGGTCTCCATCTCAAGTGTAGGTGGCTCTTCTGTCCCCCTTGGCTAGACACAGTGTCCCAGCAGAGCTGTGCCCATCAGGCTTCAGCGAGGGAGTCCCGAGGCGGAGTCTGCACCCTGAGGGGAGAAGAGCCTCTTCCTTCTCCGTTGCTTTTTTCCTTTTGTGCAGTGCTGGGGAGGGCGCAGCGGGGCCTCCCACTGCAGCCCAGCTGGCCCCCCAGCTCTCCAGCTCGCCCTGTGTCATCATTTCCTGCGTCTCTGTCACTCACTCTCTTTCCCCACGTGCTTCCTTCCTGATTCTTCACCCCGGAGAACTGCACGTCCAACGTGTCCTCAGTAAGGCCCCAGATAGTCACACCTTGGCCCAGGGATGGCACCACTGCTGCTGAGGGACAGAGGACCTGAGGCCACCCCAGGTGTAGGGGAACTATCACTCGGCCTTCATCACAACCCCAGGCAGCAACTGGATTGTAGAGAAGGGACACCGGTGGCAGGAGGTGGCAGAGCTCCCAGCAGGAGGAGGGGCAGGACTTGGGCCTCCGCTGTCTCCCGGCCACTGCTGCTTCCAACTACTGGCAGCAAACGGTGACATGGCCCAGATACTGCCCTGTGGTCAGTGGTGAATGAGTGATGGCTGCATGGGGCAAGGTCCCAGGTGACTGGCCACCATGAGTGCCGGAGGCTGACCTCATGGCTCTCTAGGAATGATGCTCGAGGAGCAGGCGTGGGGCCTGAGGGCAGCCCAGGCTTCTGTGGTCCTGTGGTGGCACCAGGCCGGGGGGTGACTGACCGCCACCTCCCCACAGGAATCCTCGTGGCCCACTACCTCCAGAGCATCACACCATGTCTGGCCCTGGGCGGAGAACTGGTCTACCACCGGCGACCCGGAGAGGAGGGCACCGTCATGTCTCTAGCTGGGAAATATACACGTGAGCTGGGGCTGGGGGCAGGGGAGGCAGGCCCCCAAATGTGAGCGCACCACCCTGGCTCTCACATGGCGGCATCCCCTTGTGACCTATCCCTGCCCCCACCCCGCTCTTTGCAGGAAACAATTGGCTGGCAACAGTGACACTAGGCCAGGCGGGCATGCACGCAACGTACTACCACAAAGCCAGCGACCAGGTGAGCAGGAGGGATGACCGCCATGTCTCGAAGGCTGGGCATCCAGGTGGGCGCTGACCCTCAGGCTTTGTCCTGGCTCTTCCAGCTGCAGGTGGGTGTGGAGTTCGAAGCCAGCACGAGGATGCAGGATACCAGTGTCTCCTTCGGGTACCAGCTGGACCTGCCCAAGGCCAACCTCCTCTTCAAAGGTAAAAGCCTCAAGTTTCCCAGCATAGAAAATAGATCAAAGTGACTCAGCTCTTAGTAAGCATGGAAGTCAGAGGAGGTGACAGAAGACAGCAGGATGAGAGACCTTCGGGATGGCTGGGGCACTGCACCTGCCCTTCCGGAAGGTCCGAGCTTTACAGGGAATTTCAGTCTTGCAACAGCAGATCCTGAGCATTGCTCTGGGCACAGCCTTGTCTCAGCATGAGCAAGACTGGAATGGTGGTCTCCCGAATGTCCATGGTCATCCAGCAGGGAACTAGGGGCACAAACCATCGGCTCCCCGGGCTGGTGGGGTTGCAGTGGTATGCAGTCTCCGCGTGGGGGCGCGCCCTTCCCCACCCCTGGGGCAGGACTGATGGGGGTGGATAGGGAGGGAGCACATCTTACCTCAGCCATGCCCCCCACCCACAGGCTCGGTAGACAGCAACTGGATCGTGGGAGCCACGCTGGAGAAGAAGCTGCCGCCACTGCCCCTGACGCTGGCGCTCGGGGCCTTCCTGAACCACCGCAAGAACAAGTTTCAGTGCGGCTTCGGGCTTACCATCGGCTGAGCCTGCGCCCCCAGATCCTGCCTCCGCCCCCTCCACAAGGAGGGCGCCCTGGCCCCCCTCCTTTCCCTCCCTCCTGGGGGTCGGGGGCAGCGGAAAGGAGGGGGCCACCACCCCGCAGCTGAGGAGGGGGTCCTGGGACCGAGGGTTCTGAGCGCAAGGGGCCGGGAGCCCACTGGGCCTGGGTGCTCGAGGGGAAGCGGAGTCCAGGAGCACGGACTGCGCCGGGTACGGGCGGCAGCAGCACAACCTCAGGAAGGAGTGGCGTGGTGACCCGCAGAGCCGCTGGGCTGCCAGAGGAGCGCCCTGCCGTCGGCCCGTCCCGCCCGCTCTCCCTCTACCCCTCGGTATAAATCATGTTTATAAGTTATGGAAGAACCGAGACATTTTACAGAAAAAAAGAAAAATACAAAAAATATACGTGGAGAAAGAAGCAAAAAAACGATGCAGGAGACCTCTCCAGCGTCCTCGCGCGTTGCGTCTGGAGCTTCCCGCGGCCGCCGGCAGGGGGCGCAGGTGTCGCGGGCTCGCCAGGCGCGCTGGTGGGGGGCGCCTAGCCCGGGACCACACGGCTGCCCCGTGACTTCTGCCCTTGGGGACATCATCTCCTCGCCCATAGAGCCAGGTCCTGGGGCCACTTACCCTTGGTGACCTGGCCAGGGTAGCGGCAGAGGACTTTGCCCCGGCAAACTGAAGTAACGACAACTCAAATGCAGATTGGGACAGAGCTGGGACTCGGGTCTTTTCAGGTCCCAGAAAGGGCAGAGGATACAGGGTTTGGGGCTTCGGCTGAGTTTTCAGGAGCTTCAGAAAGAATTCAGGCTATGCACAAAGCCTCGGGACGATTCAGGAAGTGAGTGGTAGTTGGCTGAAGCCGCCCCCCATTGACAAGGGAGTCAGGATTTTGCCAAGTGCAGTCAGATAAATGCCCCCGACCCTGCTTCAGACAGGAACTGATCCCTGTCTGTAGAGTTTGGCGGGCGCTGGTGAGCAGAAGTGACCCCTAGTAACCCCGAGATGTCACCCACTCGTGCTCTTTCCAGCAGGGCGCTCTGAGCTCAAAGCAAACAGGCTGGGTGTGGCAAGGCACGGGGGAAGGGGACTTGCTGACCCTGCAGATCTAATGTGCCTGCCTTTTCTCTTTTGTCTTAAGACCTAGGCTGATCCTCCTGGCTCAGCCTCCCACGGTGTTGTGATTACTGATTTGCACCCCCCACGCACACTGCTTTGCACACTTACGGGTAAAAAACGCTGCTCAGAGAGGCCGGGTCATCTGCCCAAGGTCATACCGCCGGCCACTGACCGTAAGCCCAGGCAGTCGGATTGAGTCCTCGCCGGGCATTGTTGCTTCAAGCCCCGAGAAACGTGGAGCGTGAGCGGCTCCTGGATTCGATCCTTCCACCCTACCCCATACCGGCAGGGTGCTAAGTTCCCATTTCACAAGTGGGAAAAGGGGGTCTCATAGATGCTCAGGCTGAGACGCACAGGAGCTGAGCTGAAAACCAGGTCTCACACGCAAAACCTCCCCTCCCCTTGCCCTGCGTCTCTGCCCGTGGCCCCAGCCGTACTTAGCCTCCCGCAGGGAAGGACAGGACCAGACACCCCCGGAGCACCCTAGCATGCAGGTCACCCAGACAACTGGGTGAAGGGTCACTTCTCAGCACAGGGCAGGAAGGGGGTCACAATGCCTCCAGCCCCAACTTCCTCCCCTCCCCCTGCCGTGTGGGGGCGAGGGCAGCCGCCTCGTGACAGGGGCTGGCCCAGCCCGCCCAGGCCGCGGGAGGGGCGGGGCACGGGGAGCCCTATAATTGGAGCAGCCCGGGATCCCGCAACCCTGCGCAGACCCCGCGGAAGGAATCCCTGAACCTATTTCTGCAGCGGCTGGTGAGAGACCCCGTCGGGGCGCAGGGATCAGCGAGCAGGCCTTGGTAAGAGGAGGTCGGAAACTGGGGGATCCCCTGGGCTCCAGGAAGAATGGGAGGCAAGGAGAAGGCGAGCAGCTCAGGAGAGACCCTTGGGACGAGCCGGAGATCAGAAGTGTCTGGTTTGGGACAGACAGGAGCCAGGGGCTGGACCTAAGGAAGACCTCAGGGCACGGACATCCTGTCCTGTCCAGGCAACACGGCAGGGTTGGGGGCGCTTGGCCCTGGAGCACGAACTACGACATAAGCCACAGTCATAGCCCACAAGTCATTTATTGAGCGCCTACTGGATGCCCCTGTCGTCCTGAGACCTCCGTCACTGGCGGCGCAGGGGTACCCCATCCAGGCTGAGAGAGGACTTTTTTACATAAATGGAAAACCCATGACGGGAAAGCGGCACGCAGACGCCGACTTGGAGCTTCGGCCCGCGGAGCTGGACCGCGCAGCGCCCGGGCCAGCTTCAGATGGAGCTGGGGTGGTGGTGGAGTGGAATTTGAACCCTGGGAGAGGGAGACGGAATTTTGGCTCTGGAGCCGACCTGGGGGATGGAGAGATAGAAGACAAAGGGAGAGTTAAGTAGATCTAGGGGGGCGGGCGTCAGTGTTTTGAGATTGGATTAGGCTGGGCAGGGGCCAGGCGTCTGCAGCTGGGCGGGCTCGGTGGGCGGAGCCCTCGCCCTCGCTGCTGCGGACTGACCGTCTCTTCTCCCCAGGCTGATCAATCACAGGCGGGAAGATGAAGGTCCTGTGGGCTGCTCTGGTGGTCACGCTTCTGGCAGGTATGGGGCGGGGCCTGTTCGATCCCTGCGCCTCCCCCTCTTAACTCTGGCCCTGTTTAAGCTCTGGGGCCTCTTTTCTGTTGACCCATGTCCCCCATGAGAAGGAGGCTAAGTCTGAGGTTCCCCCAATTCATCAGCTCTGAGCATCTGTTTTACTTTTTCTGGGCCTCAGTTTCTGCACCCATATTATTGCCATTATCCCTGATATTACCACTTCCTAAGGCTTTGCCGCCCAGTAGTGAGTGCTAGCCAGATGTCAGCAGTGATGGGCTTTTTTTTGGTGTGTGCTGGGGATAGAACTCATGAATTTGTACTTGCCTGGCAGATATCTGTGCTGTTGAGCTATATCCCCAGCCCCTGTGATGGGCTTTTATTGTCACCCCAGCATAGTCCTGCATGGGATACCAAAAGACAGTATGTATTTACTGGGCGAAGTGGTACAAGCCTGTAATCCCAGCACTTGGGAGGCTGAGGCAGGAGGATCTCCACATTCAAGGCCAGCCTGAACTATATACATAGTTAGGGGCTGGGGATTTGGCTCAGTGGTAGAATGCTTGCCTAGTTCGGTCCTCAGCACCAAACCTGAAAAACAAAAAATCCATTAAAAAAAAACACAAAAGATATATACATAGTGAGTTCAAGACCAGCCTGGACTACCCTTTTTAGACCCTGTCTCAAAAGACTTAAAAGAGAAAATACGTGCTCCATACATGATTAAATACACTCCACCCCTGCCTGCCCATGAGGGTCCCCAGGAGGCTAAGGATCCTTTCAGGAGCACCTAGTCTGGACAGAGTCCTATGTGCATGGTGGGGTACAGGGGCTCTGACCCAGCCTTGCTGGAACTTGCCTCCCACAGGATGCCGGGCAGATGTGGAGCCAGAGGTGGAGGTGCGGGAGCCAGCAGTGTGGCAGAGCGGGCAGCCCTGGGAGCTTGCGCTGAGCCGCTTCTGGGATTACCTGCGCTGGGTGCAGACCCTGTCTGACCAGGTGCAGGAGGAGCTGCTCAGCAACCAGGTCACCCAGGAACTGACGTGAGTGCCGGGACCCTGGCAGTGGGTGGTGTCCTTGGGCCTCTGGAAGGTCCACTTGTCTCTTGGGGGAGGGACCTGGGGCTCCATCCCTTTCTTGCTTCCTCTTTTCCTTTTTTCCTTTTTCTGGTACTAAGGATCCCCCCACCCATGGTACTAGAGGTTGAACCCAGGGTGTGACAAGTGGTAGGCAAATACTCTGCTACTGAGCCACATCCCAGCCTCACCAGCCCGTTATTAATTTTGAGATGTCTAAATCACCTGGGCACGGTCGGAACATGCACTCTGGAATCCTCCTGCCTCAGCTTCCCAGAGTGCTGGCTCCACCTGGTAGCTTTACCTCTCTGGTTCTCTGTGCTTCCAGACAGACACAGGTCTGTCTCCTCTCTGGGCCTGTCTCCCTTCCTCCTCGACCTCTTTTAGGACCCCTCAACCCAGGCTTCCTGCACAGTATCCACCCCCTGGCCCGCAGGCTGCTGATTGAGGACACCATGAAGGAGGTGAAGGACTACAAGGCGGAGCTGGAGAAGGAACTAGGACCGGTGGCAGAAGACACGAAGGCTCGGCTGGCCAAGGAGCTGCAGGCGGCGCAGGCACGGCTGGGGGCAGACATGGAAGAGGTGCGCAACCGCCTGTCGCAGTACCGCAGCGAGGTGCAGGCCATGCTGGGCCAGAGCTCCGAGGAGCTGCGCGCGCGCCTGACCTCGCACCTGCGCAAGATGCGCAAGCGGCTGCAGCGCGACATCGATGAACTGCAGAAGCGTATGGCTGTGTACAAGGCCGGAGCCCAAGAGGGCGCCGAGCGTGGTGTGAGCGCCATCCGAGAGCGCCTGGGGTCCCTGATAGAACAGGGCCGTCTTCAAGCCCTGACCAGCCAGCCACTGCAGGAGCGCGCACAGGCCTGGGGTGAGCAGATGCGCGGGCGGCTGGAGAAGGTGGGCAGCCAGGCGCGCGACCGCCTGGAGGAGGTGCGTGAACAGATGGAGGAGGTGCGCGTCAAGGTGGAGGAGCAGGCCGAGGCCTTCCAGGCGCGCCTCAAGAGCTGGTTCGAGCCCATGATGGAAGACATGCGGCGCCAGTGGGCCGAACTCATCCAGAAGGTGCAGGTGGCTGTGGGCGCCAGCACCTCGGCTCCCAGCCAGGAGCCCTGAGCAGCCAGCTTCCGCCCCACCCCACCCACTGGAGTCCCTCAGCCAGCAGGAGGCACCAGGCTCTGTACCCACCCCCGCCTGCTCCTGGAGGGCTCTAGTTAATAAAGATTGGAAAGATTTGCCGAGCCTCGCAGCTGGGTCTCAGTGTGATTCTTAGTGCCTCTGCCTGTTTCTCTTTCCTTTCCCACACTGGCTACACCGTTCCTGGCCCCGTGGCCTTCACTGGTATGCTTCTGTTTTGGCTCTGATTTAATTACCTCCTAGGTTTTGTTTTTCTTTCTTTCTTTTAATGGTAATGGGAGCCCAGGCGTGGTACTCTCAGTGCTTGGGAGGCTGAGGCAGGAGGATTGTTGCAAGTTGGAAACCAGCCTGGGCTACAAAGTGAGCCCAACACCAGCCTGAATCGCATAGGGAGACCCTGTCTCAGACAATAAATAAACAAATAAATGGTACTGAGGCTGGAACCCGAGGCCTTTGCACTGAGCAACATCCCCCCTGGTTCCTTCTTTCTTGCAATACCAGAGATTGAACTTCTGGGTGTTGCACCACTGAGCTCCATCCCTAACCCGTTTTTTATTTTTGAGACTTCGTTTGTCAGGAACGTGCTATCCTGCCTCAGCCTCACAAATGACTGGGATTATGGGCATGTGCTGCTGGGCTCAGCTCTTTCCCAGATCTTTTCTTTTTCAGTGTCCTCTGCACTCACTCACTCGCTCTCTCCTCCCGTTCCATCTCAGAGCAGACAGCCCTGAGCCAAGGGGACCTTTCCCTCGCGATTCTCAGCACAAACCTGGCCCTGCTACTGCAGCCCTGGAGATGAGACCCAAGCCCTTCGTACTGAATACATCCCCAGCAGCCCTGCTACCCCAGCCTTTTGCATTTTTAAACGTTTTTTATTTATACATTTTTATGAGGCAGGGATCTTTTGCTAAGTTGACCAGACTGGCCTCAAACTCCCCGTTCTCCTGCACCGGCCAGCTGGTTGGTTTTCTCATTTTAATAACACCTGCGGTACAGAGCTGCTGTGACCTGAAGTGCCCCTAGGGGAGCCTTGTTACTCAGCCTGCCCCCGCCCCCGGTCTCTGTCCAGCCTGCTGCTCCCCTTCAGGCTCATTCCCCCCACCTGCTGTGTTTCTTCCCCTGTCTTATCTCTCCCTCCTCCTACGCTGCTCTGGCCCGGGCCCTGCTCCCCCGCCCCCCATCCTTCCTGGTCCCCTCCCTGTCATTGCCTGTCCTCTTTCCAGGTTAACTGGGCAGCATGTCACCCTCCCACTGTACCTCCTGCTTCTCTTTCTCTTTCCAGCTGTGCTGTCCACTTTGTCATTTGAGCCCAAGTCTTGCTACATAACCCAGTCTGCACTTGGGATCCTCCTGCCTCAGCCTCCTAGAAAGCTGGGATAACAGGCATATGGCCACCATGCCCTGCTGTGGTCTACCTTTGTCTTCCCCAGTGCCCTTCTATGGTGCTGGATCCAGTTGCCTAGGGTGGCCCCGGGGGCTGGGGATACACAGAAGTCAGCACCTGGTGGCGGGCCAGACCAAGCTGGCACTCAGGGAAGAGGGGGCAGAAGCTGGCGCCCCGCTCAGTCCCCTCCCTCCCTTCCCTCCCCCTCAGTTCTCAGCCCAGGGCAGGCCAGGGCTTGAGTCTGGGGGCCCTGCCTGGCCCCCAGTGTCTTTGGCACAGCTGGAGTTCTGCGATTTCCTGGCAAACACCAGGTGTCTGCATGGAGGCGGCTCCCCTCCCAGAGATGACTCACAGGCTCCAGACCCAGTGGGCTGCTGGCCAGGGCCAGGGCCAGGCCCACTCAGGCCTCAGTTTTCCCCAGGGTCAGTAAGAAAGGCAGCCGGCAGCCTCAGCCCTGTAAGTGGTAAATCTTGAATACTCAAGCATAGAGAGCTGTGTGCATGTGTGCACGTGTGCACATGTGTGTGTTACTGGAAAGTGAACCCAGAGCCATTACACTGAGCCGCATCCACAGCCCCCCACTTTTTTTTTTCTCTGAGGCAAAGTCTTGCTAAGTTGCCCAGGCTGGACTCAGACTTGCAATCCTTCTGCCTAGCCTCCCAAGTAGCTAGGATTTCAGGCTGTGTGTGGCGAGCTGTAAGGAGACATAGTGAGTGCCATCTTGCAGCACCCCAGTCAGGCCTCAAAGGAGGTGAGAGGGGGTTGGGAGTCAGGTACAGGACTGGCATCGGGTGCTATTGGTGGGGTAGACAGGACTGACGGCATCAGGGGTCTCCAGAGAGACAGCCAGGAGTCTGAGAAGAGGAAGGACCAAGGGCTCTCCCCACCTCTCACTAATCCTAAAATGTATTTGCCTGTGCCTCAGTTTCCCCACCTATAAACTGGAAACCCGTGCGGCTGAGACAAGACTGGCAAAACAGGGGCTTGCTACTCTAGGCTTTTGGTGGTCACGACACCAGGAGCAGGAGTAGTGGCGCAGGCCCGCAATCCTAGCACTAGGAGGCTGAGGCAGGAGGATCACCTAAAGCTTGAGGCCAGCCTAGGCCAGTGAGTTTAAGACCAGCCTGAAATATGTAAAGAGCTGTTGTCTTAAAAAAAAAAAATAAAGAAAAGAAAAGAGGACACCGCCTGGATGTCTGGGGAATGCGCTAGGCTCTGGGCAGGAAGGAAGCTGTCCAGCTGGGGCCCAAAGCGACTGGAAGCTCAGAGTCAGCCTGGGGGTATTGCAGTGCTGCCAGGCTGGCATCTGTGCAGTCCCTTTCACAACCACCCTCTACGCCAGCGCTGGCACGCGCTCGCCAGGGACCAAGGCCAGTCACCCTCCCCACCAGCTTCGGGGTCACTAGCGGTCAAAGGCGCCCCGCGGGAGGGATGCACTGGAGGAGCTGGGGGGGGGGGGGGCCAAGCAAGAGCAAAAGAAGTGTTCCGGGCAGAGGAGGCAGGGGCGAGTGCTCTCAGGAGGCTTGTGCTGCCTTCTGCAGTTCAGAGGGTGGAAGAGACCCAGCCCAACTGAGGAAGGGAGGCCACAGAGCCCGGAGGGGAAGCAATGTAGAAAGAAGAGTAAACTGTGCTATGGACGTGCACCAACTGCCCACCACGAAGGGACTCATAATGTACTGCAACGTAACAGGAATGAAAATTAGAAAGAAATATGACCCCCGAGCCCAGCCCAAGGATGTGTGCCCATAATCCCAGGAGGCTGAGGCAGGAGGACTGCAAGCTCGAGCTCAGCCTGGGTAATTTTGGGAGACCCTGTTTTAAAAAATAAAATCTAAAAAAATTCTGTAGATGGAGCTCAGTAGGAGAGCATCCCTGGGTTCAATCCCCAGGATGGACAGGCCCAGGGAATTAGGTCCCCAGAGAGCATCGAGGGAGGGCTGGGAGGCACAGGGGTGGTACCCTGGGGGAGGATCCCTGGTGGTGCCCTGGGGGCAGGAGCAGATCCCAGAGCAGCGCAGAGTCCGAGCTGAGAGGGAGAGGAAGCTGGTGTGGTGGCCCTCACCTGTAATCCCAGCAATCTGGAGGCTGAGGCAGGACATTGCTGTGAGGTCCAGGTCAGTCTGGGCTACATAGTGAGTTCAAGGCCAGCCTGCATTCCACAAACTACAGAGCAAGACCCTGAAAAAAAGAAAGGAGGGGGAAGGGCCAGGTGCACAAGGTCACAAAGGACCCAGTACGAGCTGGGGTGAGACCCATGGGGCTGTCACCCTGGAAAGGAAAGAGCCACAGGGAAGAGTGGGGCCTGTCCCTAAGCGGGCAGGGGCTGGGCAGGCTGAGGTCACAGTAATGGCAGTGTGAGGTGCGAGCCCAGGGGAAAGGTCAGAGGGGGGAAAGGTCGGAGGACAGAAAGGAAAGTGGGTGTGGGGGCGGCTGGGCGACAGGGAGGTGAGATGCTCCGCCCCCTCCCCAGCGGATAAATGCTGGGCAGCTGTACCGCCAGCCCCACCTCCAGCCAGCCAGCGGGTGCACTGACTACAGGTGTGTGCTGGACCCGGAGGGAGGGCGGGAAGGAGGTCAGCCGGAGGAGCTAAGAGGGCTGGAAGGGCCGCGGTGGGGGGCGGGGGAGCAGCTCACTGATTCCCGCACCGCCCCAGAGTGCCCTCTGCAGACATGAGGCTCCTCCTGTCGCTACCCGTTCTGGTCTTCGTCCTGTTCATAGCTTTGGAAGGTAAGAGTCGGATGTGAGACCACTCAGGAGGCTGAGGCGGGAGGATTCCCGTGAGTTCCAGGCTATATAGGGGGCTATATAGGGGGACCTGTCTCAAAAATCAAAACAAAGGGGCTGGGGATTTAGCTCAGCGGCATAAGCACCTGCCTTGCAAGCAGGCAGTTGTGGGTTCGATCCCCGGTACTGATAAAAAGGAAAAAGTCAAAAAAAAAAAAAAAATCAAAACAAAAATACGCATATGTAAAGCATAAAATGGCCCGGGTTTATACAGATCAGCGCAAAGGACCTGGGTTTGATCCCCAAATGCCACAAAAAACAAGAACGCAAAAGATGTGCTGGGAGAATGGGGAATGTGGGAGTCAGAGGTTTGGGAGTGTGAGGCTGGCCTGGGTCCAGTGTTAGCAGGTCCTGGAGAGCACTGGGGACCCTTCTGTGTCTCTGTTCCCCAGTTTTCCTCTGATTGGCCGCAGCTTCGCCCTGCCGGGTGGGCTTCTAAATTGGCTAAGGTGAGTTCCAGCAAGTGGGCCGGAAGCGCCCTCCGACTGGTGACTGGTGACACATGACGCCCACCCCACCGGGGTTGGCTGTGCTCCTCCAGCCTGTTAAAGGCCCCAGGGCTGTGGTGCCGGGGAAGGCAGCGCCCAGCAGTTTGAGCCCCATGGGACCCCTCGGGGCCCTCCTGCACCCTGATTCCTTCGCTCCCGAGCATCACAGTCCAGGATGGCCTTATGCAGCCCCGGGCTCCTGGATGACTGCCGTCCGTACCCTCTGCTCGTTCCCTGCAGGCACAGCCCCAGCGCAGGCCGCCCCGGACCTCGGCAGCGCCCTGGAGAGCCTCCCGGGCAAGCTGAAGGAGTTTGGGAGCACCGTGGAGAGCAAGGCCCGGGCAGCCATAGAGCACATCAAGCAGAGCGACTTTCCTACCAAGACCTGGTCAGGACCCTTCTAGGGCAGGCCCAGCGGCTCATGACCGCCTGTGGTCACTGAGCCGCATCTCAGGGCGCTCGGACATGGAGGACAGGTTCCCTGATCCCAGCCAGGCCACGTTTTCCACTGGGTTCTGGCGGACGTAGGTGCCTTACTGCGCATGCGCCCTTGAACAGGGACGGCACTGTGAGCCTTGGTCTCCTGACCTGTCAAGAGAGGGGCACAGAGGGAAGTAAAGGAAATGACCCCCAGCTTGCTGGCCCTGCGCCTCATAGTGAGCCTCCTGCTGGAGTTAATCACTATGTCCCACCATTCCTGGCTTCAAGGAGGTTTACTGCCCATCTGCTGTGTGCTGCCATGCGCTGGGGGGGATGAAACGACAGGGTCACCAACAAGATAAAATGCCAGCTGGCATCATGTGCAGAAAGCAGAGACAGATCATGAACCGGAGCAGACTGGGCAAGGCGCGGTGAAGATGATAAAGAGGACGAGAAAGAAGATAAGGGAGGGCCTCCTATAGATTTCATGGCAGGGTGGAAGTGACTTGATTTGTTTTTGTTGTTGTTTTCGAGACAGGGTCTCAAGCTGTATAGTCCCAACTGGCCTAAAACTCATGGAAATCCTTGTGCTGGGATGGTAGGGGCAACCCACTAGGTGCTTCACCACGCCCAGCAGGAATTGAGTAAAATTTAAAGTGAGATTGAATGATTGAGAGAATCTAGCCAGAACTAAATTGAGGAAGAATGGTCCCAGTGGAGGACACATGCAAAGGCCCTGAGGCAGGAAGGGCTATAGATAAAAAGAATTAGGTCTTCCAGGCAAGAGAGATGAGATGAGAGGGCATGATGGTGCACACCCCAGCACTTGGGAGAGTGAAGCTGAGGATCTCCCACAGTTCAAAGCCAGCCTGTGCTAGATGATTAGAGTTCAAAGCCAACAACAAAATCCTGTCTCAAAAAAATTAAATTAAATTAAAAACCAAACAGTTTTAGGTGAAAAAGGAGGCTGTGAGCTGCCCTTGCAGGGGTAGGTTGAGCAAGAGCTCCCTCAGAGGGTTGAAAAAGGAGATGGTGCCAGATGTGGTGGTGCACACCTGTCATCCCAGCATTCAGGAGGCTGAGGCAGGAAGATCACCACATTTTGAGACCAATCTGAAATACATAGCAAGAGTTTATCTCAAAAGGACAAAAAAGTAAATAGATGAAAGGAAAGGTAGACCTAGAAAATGGGGGGCAAGATGGTTTGCATCTGTTGCCCTGGTCATCTGAGGAAGCTGAGGCACCGACATGGGCCCCACTCAGGGATCCTCCTCCTCTCACCACAGGGACAGAAATCCAGGACAGGAGTGATGAGGGAGTGGGGTGAGGTGGGGACATCCTGCAGGTAGCCGTACGTGGTGACACCTTCCCAACCTCTCCCCACAGGAAATGGCTTTCAAAGACTGTCAGCAAAGTGCGGGAGAAATTCAAAGCCACCTTCTCCCAAGCTCCTGAGGGTGGTACCTGAATGAAGACTTCTCCGTGACGCCCAGGTCTTCCCCAATAAAAATCCTACAGAGACTCTCCTGTGTGTACATCATGGGCCCACTTTAGGGACCTTTGTAGGCACCCCAAAGTTTTTTTCTTTTTTTGCTGTTATGTTTTGAGACCGAGCTTTGCTGTGTAGCCTGAACTAGCTTTGTACTTGGGAACTCCCAGTGATCCTCCTGCCTCAGCCTCCAGAGTGCAGGCAAGGATCACAGGTATGTACCACAAATCTACAAATCTGTCTTAACACACTGAGTTCCTACAAGTCCTTGTCAGAGTGAGGATGGCCCCCCTCTTATTATTTATTTTGGGGAGGGTCTAGAGGTGGAACCTATATGCTGAGCTACACCCTAAGCCCTCCTACCTCCTTGGCTCCTGTCCCACCTCTGGCCTGGCCACCTGGTCATTTGCCTGCCTACTGTCTATCGTCCACTAGCAGAGTGCCAGGTCCATCAAAGCCTGTCCCTGAAGTGGCTCTGAGATCCTAAAGCGGAGCCTGGCACACAATAGGCACTCAATAAGCTCATTGCCAGCTGGGAATGGAGCTCTACTAGAGCCTTTCCCCAGCTTCCCGGCACAGCCTGGAATTCCAGTTCTCTAGGAGGCTGAGGCAGGAGGATCACTAGTTTAAGACCAGCCTGGGAAACACATGGAGACCCTGTCTCAAAAAACAAAATAAAACCAAACCAAAAAGGGCGGTCAAAGCCCTGGGTTCAATGCCAAGTATTGCAAAAACAAAAACAAAAACAACCCTCAGAACTGGCTGGGTGTGGTGACGCATGCCTGTAATTGTGTAACTGCCGCGCTGGGGAGGCTGAAGTGGGAGGATCGGGGAGTTTGAGGCAGCCTGGGTTACAGAGCGAGACCCTGTCTCAAAGAAAAATAACCCTTGGTTCCATGAATGAACATTCACATTCCACAGAGCAGCTGCTGCACAGATGTGAGTCACCCGTTCTCCACCATTCATGAGTTCTAGCTGAAGGCCGCCGTGAGCAGGCCGGACTTTAGAGCCCACGCACCCGTCCTTGGGTTTGAGCAAAGGGCCCCAGTGGTGTCAGGACAGAGCCCGGACTTTCACCCCAGTGGACATGGCGCTCTCAGCCCTGGCCTGATGCACACATGCAAGGGGTCAGCCAGCAACAAGGACTCCGAGAGGCCCCGGCCCGCCAGGGGTCTGAGGGTGCCTGGAGGAGGGGAGATTGAGTTTTACTAACTCCACCTTAGCCAGAAAGAAGTGGGGAAGCATGTAAGGGTGCTACAGTGTTTCTTGTGGCTTGCTTTTCTCAGATAGGGTCTTTCCATGTAGTCCGGGCTGGCTTTAAATTCACTATGGAGCCCCAGCTGGCCTGCAACTTGGGGCAGTCCTCCTGCCTCACCCTCCTGAGTGCTGGGATGCCAGGTTAGAGCCAGGACCTGCTAAGAGCAATGTCATGTTTTTCATAAATGCTTGTTACACAAATATCAACTAACGGCTTCGTATAAGAATGGGCGAACAGAATTGCTTTTGGAAACATTTCAGCAGTTCCTCAGTGAGTTAAACAAGCTGGGTTGATGGTACAGGCCTGTAATCCCAGCACCCAGGAAGCTGAGGCAGGAGGATCATCAAATTCAAGGCCAACCAGGGCTACATAATTTAGGGACAACCTAGACTACATAGTGAGACCCTGTCTCAGACCATCCCCCGGAAAAATAGAGCAAAAAGTAGCATAACCCAAATGCTCATCAGCTGACAAATGGGTGAACAAATCTGTACACAGTGTGTACGTCTAATGTGTGTACATGAGCACCCAGACAGAGGAATATTAGTCATAAAGAAATACGGCCAAGCTTTTGAGACAAACAGGTGCCAGCCAGCTATGGTGAGACGTGCCCTCAGCCCCAGCTCCTGAGGATGCTGAGGCAGGCTGGTCACAAGTTTGAGAACAATCTGGACAAGTTTGCAACTTAAAAGACCTTGTTGCAAGATAAAATGAAATTGACCTAGTGCTACAGCTCAGTGCAAAGGCCCTGGGCTCAGTCCCAGTCCCAGAAAGAGAGAAAAGAAGTGTGGACACGTGATACAAGAGAAGGGAGTCGGGAAATGTATCTTCTCTGAGTCGGTTCTGAGAAAGATCCCAAAGATCCCGGACAGAGGAATCTGCAGAGACCAAAGCAGAGAGGAGAAGACGGCTGGAGCTTACTGGCTTCCTGTGGGATAAGAATGTTCTAGAATTCCTGGCAATGGTTGTGTAACCTTGCAGATGTACTGGGCACCAGGGAATTGGACAGAGTGTACCATTTTATTTGTGGGTTTTACAGTGGTGGAGGTGGAAGCCAGGGTCACACGCATGCTAATCAGGCGCCACGCTGCTGAGCTGCCTTCCCAGCCCTAAGAGGAAGAAGTATAAAGAATGTGTAAAGAATGATGGGGCTGGGGATTTAGCTCAGTGGCATAAGCACCTGCCTGGCAAGTGCAAGGTCATGAGTTCGATCCCTGGTACCAAAAAAAAGAAGAAGAATGTGAATGATGTAAGAAAATGAATGCATGGGGCCTGGTGACCCTGGCACATGGGAGGCTGAGGCAGGAGGGTGCCGCTAGTTCAAGGCCAGCCTTCACTGCATGGCAAGACCCTGGCTCAAAAATGAAAAAAAAAAAAAGAAAATGAATTAATAGATGAAGATTTCCTGGGGAGAAGGCAGAAAGAAGAGGAGCATTTCAATGGTTGTGGTGGTAATGCCTATAACCCCGGGCCTGTGGGAGGCTGAGGCAGGCAGATTGCAAGTTTGATCCCAGCCTGGACAACTTAGTGACTTAGAAAGACCCAGTTTCAATAAAAGAAAAAAAAAGGGCTGAGGGTGCAGTGTGAATTCAATCCCAGCCCTCCCCCTGCACCACACACCCTAAAAACAGCATTTCAAACTTTTTCATCCCATACTTCCCAGTAAAATCCTAACCACCCCAGGAAGCAAGTGGTTAGAGCAGCTGCTTAGAGCTTGCTTTCTAGCAGGGCGTGGCTCACGCCTGTAATCCCAGCACTCGGAGGCTGAGGCAGCAGGAGCCTTGTGAGTTCCAGACCCTCCAGGGCTACACAGTGAGCTCAAGGCCGCCTGGGCTGCATAGCGAGACCCTGTCTCAACAAGACAAACAGAAAAACAGCATTCTTTCTAGAGACTTCCATAGAAAATGACTGAAGAGAGCCAAATGTAGTGGCGAGCAAGAGTAATCTCCCCTCTGGGTGGGAGCTGAGGCAGGAGGGTCGCCAGGGGTCTGAGAGCGGCTGGCCTGGGCTTCCTACTGAGAACCTGTGAAACAAAACAACAGGAAAGGGAAAAAGGAGGCCTGTGGAGGCGCTGGGGGGTGTGGAGGGATGGGGTCCCCACTGGGGCCTAGAGGACTGTGGGTTCTCGAGGAGAGAATGGCTTAGGGGCTTGGGTGGGGCCCTGCCACAGTCTGCAGTATCACAGATGTTCCCTGTCCTCGACAGGTGGGGTCTCGGGGTGCACCCTCAGGGCCCCTCCCCTGCTGGCCGCCCTGCCCCCATCCCCCCTTCCCTAGTTGTTTTTGAGCTGTCCCTGAGGTCCACCCCTGTGACCTTCAGCCCTTCCCTGTGGGTAAGAGGAACAAACATTGCAAGCAACAAATAGCAAACATCCCTGGCCTCGCTGCTGACCTGGGAGCAGGGGCAGAGGACAGACGTCCCCCTGGCTGTGACCTCCCCTGTCCTCTCAGCGCCAGTGGGGAGGGACAGAGGCCGTCCTGGCTTGGCTTGGCATGAGACGGGTTCAAGGCCACTACAACCCCGGTGGACTCAGTTTGTTCCTCTGGAATGTTTTGTTATGTGACAAGGTCTCACTACATAGCCCAGGCTGGCCTCAAATTCTCCAGATCTCCTGCCTCAGTCTCCCAACTACTGGAATGAATGACAGGCCTGTGCCACTGTGCCTGGCTTTGATCTGTAAAAAGAGAAGGTCAAAGGTACCTGCCTCCTGAGGCTGTTGGGAACGAGGGCAGTGTCCCATGAGTAAGCTTAGTGACTCAGGAGGCTGAGGTGAGAAGATGGCAAATTCAGAGCTAGCCTGGAGTTGGCTTAGAATTTAAAAGTGTAAGAGGTGGGGATGTCCATCAGTGGAAGAGCGCTTGCCTAGCCTGGGTGAGGCCTGAGGGTCCACCCCCAGCACCAAAAAGAAGGAAAGGAGAACAAGCAGGAGGCAATAGAGGAGCATGGGGAGCCTCTGGGTGCTGCCATGCCCCGCGTCCTCCATCTCCCGTGGCCCAAGAAGGTCACTGGCAGATGAAGAGCAGCCTGGGACGTCCCAGCTGGGACCCAGGCCAGGCATGGTCTCCGCTTCTGCCTGTGCCGGGGCAGAGGCGGCTCACCCTAAAACACACCCTAGAGCCTCTTCAGGTGCACAGTTTGGGCTGCTGGGGACTGCAAGCCGCCGGATGACCCGCACACTTTCTATCCCCAGAACTTGTTCATCCCACTCGTGAGGCTGGCAGCTTCGTTTTAGTTTTATTTTTATTGATTTTTTTTTTTTTGAGACCAGGTCTCTACATAATTCAGGCTGGCCTTGAAGTCACAGCAACACTCCTGCCTCAGCCTCCCAAGTGCTGGGGGATTACAAGTCTGTGCCGCCACGCCTGGCTAAAAAATTCATTCTATAACTGTGTTCCAGTATAACTGGGCGTCTCCTGTTGTATCAGGAGACTCTAGAGCAAGGATACAGCCGGCAGAGCCATGTGCCTGGGAGCACGGTGCGGGCCTGCGGGACAAAAGGCTCGCCTTCCTTCAACCCCGCACTGAGCCTGGACGTGACCTGGACTCTGTCCTACTGTGTGCACCTGGAACTTTCCTCCATGAGCCTCCCCAGCCTTCACAGGGACACGGGGAGACGGCACCTTGCGGGGTCTCTCTATGCAGTTCAGGCTGGCCTTGAGTTTACTTTGTAGCCCAGCCTGGTCTCGAATTTGCAATAATCTTCCTGCCTCAGCCTCCCGAGTGCTGGGATTACAGGGGTGCTGCTCCACCACGCCTGGCTTTTGGTATTTGTTTATTTGTTTGTTTGTTTTTCGGTACTAGGGGTTGAATCTGTGTGTGTGTGTGTGTATGTGTGTGTGTTGCACTGGGTATGGAACACAGGGCTTCCTGCATGCTAAGCAAGCACTCTACCACCGAGCTCTATCCCTGGTTTTTTTTTTTTTTTTTTTTTGTCTTTTTCCTTTTTATCGGTACTGGGAATCGAACTCACAACTGCCTGCTTACAAGGCAGGCGTTTATGCTGCTGAGCTAAATCCCCAGCCCCCCCCTCCGCTTTTTTTTCTTTTTGAGACAGGATCTCTCTCTGCTGTTCAGGCTGCCCTTGAATGCATGGTGATCCTCCTGCCTCAGCCTCCTGATTGCTGGGATTATAGGCATGCACTACCATACCTGGTTTAGTTTTGGGTTTTTTTTTTTTTTAATTTAAAGAGAAAAAAAGAAAGGACATGAAAAAACAAAGCAGTAAAAGGGTACAAGTAATACAGAATTTCAAGAAAAAAATATACAGTAAGAAATCACCAGTTAATAGGTTACATATCTTCCCAGAGACAGTTGTCCAAATTACAAAATTAAAGTATATAAAGTGGACATTCATACAGTGACATTGTAGATAGTTCCGTTCAATGATCCAACAAAAGCTCAGTAATATGGTTTTCCGTTCTACACACTCGGTTATATCCCTTAGTCCACCTTTCTTTCCTCTCTTTTTTACAATTTAATTATGGTTTTTTGAGACAAGGTCTCATGATGCAGTTCAGGCTGGCCTTGAACTCATGGTGATCCTCCTGCCTCAGATTCCCAAGTGCTGGAATTACACCTCGCCCCGCCATGCCTGGTATGTTCAATCAGTGCCCTCAAATGTGGGTTTCTGTCCCATTCTACAGAGGAGGAGACTGAGGCCAGACATGGGCTGTCTGGGGAGGTGGAGCTTGGATTGGAAACTGGTTGGGCACAGGAGGCTACGCAGCCTCTGTCATCTGTCAGGCCAGGGGCGGGGAGGGTGGGGAAGAGGGTAGCCAGCAGGGTGGTGTGACCGCTGAGTGTCACTGTCACCTGGGCCCTTCTTTCTAAAGTCCCTGGCAAGGGCGTGGGTGGTAGCCAGGGGAGGGCTCAGCTCGGTGCCGTTTTTCCGTCCCAAGGCCTGGAGTGCCAAGTGCAGCAGGACACAGACACAGCCCCAGAGACGCGGCTCCTGAGACCCAGGCTCCAGGCCCTGCCCGCCCTCTGCCTCTGTGTGCTGGCCCTGATCTGTGCTGTGGGTGAGGAGGGGGGCAGTATGGCGACCGCAGAAGAGGGCCATGGGGGTGGATGTGCGTCCTGTGGCTGGTGACAGGGAGGTGGGCAGGAGCACATGTGCCCAGCAGGGTGTGCGTGTGTGTGTGTGTGTGTGTGTGTGTGTCAGCAGCTGAGCGTGAAGTGTAAACGTGGGGTTGGCACAGAGGACAGTGATCATGCGCATGCGTGTGTGTGTGTGTGTGTGTGTAAGCAGCAGTGCATGCGTGTGTTTGTGTGCAAGCCTCCCCAAGGCCACACGTAGGCACAGTGTGAGTGGGAGGGGTCTGTCAGTGTGTCCTGGTGGGCATGAAGGTCTGTGTTTTGCATATGCATTTATTTTTATTTACCTGTTATTTCATTTTATTTTATTTTTTTAATAGGTACCAGGGATTGAACTCACGACTACACACTTGCAAGGCAGGCACTTATGCTGCTTAGCTAAATCACCAGCCCCCTATTTTATTTTATTTTTGAGACAAGGTCTCACTACGTTGTTCAGGTTGGTCTTGAATTCACTGGGTAGCCAGTGAATTCAAGGCCATCGTGCCCACTCACCAGAACCATTGCCACCTCTCTCTGGTCCTGATCACCCTGAGCTCCACCAGCCCCCTCAGCCTGCTCAGGCCCCAGCTGCTCGCCTCAGGGTCTGTCTCAGGGCTCAGGTCTTCCGCAGATGCATGGGCTACATGGGACCAGACAGCAGCTGAGCCAGGAGCCTGAGAGCCCCACCCCTCCCTCAAAGTCACTCTTGGGCCCGTGCAGAAGCCCTCTGGGCCTTCCCTCCACCATCCCTCTGGCTACACGGTGTAGCTGGTCTCAAACTCACAGCGATCCTCCTGCCTCAGCCTCCAGAATGCTGGGATTACAGACACCTGTCAACACACCCAGTTGCACATAGGTTTAAAATGTTAGCACGGGCCAGGGTGACAGCACACACCTGCAACCCAGGACCCTGGAAAGCTGAGGCAGGAGAATCACCAATTTGAGGGTCAGCAGGGGAGAGGGAGCTTTGGGCAGGGAGGGGTGGACCCCAGGCCTGGGGAGTCACACAGGATAGGAGTGGGGAGGGGACCGGGCAGAGGGAAGGACAGGCCCACTGGTGGAAGCAGGCAGTGGTCAGAGGGATGGTGGAGGGAAGGCCCGGAGGGCTTCTGCACGGGCCCAGGAGTGACTTGGAGGGAGGGGTGGGGCTCTCAGGCTCCTGGCTCAGCTGCTGTCTGGTCCCATGCAGCCCACGCATCTGTGGAAGACCTGAGCCCTGAGACAGACCCTGAGGCGAGCAGCTGGGGCCTGAGCAGGCTGAGGGGGCTGGTGGAGCTCATGGTGATCAGGACCAGAGAGAGGTGGCAATGGTTCTGGTGAGTGGGCACGATGGCCTGGACGTGTGAGCAGGGTCAGTGGCCGGGAGCCCAAGGTCACACAGCCAGCAGATGTAAATGGGGCAGGAGCCCCTGGTGTGGCTGGGGTCTCAACTGTCTGTCCTGTCTCCCACAGGAGCCCTGGAGTCTTCCAGGACTTCATGCAGACCTACTACGAGGACCACTTGAAAGACCTGGGTCCCCGCACGCAGGCCTGGCTCACCCAGTCCAAGGACAGCCTCCTGAACAAGACCCTCAGCCTGTGCCCCAGGCTCCTCTGCAGGGGCCGGGCTCAGGACTCGTGTGCTCCTGCTGCCCCCCTGCCCACAATAAAGATTTCCTCTCTGTGTGGGTCTGCATCCCTCCGTGCTGTCCTCTCCCCACTCACATCTGGGGATTCAGGGGTGGAAGGGGTTACACTTGGCCAGGGAGGAGCAGTAGGGGCTTTGGGAGCAGAGTCAGAAAAATCTCACATCCCACAGAATAAAATGGGGAAAAAAAAAGAAAGATCTCACACACACACACACACACACACACACACACACACACGCGCGCGCGCGCGCGCGTGCACGCAGGCACTGTGAGCTCGCAAGGGCGGCAAGCTTTAGAGCATTTCACTGTGGAAGTGGTAAACCTGGTATACAGTTATAATCCCAGCACTCGGGAGGCTGAGGCAGGGGAATCATTGCAAGTTCAAGACCAGCCTGGGCTGCAGAGTGAGGCCTGGCTGAACTGCAGAGCAAGCGAGACTCTGTCTCAAGAAGACCAAAAGGGAGAGGGGGTGGGAGTAGGGAGAAATGAGAACGGGAAGCCTGGAGAGCTGGTAGGGCAAATAGGCCCCAGGGTGTCCCCGCTCTCTTCGCCCTGATTCTCAGCAGATGGAGACCCCAGACCCGTTCCTGGTGGGCGCCTGGAGCCCTCTCTCCTCTCCTGGCCCCAGCCAACACTGCCCCTTTCAGGGACCAACTCTCCCAGGTGAAGGTTCACAGAGGCTTGGCCTGCAGGGGGACATCGCTGTCCTGCCTGCCCCTCCTCCCCGCCCCTACCCCAGCCAGCAGCTCTGTGGGCCAGGACTTTGGCCCAGGAGAGTGATGGCCTGGTGGCTCCGGGGCTATAAAGGCTGTGCAGGCCGAAGCTGCAAAGGACGCCTGCCAGAGCCTGAGTTTGGTAAGAGAGAGACGGGTTGGGGGTCCGGGTCAGGGCTGGGAAGGGTTCACGGAGAGCAAGACAGCGCAAGCCACTGGGAACTTGGGGTCGGGAGCCTTGGGTTTGGCAATCATTTCAGTCAGCAGGGGTGGCACCTTCTCATGCTCCCTGCTGGGCTCCAGCTGTGAGGTCCTCAGAACAGGCTTCTTTTTTTTTTTTTTTTTTTTGTCTTTTTCATTTTTTATCGGTACCAGGGATTGAACTCATGACCGCCTGCTTATGCTGCTGAGCTAAATCCCCAGCCCCAAGAACAGGCTTCTTTTTTGTGTGTGTGGTACCCGTATCAGGGATGACCTCATGATCTTGTCTTGCCAGGCAGGTGTTTATGCCACTGAACTAAATCCCTGGCCCAGAACAGGCTTCTTGAGTGAATGCATGAATGTGAGGATGGTTAGAATTAAGATGCTGGAGCTAGTTACGGTGCTATTTATGAGCCTGTAATCCTAGTACTCTGGAAGCTGAGGCAGGAGAATCACCACAAATTCGAGGCCAGCCTAGGCTACACATTAAGACCCTGTCCCAAAAAAAAAAAAAAAAAAAAAAAAAAGGAAAAGAAAACTGATGTTGGTGGAATGTACCTGTAATCTCAGCTTCTCAGGAGGCTGAGGCAGAAGGATAACATGTTTGAGCCCAGCCTGGACAAATGAGCAAGATACACTTTCAAAATTTAAACAAATAGGACTGGGTGTGGTAGTACACACCCACAACCTCAGCACTTCAGAGACTATGGCAGGAGAGTCACTATATGCCAGGAGTGTAAGGCCAGCCTGTGATACATAGTGAAGTCAAGGTCAGTGCAGAATACACAGCGAGACCCTATTTCAAAAAGCCAGATAAAAAGAAATAAAATAAAACGACTCAGAGATGTAGCTCGGTGGCAGAGCATCCCTGGACTCAATTCCCTGCACCCTCCTCCAAAAGATTAGAGTACAGATTGTCAAACTGTGGAGGCCCGGGGAAGACATCTCATTCCAGGTGTGGCCGGGGGACTTAGGTGAGGCAGGAGAGGGACGCGGAGCAGAACTCAGCCCCTACCCAAGAGGCTCAGGACCCTGCCTCACACCCTCCTCTGTGCTCCAGGTCTGCGGCACCATGGACGCCCGCTCTCTCCTGCTGCTCTGGCTCCTGCTGCCGCTGCTGCTGCTGCTGGGATGTGGTGAGTGGGGTCGCTGAGGAGGGGCGGCCCCCGGTGTCTTCCCAGCGGGGTCTTCTGACCCTGCTTCTGCCGCCTCCTCTCCTTCCACACCAGTATCCCCACCCCGCAGCACCCTCTGCTCCCTAACACCAGCCCTCATGCCTGTCCTCCCGCAGAGGTCCAGGGTGCCCATCTGACCCAGCAAGACGAGCCCACCAGCCCAGACCTGCTGGAGACCCTCTCCACCTACTGGGACAGTGCCAAAGCGGCTGCCCAGGGCCTGTATAACAATACTTACCTGCCCGCCGTGGACGAGACGATCAGGTAGGCTGTGCCTCTGCGAGATCTGCATCATGCAGGCCTCAGGAGCCCATGGCCGGCCTCCTCCCTCAGGCCCAGTCCCAGGCCTCTCCTCTGCGACTCTTCTGTCCTCTCTTTCCAGGGACATCTACAGCAAAGGCTCAGCGGCCATCAGCACTTACACGGGCATCTTAACCGACCAAATCTTGACCATGCTTCAAGGAAAACAGTGATGGCCAGGAGATCGGGGAGCCCAGGCCCAGCAGCCCCAGGTTCTCCTGATTGCCCAGCACTTCTCACCTTTCTGCCTCCAACTCTAGCCTGAGTCTCATCAGTGAATGAATACTGGATAAATGCAGAAATAAAAGCATAAGTGTCCTTTGTCCCCTCTAATGTGGCTGCTTTCTGGAGGCCCCAGGAACCAACAACATGGGGGGCACTGATTGAGTCCAACCAACGTGTAATGAGCACCTATTGGGTGTAGGGTGTAGGGACCCCTGACCTCAAGCCTGCCTCTCCGAACGAAGGAGATGTAAAGACGGACAATAAATAACCCAGAGGCTCCAGGCGTCACCTCTCTGCAGAGAGGTCTGGACTTCTCCTCTAAAGGAGGACAGATCTCGGACACAGGTCATCTGCAGTGGCCTTTGGAAGCATGCAGACCCTGGAGTGACACTTTTTTCAGTGTTTATTTATTTTTATGGTGCCGGCCATGGAACTCAGGGCCTGACACATGCAAGGCAAGTGCTGTACTACTGAGCTTTGCCCTCGCTTTTGGGTCTACACTGGAACTGCACCCCCTCTGAATTTTCTGCCATAGTCTTGTGACAGAGAGAGCACTGACACCCACGGGTCCCTGTAAGTCGAGGGAGCCAGCGTCTGGGGCAGCCGGGGTCCACAAAGGCAAAGGCTAAAGCCTGGGCTCCTTGAGTCCAGTGTTTTTTTTTTTTTTTTTTTTTTTTTTTTGTCTTTTTGTCTTTTGAGACAGGGTCTTGCTATGCAGTTCAGGCTGGCCTTGAGCTCACTTTGTAGCCCAGGCTCGCAACGATCCTCCTGCCTCAGCCTCCCTAGTGCTGGGATTACAGGCATGAGCCCCCACGCCCGGGCGAGTCCAGTCTTTCACTTCCCACATATTTACTGTGCCCTACCAAGGTCTGGGTACACAGCAGGGAAAACAGAGCTGTCCTCACCTGGTCTCCCGAAGTTTTGGTGACGTTGGCTCTGTAGAGGGTTTGGTCACCTCTTCTCCCCTTTCATGGTAGGAACAGAGCTTCAGTGGGAGGCCACAGGGAAAGCCTCAGGGAGTGAGAAGATAGCTGGAGGACCTTTCAGGCCATGCACAGGGCCAAGGAGAAGAGACCCAGGCCGGGGTGTAACCACCCTCAATAGCCCAGGACAGGTCGGAGATGGCCAGATGGCAAGGCTGGGGCTGCTCACAGGAAATGCTGTGCTGCCAGCAGGTATGTGAGAGCAGGAAGGTGCTAACTGGGCCCCAGGTCAGGTGGAGGCAGTGGTTAGCCATGGAAGGTGGTATCTGGTAGTAGGGAAGAGCAGGTGAAAAGCATAGGGATGGGCCAGGTGCTGTGGTGCGCGTCTGTAACTCTAGCACTTGGGAGGCTGAGGCAGGAGGATCACTGAGAGTTCAAGGCCAGCCTGCACTACATATGGAGACTCTGTTTAAAAAAAAAAAAAAAAAGGGATAAGGCCATACCTGCCTGTAATTCCAGCTACTAGGAGAGGCTGAGGCAGGAGGATCACAAGTTCATGGCCAGGTTGGACTACCTAGTGAGACTTATCACACAAAACAAAACAAGCCACAAATAATAAATAGATGCATAAGGGGATGCAGCTGAGTTGTAGAACACCCATGGGTTCAATGTACTGTACTGGGGAAAAAGAAAGACTGAAGCCCAGGACACACAAATAAGCAGCGATGCCAGGGCCCGAGGGAGGCCGGCGCTGGGCCTGTGGGTGCAGGGCTTGCGGAGGTGAGCCAGCAGATGGTCCCTCACACCCCGTAGGTCCCATGGGTGGGGCTGCCGTGTCTCGGGAACATGGCCTGGACTCCTCCTGATCTGCTTGGCATTAATTCTAGCTAGGCTTTCAACACTCTTGGGGCAACTTTCCAGTGCTGAGGCCGGGCAGCTGTGACCCTGCAGAAAACAGGGGCCCGGGAGGGGCTGCAGGCAATGCCCCAAAGTCCCCAGGGCCTGGGAAGAGCTGAGGTTGCCAGGCCCCAGGAGGGGGAGACCCTGCGGGAACAATCCCTGCTCTGTCCACTTGTTTCCCACGGACGCTGGCCAAACCAAACCGCTGCCCCGGCCAGCGTGGCTTCCAACCAATCCGGGTGCCATTCGCAGACTCCTCCTTCCTTTCTCAGACCCCTCTGCGCTCCCCAGGGGACCAGGGTCCCGGCCCCCAGACTCCTCCTTCCCAAGAACGCAGCTACTTGGGCCCTAGACTCCTCCTCCTTTAGACTCCAGCGTGCGCCCCAATTCCTTCTCCTCAGGACTTAGAAGTTCATCTCCAGCCGGGTCCCCGTAGAATCTGAACTCGCAGCCCCTAGTTGGTGGTGGGCGCCCCCTAGTGGAGGACAGAGCGGTCCCGTCCTGTGATTCACCTGCTGAGGATGCCATTGGTTGGAGCTGAGGAGCGAGCCCAATTTTATTTTTCAAACCCATTATAGTTTTTTTCCCCTCTCAAATCTAGTGTATTTCAGAGAGAAAAAAAAAACCCCAAAATTTCAAAACACGTCAATCTGGGGGCAACAGCAGTACATACATGGTGCATTGTCATCCCCAAATCATTCACCTCGAGCACATCAACACCAGCACAAATCTTTCTCTTGAGCAAACTTAGAGAAATCAGTAGTATAACTATCTTAACTATTTTTTATATATGTTGTTTGTTTCATCTTCTCAACAGTAGTGAGACAATATATTTACACATGTGTGTCTGATTTATTTACACATGTGTGTCTGGTTTATTATGGGTATGGGCTCAAGTTGCATCCATTTACCAACAAAAGTCTCCAGTTTCTCCTTCTTTATGGCTGAGTAGTACTCCACTGTATAAAAATACCACATCTTTTTTATCCATTCCTCAGTCAATGGACATTTAGGTTGTTTCAAGATCTAGCTGTTACACACTGTGCTGCTATAAACATGGGTGCATATATATAGCTGGGGCATGATGGGTTTTTTTGTCTTTTTTGTTTGTTTGTTTTTATTGGCACCAGGGATCGAACTCACTGCTTGCAAGGCAGGTGCTTATGCCGCTGAGCTAAATCCCCAGCCCCCAAGATGTTTTTAATTCTTTTGGGAAGATACTCAGAAATGAAATAGCTGGGACCTCCAGTCCTAGTTTTTTGAGTAATCTCCACACTGATTTCCACAGTGGTTGAACCAGTTTGCAATCCCACCAACAGTGGAAAAGGGTTCATTTTCCCCCACAGCCTCTCCAGAATTTGTTATGGCTTGATTTCTTCTTCTTCTTCTTTTTTTTTTTTTTTTTTCATTTTTATCAGTACTGGGAATCGAACTCAGACCGCCTGCTTGCAAGGCAGGTGCTTATGCTGCTGAGCTAAATCCCCAGCCTCCTAATTTCTTGATAATAGTCACTCTTCCCTGAGTGAAGTGGAATCTCAGTGTTGTTTTAATTTGCATCTCTCAAATGATCAGTGATGTCGAACATTTTTGCACATATTTATTTGCTGTTTGTATTTCTTCATCTGAGAAGTGTGTATGCATTCAGATGACCATTTCTATATTGAGTTTTTAAATCTTGGAGGACTGATTTATTTGAGTTCTTTCTATGGTCTTGATAGTAATCCTTTGTCTGAGGTACAGCTGGCAAACATTTTCTCCCACGTTGTGGGCTGTCTCTTCACTCTGTTGGTGGTTTCTCTTGCTGTGAAAAAGCTTTTCAGTAGGGTGAGATCCCAGTTGTTGATTCTTTGTGATAGTTCCTGTGCAATCGGGGTTTTGTCCATAAACTCTTTGCCTACACCAGTGTCTTCAAGAGTTTTACCTACTCTATCTTCCAGCAGATTTCATGTTTCTGTTTTAATATATATTTTTTTTGTCTTTTTGAGACAGGGTCTCGCTATGCAGTTCAGGCTGGCCTTGAACTTTCTAGCCCAAGCTGGTCTCGAACTCACAACGATCCTCCTGCTTCAGCCTCCCGAGTGCTGGGATTACAGGCGTGAGCCACCACTCCCGGCTCTGTTTTAGTATTAATATCTTTGATCCATTCTGATCTTAGCTTAGTACATGGTGAAAAAGTGCAGTTTTAATCTTTTGCAGTCAGTTTTTCCAGCACCGTCTATTAAGGAGGCTATCTTCCTTCCAGTGAGTGTGTTTGGCACCTTTTTCAAAGATAAGGTGGCTTAGTGTGTCTGGAATTATTTCTGCATCTTCTAATTTATTCCGTTGATCTTTGGATCCATTTTTTCCCAGTACCACGCTGTTTGTTTGTTTTTTAAATCACAGTAGCTTTACAGTGTAATTTCAAGTCAGGGATCATGATGCCCCTTGTCTTGTCTTTATTGCCCAGGATTGCCTTTGCTAGTCTGGTTCACTTCTGGGTCCAGATGAATTTTAGGATTAGTTTCTCTAATTCTGTGAGATATGCTGTTGGGATTTTGAGTGGGATTGCATCGAATCAATATCAGTTTTGGAAGTGTGGCCATTTTCACTATATTGGCTCTTCCTATCCAAGAGCATGGATATCTTTCCATTTTCTTTTTTTTTTTTTTTCTTTTTCCTTTTTATCGGTACCGGGGATCGAACTCACGACTGCCTGCTTCCAAGGCAGGCGCTTATGCCGCTGAGCTAAACCTCCAGCCCCTCTATTTTCTAATATCCTCTTCAATCTCTTTTTTCAGAGTACTGTAGTTTTCAGTGTAGAGATCTTTTACATCCTTTTGTTAGATTGGGAGATTGAGATTTCCCAATACAGTTGATTCCTAGGTATTTCATTTTTTTGGGTGCTATTGTAAAAGGTATTGCTTCCCTAATTTGTCTCTTGAGTTTTTTATTCAATTACAGGAATGCTATTGATTTTTGAGTGTTGACTATGTAACCAGCTATGTTACTGAATTTGCTTATTAAATCTACAAGTCTTTTGGTGGCTTCTAAGTAGAGTATCATGTCACCCACAAATAATGATAGTTTAACTTTCTCCTTTCCTATCTATATTTCTTTCTCTTGTCTAATTGCTGCAGCTAAAGTTTGCAGGACTAAGTTGAATAAGAGTGGTTATAGTGGACATTCTTGTCGTGTTTCTGATTTTAGAGTGAAAGCTGTCAGTTTTTGTCAATTTAGTATGATGCTGCCTGTTGGTTTGTCATACATGGCTTTTATCAGATTGAGATAAACACCATCTATTTCAAT